CCTAACCCTAACCCTAACCCTAACCCTAACCCTAACCCTAACCCTAACCCTAACCCTAACCCTAACCCTAACCCTAACCCTAACCCTAACCCTAAAGACTCCTATAGATTAGTTAGGATAGCGGAGTAAGATCGATAATAATAATAATAATAATACTAAAGGGTAATAAGTCGTTATATAGGGAACCCTAATTCGGAGTTAAATTATAGGGCGTTAATAGCCTCTTAGTCGGCGATAGTCCCCTGCTAACTACCTTTTAATACTAGTACTTATTTACCTAACTATAAAGCGATTACGCGTAAGGCCTATAAAAGCTATTTCTATATCTAGCCGTAGCTATTAGGGAGGGTCCGGTTATACTAGTTAGCCTTAAACTATAGGATAAGGGTAATAGGAAGTATATCTAAGTCGTGGCCGGATTATATATATTAGCTTTTTGTTTTCCTCTCCGCGATATATAGGACTTAAACGGTTATTACTATAACCGCGTAGATACGGCTTTGGTGTGGTGTTAGTAGCCGGTTATATAACCCCCTTTTTCGAGGCTACTGGATCTATATCCTATATATATATTAAGGGACGTAAATAGGATATCCCCGGCGAGGGACTATTATTTAATTATCATCCTCTTTTGCGATTGCTTATTCTACGATTAAGGTATCTTTCCAGTTTAACTTACGTTGTCCTGATTAGAATAGTAACTACCGATCTACTTCTTCGCTAAAGGTTATAGCGGCATTCATTATGTTTTGGTTATATATCGTGGTTTTGCTAGACTGACCTCTTTGTCTGATCTTTGTCTTAACGATCTAGTGCTACTACGTCTTTATCCAGTTACATTACCTTTATGAAAATTCTTATACGTCTATTAAAGCTCCTCCTTACTAGCACCGCTACGGTTAATATAAAGCTTTAGCGCCTTAATCCGATACTAACCGGCGATAATCTCTATATCTTAGTTAATATCGGTAGCTATATCCTACTACTCGGCGGTTATTAGCGTATTTTATATACTATTAAGGGGCTAAAGCCTCTAAATATCCCTAATACGCGACTTAGGGACAAGACCGATAATATAATAGTATAGTAGTAACTATTCGAGTCCGCCTTATAAGAAAAGCTTAGCGAGGCGAGAGTAGTATCCCTCGTTAAGGGGCCGGTTATTACTATCGCTCTATAACGGGTTAAGTCTATTTAGGGGGAGGTTAATAACGGTTAAGAAGAAAGGGGCCGTAAGTTCTTTCGCCGCCTCTTTATTCTAGAAGGTTATCTTAAGTTATTTACTACGTCTACTAACCTTAGCCTTTTTCCTCTTACTAGGCTTTTTGTGATTATCGTCGCCTCTTAATAGTAGGGGCCGGCGCTTAGCCGCTAAACCGGTCTATTGGGTAGGTAATTATATCGTAACGTCTTAGTCTACTAAGCTTATATATATAAAGGATATATTAGATAGAAGAGGTATTCTAAGTTATACGCCTTTAGGGTTATCGCTGAGAATATTTATATTTACTTTATACTATTATATAAGGGAGCTATATTATTAGTAGTATATCCAGTTTATAGTATTAGCTAGCTTAGTTAGGTTTAGAGTAATCGTAAGACTAATCTCGGGTAAACGTTTCCCGGGTTAAGTAACTAAAAGAAATTTTATTATCCATATTAGATCTATGTATCCTATCTTTACTTATTACTATTACTATGTCGCCGTAGGCGTTCTACTAATTATCGTTCTCCGGTATACCGGGATTCTATTAATATCTTAAGGCTCTGGTTTACTACCTACCTATCTTTATTCCTTCCATTTTCTCCTTTCTTTTCTCCTTAAAATAGATATAATACCCTTATATTTAGCCTAGGGGGGTAGATAAAGATAGTCGTTTATGCTTACCCCCTAGGCTAAGTATAAGAGGCTCCTTTATAGTTATACGATTATTCCTTACTTCTGCCCCCGGGGGTAAATAAAGAGGCTCCCTTATAGTTATATAATTATATCTTATATTTGCCCCCGGGGGCAGATACAGATACTCTCCCTTATAATTATAAGACTATGTCTTATATTTGCCCCCGGGGGTAGATAACGAGGCTCCCTTATAGTTATAAGATTATATCTCGTGTTTACCCCCGGGAGTAGATAAACATACTCCCTTATAGTTATAAGACTATATCTTATATTTACCCCCGGGGGCAGATAGAGATAGAGGCTTCTTTATTTATAGTCTATATTAATATAAGTGTATTATCGATAAGTACGCGTTATGTATATAATCTATAGTCTAGGCTTTAGGGAGTACGAGTCGCTAGGAAAAGCTATGTGTTACGTTTATAATCTACAGCCCAGGCTAAAGGGGGATAAGTGGCTTTTCTTAGGGTAGCCCTAACCCGAGGCCTTAGGTACGGAAACAGGCCCCTAATAGTAGTACTAGGGTTTATTCCACTAAGGCGATAGATTAGATATCCCTTATAGACTTAGATAGCACCTTAAGGTCCTATATAAGGTCCTTAATTAATAGCTCGTTATTATTAATCCTGTACCTATTCGTTACTACGTAGAGATAATACTATTCCCGAGTAATAGGATATATCGCGGAGAGGGTATCTTATACCTAATAATCTATAAAAGCTATCCCGATAACCCTAGCATATTAGTATTCTATTAGGATAGCCTTCTAATTAGTAATCTATCTACCTATATCCCTAGGAATAGTCTTTAGCGGTATTTTAATAAGCTAACGATATTAACGTAGACCCTTATAGCGTTAATCTATAGGCCTAAGAGCTACGTACTTATAAAGTATAGTAATCCACGCCCTCGCGTTATTTACTTAGTCTTCTAGTAACGCTCTAAGGAGGTCGCTAAAAGGGGCGTAGATCGTGTCTAGGATATTGGAGCGTAGACTATTAAGTTCTTATTACTAACTATTATAGTCGGTCTTTTCTTCGCGATATACGCGACGGTTTTAAAGGTATCGCGTTCTTCCTTAGTTAGAGAGGTTATCTATTAACTTCGGAACCTTAACGCCACTCGCGGCTTCGTACTTACGTACGTTAGGTAATATAGGCTTAAGTAGCAGGGAGGCTTCTACTTCGTTATTATCAAGTTATGGATTAAGATAATCGTTATAAAAAAAGGAGAACTTCCCGCGGATACTGTATTCCTATATAATCTAGTCTTTCTAGGTAGTTAGGATCTATTAATCGCGGTGAATATTAGAAGATATCTTCTATTACTTAAGCGAAGAGGTTACCTTAATTAGATAAATAATAGTCGATTAAGTGCTTATAACGTAGTTACTTTTATAGTGGAATAGGGTAAAAAGGATAGCTTAAAGGTATAGAAGATATTAAATAGCTTTAAGTATTATAAACCGGGCTTATAACTATCGTATATTAAATACACTCTTCTAACTTAGGGAAATCTTCGCGTATATATATTATATTAAGTTATAACGTGTACGAGACCGTTTACCCTATTTTTATAAGGGGCAGTACTCCTCCGGAAATACTGCTTTATTTAGATCCTATCCGGTATTTTACCGTGGGTCCACCCTTATTATTTCCACCCCCGAGGCCTGTGCCCACCCCCGAGGCTCGTGCCAATGCGACAATAACACCCGGTGTTTCATTTCAAATCATGTCATATATACACATGGAAATCTAGGCCCGGGTACCCATAGTACTAAGTCGAGCTCAGGATTCATAGCGCGGCAACCTCGTCATAAAGCAAACTAGCTTCACCACATCATCTCAACACTACCGTGCCATCATCCACCATGTCACAGACACTCAAACTCGAAGCGGCCGCCGGGGTACGTCTGCGCGGTGCCCCCATCTCCAGGCCAAGGTCTAGGCACTGACACCCCGCAGTCCACCAAAATGGTCATCGTGGGCGCAGGCTCCGTCGGGACTACCACAGCCTACGCCCTCCTCCTCAGCGGCCTCGCTGCCGACATTGTCCTCATCGACATCAACCAGGCACGCGTCGAGGGTGAAGTCGCCGACCTCGGCCACGCCGCCCACTTCACCCACACGCGCGTCCGCTCCGGGACGTACGCCGACTGCGCCGGGGCAACCGCCGTCATCATCACCGCCGGCGCGAACCAGAAGCCCGGCCAGACGCGGCCGCAGCTCGTGGCCGCCAACCACGCCCTCTTCGCCTCCATCATCCCGCCCATCGCCGCCGCCTCTTCCCCAGACACTATCCTCGTCGTGGCCACCAACCCGGCCGACGTGCTGACCCACGCCGCCGTGCGCCTCTCCGGGTTCCCGCCTTATCGGGTCATCGGCACGGGGACGGCCCTCGACACGACGCGCCTGCGCCGCGAGCTGGGCGCGCACTTTGGCATCAGCCCGCGGAGCGTGCACGCCTTTGTGGTGGGCGAGCACGGCGACTCGCAGCTGCCGGCGTGGTCGCTCGCAAACATCTGCGGCATGCGGCTGCCCGAGTACTGTCGCCAGGCGGGCCGGGCGCATGACGAGGCGGAGATGGAGGCCTGCGCCAAGCGGACCCGCGACGCGGCGTACACGATCATCGAGCGCAAGGGCAAGACGAACTACGGCATCGCGAGCGTCATTGTCGCGATCCTCGAGCCCATCGTTAAGAACGCCGACGCCATCATGACCGTGTCGCAAGTGGGCACGTACGCCGGGGTCGAGGACGTGGCACTCAGCATGCCGTGTAAGATTAACCGTCGGGGGGCCTTCCAGGAGGTGCCGCTGCCACTAGACGAGCGGGAGACGGAGCTACTACGGAGGTCGGCTGAGAGCATCAGGGCCATGATCATGTCGGTGGCTGCGCCGGAGTAGTGATCACCGGACGGTCTGACTCGGCGGCCGAGCCGGAGTAAGTCGATTCAGGAGTCATCATACCAAGACTCCGCCTCGGGGCCCTCGCGATTTCGGCCGTAGAAAAAAGCCGGCAAGCATGGGCAAGGGTGGATGCGAGCCCGACGGGCGCATGGATGCCCATTAAATTACTGGGGCCTTACTTGGACCTTGCTCACGTGAGACTGACATCCGCGGCCGTTCATGCTCTCGGTCGTTTCTCTCCTTGCTCACTTCAGCTGTCTCGGGGTATGGGGGACGGACAGAGAGACCGACGGCTCGGCCGCCGGCACATGGGATGAACCAGGTAGATTAGCATCCAGATCGTCAGCATCCAGCTCGTCATGTGCATTCCCCTTGTCATATCTCGACGGCATCCTCGGATATCACGCCGAGAGCCCGCAAGTTGCAAGCAAGCACTGCAATCAGCCGGTGGCATCCAGGAGACACAGCCACCCGTAGGCAAGCAACTAAGCTCGTCCATGCCACGGAGGACGGCGGCAATCTGGCCACGAAAGAAATCGTCTGCCGTCTCAGGACTCGGGCCGATACTTCGGAGAATGGCCCTCGGGGTGCTCAGAGTCAAGCCCCGCAGGAGGTGGTCGAGATAGCGGCCGATCTCGCCAAAGGACCCCGGGAGACTCAGCGCTCGAGTTACTACGTGAAATGGTGACGTGTTAGTCATCCGGTTTGCACTTTCGGCAGGAGACACACCGCCGCCCTCTTGCCAATGAATACTTTATTCATCAAGGCAATCTGGTTTTGGATGCTATCATCGCCGGTCAAGTATCTTCTTGCCTCGCGACAGGAACGAACGGACATTACAGCCTCTAGCCATCATTCTCATAACATGCGCGTTGCTCCATGGGTCAGTGCACATTATTCAGCGCAGACACAAGCAAGTCAGACAAGGTAGGGGGGATTATGCCGGCTGACTCACGCCGGAAGTGGGAAGCTTAGAAATCGAGCTGCGACAGGGGATGTCATCCTCTTAAGCGACCTTTCCGGTGGAATACGGCACGGTAATTGCAACGTCGGATGAGATTTAGATAAAAGAGAGTGTGTCCCAGCATGCTATATCCTGGTCTTGGATGAGTGAAGAGACAACTACTTGACATTGTGAGCTTCGATCAGCATAGCATATTCATATCCAGCGAGTTCAGTCATTTTTTGCATTTTTAGCAACAGCCAAGTCATCATGTCCGCACATAAGCATACAGGCCCAGTCCTTTTCGGACTCGTTTGCCTTGCCAAGTCACAACATCACTAAGGGCAACAAGACATCAGGCGGCAAGGCGACAAAGCAGATCAAGCGCCTCGAAGCCCTCTACGACGAAACCTGCAGCTTCTACCTGCAATCGAACCTTTCCAGGTCGATAGCCACGGCCCTGGACCGGAAGCGCCGACCGCGCATCAGCAAGCTCGTGCTCCTCGGGCTCGGCAGCCTCGGCACCTCACGCGACCAGGGCCGACGCATCAAGCAGCTCGTCCTCTTCGTCGCCCTCGCGTTATTCATCACGTCGACGTCGGAGCCCAAGGAGGCGTCCGTGTCGCTGTACGTGCAGGATCCAATGTTCGACCGCACAGACGAGGCGTTCCTACAGAACATGGGATTCAAGGTGCTGCACACGCCGTCGCCGTACCAGCTCGGCGAGGCGGGCGACGTGATCGACGACGAGACGCTGGTGTACACGCCGCACCTGCCGCTCATGGCATACAAGGCGCTATTGGCTTCGTCGACGCAGGGGGCCGGGGGCGGTGATGGGGTGAAGGGAGGGCTGGAGGACGCGATGCCGGTGTTGATGAGTGATGATTTTGACGGGCTGCGGCGCAAGTGGGACAAGCAGACGGAAGAGTTCCGGGACGTGGAGATGCTGACGAAACGGCTGAGAGGCTATGGCTATAGGCGACGGGCGATAGGGGCAGGGGGGTTCTGGGTGGAGGAGGACGCTTCGTTTCCCATGGCGCTGTACACCAAGGTGGTTAAGGTGGTCTGAGTCTAAGGGATGTTCGTATGAGGGCATTGAGCGGGGCCGAGCACGTCTCGGGCCGCCCGATCTGGCTAAGGACATGACATTGGCTATCCACGCAACCGCCACGGCCCGCATATACCAAGCCACCTTCGATTTCGGCGTCATCGAGGGAATGATGATGCTGGGCTCCGATGAAACCACCCTCGACCAATTCTGTGCAGAGCAAGAGCATGACGACGATGATACCGATAATGAGGAGGACGATGACCAAGAAGACGATGGCCAAGACGAGTGGTCAGATGAGAAACCTTCCGTGGGCTCCAAAAGGAGGACGACTGCCAGCAAGGCAAAGGCCACCAGCGGACGACCTCGCGGACGACCTCCCAAAAAGCCAAAGGCAGCCGGGGCTAACAAGCCGGCAAAATATTTCCTGCGCCTGAAATCCAGCGATACTGGCACAGGGGAGATCCATCCAACGGCAGAGAAAGGGACGATGAAGTTCAGTGGACGGGATCTCTCGAGCTTCACCGGAGAGGCCAACATGAGTGACATTGGTCGGGGAGTGATCTTCACAGGGCGGAAGATTTCTGCCGTACCACCGAACTTAAGGGAGTCATGGAGTGATTATTCCGAAGCTGCCTATGAGCGTGCCCGAGTTGGTCGTTGGTTGTAGGCAGTAATTGGAGAGAAAAGAATGCATATTTGCAACGGGTATTGGGGGTGTATGGGGCGTTTGGGGCGTTTGAGGTATTTGTTCATGTTTCTAAAGTGTGTGTTACCGACGAGCTCCGTGTCTTTCCTCAGACCCTGCCACCCTCGAGACCTTACTATTTCAAGCAATGTAGACGGGTAGCCGGCTACCTCGCAGCTCGGTCTTCGTGATTTGCACGTCCTTGGGGTGAAACTCGTGCAACATGAGCCAGCAAATCATTCGGAACACAAGCGTACACCAGATGTCCTCGTGCGAGATCTGGTCCGTTGAGAGACGCCATAGCTCGTCGAGGTCATCCTCCAACTCCTCTGGGTCCTCAGAATCCGAGTCCGAGTCGGGCGCAACCATACTCCGGTCGGTCGCTCGTCTCCGAATGCCCAACGCAGGTGGAGGGGCTTGGGACGCGCCCGCGTTCGACTCGCGCCGCTTCGTTGCCTGCGTCGCACTTCCAATGACGCGACCCCGCACGTAGTCGAAGTAGATCTCCATCAGCTTGTCTGGCCGTTCCTCTGGTGCTGCGGAGTCAATGGCCTCGAAAGGCGATGATGGGGCGATGCTGACAGGAATGGTGAGCATGGTGGTATTGGGAGAGTCGGGAGTCTCCATTTCGAAGGACTTCTGGTTGAGGGCGGAGAGGACCTCTTGGATGTGACTGCGAAGGACATCCTGGACCTTCTGCCTTCGGATCATTTCCTCTTCCGTCTCTGAGGTGCTTGGCGTGTTGTTCGTCCCGGTGGCGGTGGCGGTGGCGGTGGCGGTGGCAGAGGCGGCGGTGACTTTGACGGTTTCAGGCCTCTTGACTGGGCCGGCGCTGAGGACGGATGTCTCCCGAGGCAGGTGAGGACGGTCTTGTTGTCTTTTCCCGGTGAGGATCTCGTCGGTGTCGTTGAGGGCCGTATGGAGAAAATCCAGGACAACGACGCTCGAGCTGGCACTGGCGCCCCCTTTCTTGAGCTCGCGCTGGATTGTCCTGCCGTGGTAGCGGATGGTCCTCATGGCGGAGGAATCCTTGTTCAAAAGGACGTCTTTCTTCTCGACTTGGGCCATGTAACCTTTGAGAACCTTCCTCAGGGGGAAGTTCTTCATTTTCCACTGAAAGATGGTCGGGTTGGGAAGCAGGCGGAACAAGCTGTGTTCGATGTGCAGGGTGCGAGATGACATGCCGATAATCTCAAACGGAACTATGCTCCCCCACAGGCGAGTGTGAGCATGCGAAGGAAGGAGGTCCATGTTATGAAAGGGGTCAAAAAGAGGAAGGAAAACTAAACTCACGAGGGAACAGGTGTGTAACGCGGCAGTTCGAAGTGTCGTCCATGGCAAAGTAGTTGACGGTCTTTGTGTTGCAGCCGATGAGACTCAGGGTCTCGGCGATTTCGGCCCGGCTGGCCATGTTCAACATGCTGAGATCCTGCTGGTCGTCGTCGAATCCGAGGCGGCGCCTGTCGACCTTGTGCGGCGAACGATAGATGGTGGGCACAGCGCCGAAGCACAGATCTTTGACTTCCTCGACAGGGATGATGCGGTTCTCCTCGAACTTGCTCTTCCCGTAGACCTGGAAGGTGAACATGATGCCGAGGTCGGTGACCTGCTCTCCGGTGAGCAGATAACCGTTGCCCTCGGCGCGATAGCGCTCGCGGGAACGGTCAAACTCGGTCCAGTAGATGCCGAGGATGGCAGCCATCTCGACCATGTGGCACCAGGTGGTAGTGGCATAGGGCTTCTTCACGCCGTCGGGCATGGTGTCCCAGCTCTTCCTCTTCTTCTGCAGCGCCACGATGAGGGAGTGTTTGTCCTCGACAGACTTGTCGTCTGGCCGGCCCGGTTTGAGCAAGGCCGAGGGGTCGTCGGAACGGGGCGGCTGAGCGGGGAGAAGGCGCTTACGCTGCCATGCCCTCGAGTCGCGTTCCATGCGCTGGATGGCGCTGAGAAGGATGACCCAGGTAGCCAACTCGTTGTCGGCGGTGTGGACGGCTTTGTCCTCCATCTTCTTCTCGTCCGTGGACCCGGAATCATCCTCTTCTAGCTGTGACCAGGTATCCTTCTCGCTCTGCGGGGTGCCGTTGAGAAACAGGAGCGGATTGTTCTTGAGGGGACCCCTCTTGTTATCGGGGCGGCAGAGGAAAATGACGGGAGCCTCGTACTGGACTTCGAAACGGAACTCGTAGGGGCGAAAGACGCGCAGTTTGGATTTGGACCACTTCCCGATGACCTTGGAGTCGCAGTGGGCGTAGCCGGTGGCGGAGGCGTAGTACTGCTGGGCAAGTTGAAGGACGGCGGCAAGGAGGGCAACGACGGAGATAATCAGGGCGGCGACAGCGACGACCAATTCGCTCGTGTCGTCGGCGACTCTTTCGATGACATCTTCAAGAAGGTTTGCCAGCGTCTCTTCGTCCATTATTCAATAGGTCGGGCAACGGGATGAAGATTTGTTGGTCAGGACTCTGGTCCGTGAACGTGGCGCAGGCGAGGGTTGAGGATGGGGGGGTCGAGACACTGTCAGAGTGTATGGAGGACAAGGCGCGTTGTTGCTCGGGGCAAGGAGGTGAAATGAGGACAGAAACGCCGGTCGCTTTGAGGACAAGACACGAGCAGTCTATATGCAGGCAGGAAAGTCGGTTTCTTTTTCGACGACGGGGACGGGGAGGACGAGGAGGACGAGGAGGACGAGGACAAGGGACTCGGGGAGGATTAAGGAAGAATCGACATTTGCACATCTTTGACGAGGGCCATGGTGCATGGTGCATGGTGGGGAAGAAGGATCGGTGGCTGGTCAGACTGGGACGCTCGTCTACTGACAACAAATTACAATGCAGGGACGAAGCTTAATGAAGCTGTCGCCTTGCAGCGTCAACCCTCAAAAGTTTCAACGTTCCCTGCCCCTGAAATTATTCCTATTCACTCCCCAGGACCGCCTGGAGGCCTGTGCGGGATGCTGGGGTACTATTGTCACTTCGTACGGAGTGCTTTCGTAATTCGTCCTATGATATAAGGAGCCGCTATCGAAAGTTGCGATAGGGCTTAGGTAAGGCGGGAGGAAGGTTAAAAATGCAAAACGGCAAAAAGAAACGGAAAAAGCAACGGGAAAAGCTACTATTGGTCCATATAACAAGGCACCGTACATTGTTCACCGTGTCTCGCTCCACTTTTGCGCAGCCGAAGGTCGTCCTGCTTTCTGGCTCGCCCTCTGGCCCGCCCGTATTGCGACTGGTGAGTTCTCTGGTCTGGCTCTCGTGAGGACGGTTCCACCCATGATCATGGAACTCCGCGGCAAAGGTTTTGGGGCAAGGCGATGTGAACCATGACAAAAATAACCCTCTGTATGATGCAGGTAGGCAGGTAGGTACTGCGACGTATCGTCTGCGCGGTAAGAGTTTCTTCGGGGAGCTCGCTGTCCTCGCTGTCCTCGCTGTCCTCGCTGTCCACAGGACTGTCTGTCATGGGCCCCGGTATTACGCCAACGGCAATGCCAAGCAGGCGACATCACAGCACTTACACTAAACTTCCACGTCTAATGTTCTTAAGAAACCTTCAAAGATAAGAAGAATAAAAAGGAATAACAAAGAAGAAAGGAGAATAAACAACGAAAATGTAGAATTAGAATTAAAAGATAATAATCTTCTACTTCGTAGACTTCCCGGGACTTATTAATATGTCTGGTCCGATTTGATGGTTTGAGTTTCGGAAGGAGCCGAGCCCTTAGGGTGGTACCTGCCTCTATGTGGATACGGTCCTGGGCCAAGATGTCTACTCCTGGCGACTTAGGACTACCTAGGTACAACTTCATTCTTCATCTTTCACCCTTCATCCCTCATCCCTCGTTTTCTCGCGTGCGGTCTTGCTCATAAATTCGCAGTGAGCAGAATCGCGACTGTATCTTAGAGAGCCGGCATTAGAGAGAGACGAGGCGGGCGACTGTTTTACGACTCTACTCGCAACTCCCCGTCTCAATTGACGTTCCATCAACCTTCCTGAATCCTGGCGATTAGCGAAGGAGTGATCGACGCGCCTCATCCTCTCACCATGGTCTGGCCTTTCTCATCAAACTACCCGGAACGGAAGGCCAGGGATGTCGAGGATCAAACCTTTGACTACATCATCGTGGGTGGTATGTGTGGCTCTCTTTCTCTCCTTCCCTCTTTTTTTTTCCCTTTTTTTTTTTCTTTTTTCCCCTCTATTTCGTGACCTGCTAATGGCTTTTCCCAGGCGGCACCGCCGGCTGTGTACTTGCCGCCCGTCTCACTGAGGACCCGACCGTTCGCGTGCTTCTTCTCTGCCGCGGCACCGTCGAGGATACCTGGTTCTCCCGCATTCCCTTGATAAACCAGGCCATGCAAAAAGACGCCCCTCAGGTGACAGCTCTGACATCCGAACCCGACGAGCGATGGGCCGGTGAACCTCTCGTCTCCTACACCTCTCGTGCTCTCGGCGGAGCATCCCGCGTCAACTCCCTTCTGCTCACCCGCGGGGCCCCTGCCAACTACGACCACTGGGCTGAGCTAGGCAACGATCAATGGTCCTGGCAACACTGCGAGCCGTGGTTCCGCAAGATGGAGGACGCGTCGGCTTGCTATCCAGCAGCCGACCATCGCGGCCGTGACGGTACAACTCTGATTTCTTTGGTGCCCCATAATTCACGACGACCCCCGCTGACTTTCGCTCTCGTTAGGATCTTTGCTAGTGCATCAGATACCGTCCAGCTTCGAGACAGACAAGTAGTGAGTTCCTCACATACATGCCACCCCGTCTTCCTTCATCCTCAGTCTTTTTTTTTTTTTTTTTTTTTTTTTTTTTTTCGCAAACGGTTTGGCGGTGATGGCTGATGTATTCGTCCTATCCACCCCCTCCTGCGACGACAGCTGGGCCGGAGCCGCAGAGGACCTGGGCATACCTGCTCAGACAGACGGAAACGACCCGCAGGCCCCTGCCATGGGCATCTTCAATATCGACCTTATGGTCACTCGAGACGGCCACCGCCTCTCCGCCATGGATGCATACCTGCCCACCTCTCTGGCCCGGGAGCGTCGGGGCCGACTCTTCGTCTGCACCGGTGTGGCAGCCACTAGGCTTGTCATCGATCAAGACACCTCTCGAGTGACCGGGGTGCGGATTGTCGATGTCGAGTCCAAGGGGACCGCGCGCGAATACCTCGTCAAGGCCAAGAGAGAAGTCGTTGTATGCTGCGGCGCTTTGTTCACCCCCCAGCTGCTCATGCTAAGGTATGTTTTGAAGCCAGTCCTCCTCCCGTTTCCTCATAAGCCGTCTCCCTCGTTCGGTGAAGAGACAATCTTGACTGATGGGTTATCCAAATGCGCGTAGTGGCATCGGACCCAAGGAAGAGCTCGAAGCCCACAACATTCCAGTTATCCACGACCTGCCCGGTGTGGGTGCGAACCTCAGCGACCACGTCGCTTTTGGTCTCTCCTGCGAAGTCAAACCTTCCGACTCGTACACTCAGCTCGTGAAGCCGTGGGTCTTCCTATGGCACCTGCTTCTTTTCCTCCTCTTCAAGACGGGATTGCTCGCCTCGACACCGACGAAACAGTGCATTTGGGTTCGTTCCGATGCGATCGACGATGCCACCATGCAGGTGCAGACCCGCGCCGTCCGTACCAACGACAAAGGAGGAGAAATCCAGCACGACAACCTGGACGCATCACGCGTGGAGAACATCCCGGACATCGAGTATATGATCATCGCCGCTCCTTTCAGCCACGACTACTCCTGGAGTCGCGGCTACAGCGGTCTTTTCGCGACTCTCGCGCGGCCCTTTTCTCGGGGCCGCATTGCCCTGGCGTCGGACGACCCGCTTGCGCTTCCCAAGCTATACCACCCACTTATCACCGACCCCCGCGACTGGGCCGTGGCCCGCAAGGCGGCCCGGTTTGGCATCCGCCTCTTCGAGCGAGTTCGTACGAAGGGGTATCCATCCACCATGCCCTGGTTCAACGCACCGGGGATGAAGAGGGGAAGCACGGAAGGCAGCTGGGGAGATGTGAGCGACGAGGATATCGACGCCTACATTCGGAAGTTCCTCAATGCGTCGCTGCATGTGACGTCTTCGTGTCGCATGGCCGAGGAGGCGGACGGCGGCGTGGTCGGGCAGGATCTCCGGGTTCATGGGTTCCAGAACCTGCGGGTGGCGGATGCCAGCGTGTTTCCGGCGTTGACGAGTGCCCATACGGTTGCGCCGACGTTCCTTGTTGCTGAGAGGTGTGCGGGATTTATCAAGCAGGATTGGAACCCAAAGTCGGCTTGATTTTAAGTAATGGATGACGCTGGGGAGCGTCAGGTCCCTTACTCGCATGCATTCACGTGGAGCAAAGCCCGGGAGGACGACTGTATGACCTGTACCACTACTTATTCCGCAACAACAATAGCTCGCGGGAATCAAGGTGAATGGACCTAATTTAATTGGTTTCTGCAGTACATGTTCGTCCGAGTCTGACATATATCATGCTGCTTGCAAAATGCTGCGGAGGAGAGTACGGGCAATGCACGCCTTCATAAGTCCATGGTAGGTACACCGCCCGCCTGCATGAACACAGCAGTGGTAAAGTCATCACAGCTTCTCGGAACTCAGCTGTAATGTGTGGTCAAACCAAGCAACGGCCTGGGCATGAGCCTGCTCCTTGGCCCATTTCTGCTGGGGCTGAGAAATATCCGCGCGAATAGCAAATCCGTGGCTGACGCCGGAATAGAGGTTGATTTGGTAAGGCAGACCAATCTTCTGGAGGATCTCTTCCGACAAGTGACGCAGGTCAGGGGGGAACTGCTGGTCGACTTCAGCGGCGGCGATGGACAAGGGGCCTTGGACACCGGCGAGCTCGTCCTGAGTGACGAAGCTGGGGTGGGCAAAGAATCCCGAGTCGATACCAGACGTCTTGTTCAAGTGGCGCACGACATACTTGGCTCCGAAGCAGTAACCCACGGCGCCGACCTTGGTCACGCCGTAACGTTCCTTCAGGGCGCGGACAGCATCAAGGATGATGGGGTCGATGACAGCGGAGTTATGCGGGGGTTTACCGTCGTCACCCTCCTCGATCCACTTGCGGAAATTCAAGTCCATTGGGGGCGGGTAGGGGAGCGGGTCACCCTTGAAGACGTCGACGACGAAGGTGGTGTAGCCCTCGGCGGCGAACTGGTCGGCTACTAGCTTGGTGTTTTGCCAGAGCCCAAAAATGTCAGGGACGAAGAGGATGCCGGACCCATTGCGGACCTTGTCAGGTGCTGCGGTGGCGACGTAGGCCTGCACATTTTCAGGGCCGAAGGTGATGATTTGGCCGGTTGCCTCGCCTCTTGGAAAGTTGGAAGTTGGGGGGTTGCGATGTCAGCAATAGTTCTTGCTAGCCGGCACCTTTTTTTTTCACAAAGTAGTAGTTCATGAAGAAGTGTGCGAAGAAGACCAGTGTACGAGTGAGGAGATGTGGCATGTGGCATGGGAGGGGTAACGGTTAGGGGGAGGAAAGATTATGCTTACTCGTGTCTGAACCCCTGGATACAGCACTGGCCGGGAGGATAAGATGCCATTTTGACGAGGTGGCTCAGAGATAGATAAATTCTGAAACTGGAATAATGGACGAGGAAGAAGCAGAGAAGAATGGGTTAACGAGCATAGGGGTCGACCGTGAGATAGAGATAGAATATAGATACCTTGCACGTGGGCGTTGGTTCTTTACAACCCCGGAAAAGCATAACATTCAAGGCGAAGGAAGCATCACACATTAATAATTCGTAAGTTCCCCCGCTAAAAAATAGTAGAATTACGTGATTCATAAATATGCAAGGACGGCGGGACGTATTTACGTTTGACTCTGCAAAGACCGATGGATTATGTCGTAGGACCATGCAGTCGTTGACTCGTCCTGCATATGCGTCTCGATGCCATTCCCACTTTGCCATCATTTCAACAGGACTTGTACGGATACGGAGCACGGAGCCATGGAGATAACCACTTGGCGCCTGATTTTCCTTATACGTAGGTAAGCAAGAGATTCTTTACAAGGTTGTTCAGCAGATCTTGGACCTACGAAGTGGTATTTGTAGGGGCCTTGATGAAAAAGGCGGTCGGCATAGGTACACAATATTGATCGACGTCTAGGTACTTTAGGCCATTGAGATATAGGGCGTTTCTAACTGCGGTATAAGCCCTGTGTTGGATCTGTTCTCTTACTGTGGTCAGGAAACGAAAAGTACCGAGCACGGTACGGAGTACTGAGACATTGTGATTCGGGGCATTCCTTTAGATGGCCGCTGTGTTCTGTCGCCAAAACCCGCTTGACTTTAGAGGGACGGACATGTTACGAACACCCAAGCACGTAACAAGAAGACCCGGGCCTATTTACGTTACCTTACTTTTCTGCTGGGATAAATGTTTGTGGATCTTGGACCAAACTGGTTGTTAAGCCCGCCGCCCTAAACATCTTCCTGAAGTACTGTGGTACTCTTCGCGTACACAGTATCGGTACAGTCAGGTACCTAATTCCCGTATCCGTACCGGTACGAGGCAAGGCGATAACGGCACACCGACAAACACTAAGAACACCAATCACCTTTTGTTGCAACTTGTTCCGACAGCAACCTACGGCTTCACTTTCACATTGCGCCCCCCAAACTTGACTTCATCTTCTCGGAAACAACATAACAACCACAAGCTACCGAATTGATTCTATCAGCCGTCTATTCTTCCTGCGCGTAGTCACTGGCTTCAACACAAAATCCTCGCATGGCGAACTTCGCTGTCGCCAATGGCGAGTAACCACCCTGCGACCGTGTCCGACCACCACCACCACCACCACCAAGAATCCGTCAAGAGTCGACACCACAATCCCCATGATGCTAGCGCCTCGATGTCTCGTACACCCACATCTCCACGCGATGCCTTCAAACGATCACGACATGTCGTAGCCACAGGAAGCATCTCTACCGACTCCTCCGTCCACCCTCCAATCGCTTCACCGACATGTCCTCCCACGAAACCTGCCGCTCCTCCCGCCACGTCCCTACCAACCATCCCGGGCGGCAATTCGGACGAAGACCTGTCCTCCCGCTCCTCGTCCTCTTCCGACCTGACAGGCCCCCATCCTTCCGCTACTTCCGACGGCACATCCCCTTCTCCACCCTCCCCAACGCCGTCCGACCCCGCTCCACCGAACAAGAAGAAGCAGGATGAGAGCACTAGACCCAGAAAGACCTCCGCCTCGGCCAAGCCGCCAACGCACGGTCGTGTTCGAAGGCTGTCTGCTGTTGACATACAGCAGTTGACTTCTGAAGCCGAGTCTCTCCCCGTCGCCATCTTCGACGGAGAAGGAAGTGTCGTCGACCTCGATCGAAGCCGGTCACGATCCCAGAATCCACGCCCACTCCCCGCCGACCAGCTAAAATCCAGACAATCTGTACTCCCACCGAACAACCTCACACAGCCTGGAGCTACAAGACTCGATACGACGGGGAGGGATTCACAACGGGCCTCCGAACATTGGCCTCGCCCCGGTCTGGGAAGGACGACGTCCACGCCTCCGGGGAACAGAAAGTCGCAGAACACGGATACGGATTCCCCAAGCTCGTCCCCTCGCCGAAACTCCCTCAATCCCTCCTCCGTCCGACCACCCGCCTTGAAGCTCGCTATCAACGTCCACCCCAATGCCGACGACCAGGCCTCTCGCTCGTTCGCGAGACCTGTCTCTCGGCCTCCATCCATCACGACCACGCAATCCCAGCTGCGACCATTCCAATCTTCTGCGCAACCAGGTCTACCTCTACCCTCACCGATGCCGCCCTCGATCCCTCTCCCGCCGATGTCCATACCCACTCACCTTCAGCTTGAGCTGTCTACGCAACGGCCCAGTCCGCTGTACATTCATCAGTCCTACGCCAACGAAATTCCCTACGAATCCACCGCCGTCAAGTTGGAACGCCTGAAGAATGTCCTCGTCCTCCCCTTCTACCTCGAACGAACCCTCAACTTCGGCGCCCTTGCCTGTCTCGATGCGTGGCTTTACAACTTCACCATTCTCCCCATACGGTTCTGCATCGCCGTGGGTGTCCTGGTCAAGTGGTGGTGCTACTTCATCGTGAAGGAGGCGAAATGGGCCGTCAGCTATGTCTGGCGCGGCCTAAAGAGGAGAGTCTGGTCCCGGGGGAGCAAGAGCCGTCGTGGCTCAGAACAACCTTGCCCGGAGTGTGACATCCAACAGGGCGCGCCGGGAGGCCGGGGCCCAGGTCAGAATGAGACAGGTCGTCCTCAGGACGTTCTTCTGACGCAAGACGAAAGGAGGCGCGCCGTATCGTCTCTCCGTCTGCGCTCAGATAGCAAGGCGGCTGCTGGCAATGGCCATGCCGCCGACGCTTCTGCTCAACACACCAAGGGTGCCCATCCGCTTCCCCACAAGGACCATGACCACAATCACTCGGGACATGGCATCTCCGGACACCGGAGGGCCAAGTCGTTGCCTTCCAACTTGACCAATATGCACAAGGCCGACATCCTCTTGGGCGGTGTCATTATCCTCAGTTCCCTCTTTCTCATGAGGCTCGATGCCAGCCGCATGTATCATGTGATCCGTGGACAGGATGCCATTAAGCTCTATGTCATTTACAACGTTCTCGAGGTACGATCACCATCATCATGCCGGCGCTCTGCCTCTCTGCTTCCATCTGGATTCTTCTGGCTGACCAATCTTGTGTACAGGTTGGAGACCGGCTCCTCTCCGCCCTCGGCCAGGACGTGTTTGAGTGTCTCCTGGGTACCGAAACGGTCTCCCGAACACCGGCCGGACGGTCCAAGGTCCTGAAGCCTGCCGGCCTCTTCCTGCTGGCCCTGGCCTACAACATCATCCACTCGGTGGCGCTCTACTACCAAGTCATCACCCTCAACGTCGCCGTCAACTCGTACTCGAACGCGCTCCTGACGCTGCTCCTGTCGAACCAGTTCGTCGAGGTCAAGAGCACCGTCTTCAAGCGCTTCGAGAAGGACAACCTGTTCCAGCTGACGTGCGCCGACATTTCCGAGCGGTTCCAGCTCTGGCTCATGCTCTTCATCATCGGGATGCGCAATGTCGTCGAGGTCGGGGGCCTGTCCATCCCGGGCGCCGGCGACTTGAAGGCGACCAGCACGAAGCCGCTCCACAGCCCGTCTATTCTGCCGCACAGCTTTACTATGTTGCCCACGTGGATTTGGTCAGGCGAAGTGCTCTCTCCTTTCCTTATTGTGATTGGCAGCGAGATCCTCGTCGATACCATCAAACACGCCTATGTCAACAAGTTTAATAAGATCAGGCCCACATTTTACAGCCGTATTCTGGACATACTGTCGAAGGATTACTACACTAATGTAAGTTCTCCTCTCCCCTCCCTTCTCGTCTCACTCTCTCCCCCTCCCCCCCAATCCCCCCTTTCTCTCTGCTTTTCTTCCACTCACTCCATACCTGGTGGTTCTTCTTAACTGACCTTCTCAAGGCCTTCGTCACACCAAGTCTTACCCGCCGGGTCGGGCTCGCCGTCGCTCCCCTCTCGTGCCTATTCATTCGATCATCCATTCAGACATACCACATGTTCCTGTCGTCCCACGTCTCGGTCCCCATCGTCGAGTCGACGCAGACGTCCCTGTCGGCCGAGTCGGCCACGCCCTCGTCGCCGGTGATGCTGGCGGCGCTCGACAGGCTCGACACCCTCCTCCGGGACGCCCTGGGCCGCTCGGTCTACGGGTATCCGTACGGACGGGCGAGCGGGAAAGGCCGTGGGTGGCTGGATTGGACGACCGACGACGTCATCGCCGCCGTGACCATGCTCGTGGTCTTCTTCATCGCGTTCTTGGTCCTGCTCATCGTCAAAATCCTCCTCGGCATGGCGCTCCTTCGCTATTCGAGGAACCGGTACGCCAGGATGAAGGTCAAGGAGCATCTCATCTCCGTGGGCCAGGCCTCCCCGGAGTCGTATGATGCGGAGGGAAAACGGCTGGGGGGTTATGGCCACGTTGAAGTCACGGAGGAGAAGAGGAGGTGGATTAACGCGGATAAGGACGAGGGGCTCAAGGGGAAAGGAAGGCCTGACAAGTCGGAGAAGAAGACGCCTGAGGGGGAATACCAGGGCGTGCAGAGGTATGAGATGGTTACGAAACGCATTTGGTAGGCGTTTTTATATTTCTATTTTTATATATACATGATCATCAGGTGGTGTTGTTCGGCATTTGAATCATTTCATTTCAGATATTCTTATAGCTTGCTTTGGACAATGGTGTTCCCAGCATTGCAACTGATGTGAGTTCGGTGTGGTTGCGAGTGTCTCCCTGATAACGTAGACTGAGCTCTCGGTTGCACTGTGCTCCGTACATAGCATGTCTTGGACTTTGTGATAGACGGTCGTTGAGAAGGCAACGAAGAGGAATAGAAAAGGGGTTGGGAAAGTAAGAAAGCTAAAGCCTCTACCCCTACTCCTGGACGCGCTGACAACCTTTGTGACTGTCATCGCCTTTCCCGAGATATGCAAATCAGATGTCGAAAGCTCATCTAGCTCAAGAGGCAAAAGGAGACCGGGGTCGGAGAAAAGGGCCAAGAGTATATCAACTCGCTTCAAGCACACATGCAGGCTCAGGAGTTACAGGGCTATCCTTTCAGCTACACCAAGCGTACCGCAAGTTGTCAGGTCGCTCGTTTCACAACAACTTTTCCAGGTCCTCTTGGATTGCCTTGGCTTTTGCGATGCCTTCCTTAAGGATAGCAATAAATTCGGCCTCTTTCTGTTCGGCCTCTTCATCGATAACCAAAAGTCCGTGATCTTCCAAGTATCGAGTGTACCGGTTGGACGACTCAACTCGGCGCTCTGCCACCGACACGAGGTCCTTCGCTCTGCTATGATGCTCAAAGAAGTTGGCAACATTTTCTTTGTAGTCGCCCTTGTTGATAAATGCACGATAGACCCGGAGTAGCGTATGGGGACGACGCAGGATTTGAACCATGGGAAACATCGACTCCTGTTGCGTGTTCCAGTTCCACTCTCGCATGAGCTGGGCGCAGCCCTCAGAGGTGGCGGATTTGGCTTGAAGGGCTTCTTTAAAGTCCTGGATAATGGGGTCCATTGAGGGAAAGATCAGTCCAGGGCGACTATGGCCTGTGACCCAGAGCGGCGGTGTGAAGTATTGCAGAGGCACCGTGCCGGCGAATTCCCCGTCGATGATGCCAATGATGTGTAGGTCCTCGTCGACGACGATGTTTCCACATGTAAGGTCTAGGTGGGTCAAGATAAACGGGCCATTTGACCATCGGGGATTTAGAAGCTGCGGAATTCGTTCCGCCAAGGTGTGAAGTATGAATAGCTCCTCTTCTGCCACCTGCTGGTCTAAGGATACGGACGGCACTTCGCAACTGTTGGATAGGATAGCGTATTGGTAGTCCATGAATGCCTCGGCGGAAGAAAAGGATGATAGGCTGCACTTCCTCCCGCGATCTACCTGCAGCTCATTCATAGCCATACTGAGAAAGCCGTCGACAACTGGTTCGGATTCGTCATCGGGGTTTGGCATCAAGGAGCCGGCGGCAGGGAACTCTAACTGACGCAACTCGACGAGGACGTCGGTCAGATCGTCCAAGAATCGTCTTCGGCGCTCCTTGGTCGTCTTTTTCACGTCGTCGAGGCGAATTGTTTGGCCAGGGATAAATTCGGAGATCATGAATGTCGTTGTGGTGGACCCATCCTTCGTCAGTTGCGTGGTTTGGCCGTACGCATGGACATGAGGGACGGGGATCCTCGTCTTCAGCTTCAGATAACTATGAACATTAGCACGGTCACGATAGGAGAGTCGGTTGGACGAACCGCATGGTGGCAACCTCGCTCTGGACCTTGGTCCAACTATCGTCAACCACAGGCTCTAAAGGGATTCTGACAACCAATGTGGTGCTGTCGCCAAAACGAGCAAAGAAGCAGACGTTGAAGCTTCCCCTGCTCTGCCTGGTGATGTTGCAGGGCTTACGGTCATTGTGCTGAGAGGCGAGGTGGCAGATAGCCCCTTCGTCTATAGAGGCGACAAATGCTTTAATTTGGTCTTCGAATTGCTCCGATGTCAGAGGGAATGCGGGGCAGGAATCATCCTGGACGTGATGATGGTTGTAAGTCGCGACACTTTAACCCCGATCTCCGAATAACCCCTGGTCCCCTGGGGAGCTTCCTGTCCAGTTTACGGCCTAAGCCTTGTGGTCAGTAAGTTGTAACACGAGGCGGGGAAAAAAAAAGGAAAAAAAAAAAAGGAAAAAAAAAAAGATTAACGCATTTCGCCTCTCTACCAGACGGTTGCTGTCTTCGACTACGCCAACCATGAGAGCACCATGACGAGGACAGACCATGTTGCGTGTGGCATATACACGGAGCTACAGGTGACTGGGTCGACAGAGGTTTCGGTCCGTCCAGCCATACCGCGACGGCATTTTCGAGACTCTTCGAGATATTGAGGGTAGAATTCCGCACATGTACAGTGCACTATCCTATCTGTTTGAGTAGTAGGAAAAAGTAGGCCAATGATGGGGGATTAATGCACGTATTAGGCTCCGAGGCCCTGATGCAGATGTGTTCATGTCCACCATGTCCACAACGGTCGTAATAGCTGAGGCTCACGGCTGCCTATGTATTCACGTCCACAATCGCAGGCGGTCTTTGGTAACCGGGGTACCAGTGGTTATCCACGTAACTATCTGCGATTAGGTGGAAGCTGATACCCAGATTGTGGATTTTGAGCTTCATCCAGCCAACGTCTTCGTCGGTATAGCCATCAATAGGCGGCAGCGGTTCATCTCCGAGTATTGCCAGCCTTTCTTCTTCGGTCTCAGGAGCCCCCTCAGGCTCCCACGCAGAATTAATGAAATTAACGTGACCCATATTCCACCAATCGCTGGGGTCACTGTCATACACAATGCTCCGCAAACTGTCCTCATCAATCTGAAGGAAGAAGATATGGCGGGAGTTATCTCGGAGGCTGGGGACCAGACGTAAAACACTTCGTGGTTCTGCGTCTGGCGAATCTTGGACCGATTCGGGGATCGGCATACCCGGATGGCTTTGTTCCTCTTTCTTGAAAGCCTCGCGGGCCCGCCCATTTGCGGAAGCGTTTCCGAAGTTCTGGTCGTGAGATGCTCTCCAGGGTTTCCTTGTCGTCCATAAAGACGCAGTCAAGGGAACTGGCCAAATCCGGCGCTCTTAATGCCTCTATGTCAGATGCCGAGACCTCTTGAATGGTCTCTTTGACTCGCTTCCAACCCTGGTCGTCGCCGTACGTGGTGCGATATACGACGAAGCCCCATTTCCCGCCTTCGCCGAGACGTTCTCGGAGTTGAGCCTATCGGCGTCGGAGGGCCTGGGGCTATGTAAGGATACCGACGTTGTGAATGACCGGGAAGCCGTCGGAGGGGGAAGGAGATTGAGACGCGAAAGAGGTTCCTGTCGATTATCATAAGCCACTCGCGCGAAGCATTGCCATAATGGGCGATATGCCCATCGCGTTGCTTGTATGGCGTGATATAGGTGGCGAGTGTGTCGCCAGGGTGAGTTTCAACGAAAAAGAAAGCAAAATTGTCCGGGAAGTCAAGGGCGATATATTAGTATAAATACCCTCCGCCAACAGTAATCAAGGAGGGTGGTGTTAGTGGTGGCAGGGGTTTTTAAGGGGTTGCTTATCAGGCATATAAGGTTGGATAGTAAGCACGTAAAACCCACTATTTAATGATCCATGCTACATACCTCCTACGGTGAAAGAGACAAAAAAAGGGGGGAAGGACAAAAACATACAACACCGGGTATTCGCTGGTCGTCACCGACCCAACTACTAATCCAGCCCTCACTGGCTTATCTAGGGGAGAGCGGACGGGATCCCGAGTTTTCCAGTGGGTATGGTCGTATGTGCTCTATGTTATGGTAGAGGATCTAATATACTCTGTGCGAAGAAAAAAAAGAAAAAAAAAAGAAAGATGGACAAAAAAACAACCGTCTCTTGCGTTAGATGCACGGGCTCTGGCAGTTCGGATATGTTCGGATATCAAGTCAAGCCTCCTCCCAGAGGGCCACAGAGATGGTGCAATGTGATCAAAGTCGTGCGTACTAATTACCAAACAACATACACGATCAAAGACCTCAATGCTTTGAATACACACAGGTCGGGATAGACGAATGACGGGAGTCACAGCGAAATTCTTCCATGCTGCGTCTCCAACTGCTTCACAACGACATCTCGAAGATCATCCAGCGAGTCGACCAAGGTGAGACCATACCGGGCACAGACAATCTCAACGTTGCCCCTCTTCCAGAAGGCCGCGGGACAACACACGACGACCAGCTTCCCCGAGTGAGCGGCCAGGCCCAGCTCGAGGAGGCTGACGGGGGCCTTGGTGTCCGGGTGGAAATAAAAGACGACCAGGCCTGCGTGGTGCTGCATGTCGAGCTCCCAGGTGGTCTGTTCGACGAAGCGCTGGTCGGAGACGTCCTCTCGCCAGGTGTCGTCCCAGTCTGGACGAAAGGGGTTCAGAATTACGATGGGAAGGGAGAGAGAGGCCAGGGCATCGGAGAGGGTGGAGCGCCAGTCTTGCTGATCGGGGTCGGTGGTGCTGGTGGTTCCTGCGAGGAAAATGGTCTTGTGGTCTGGGGGGAGAGGAGGTCGGGCTGGGGCTAAGACGACTAATGACATGTCGGTAGTTGTAGAGAATTATTGAGGATTTGATATAATTGAATTATGAGCACGTATGATGTAGATTTGTTTGGATGCCGAGTGTTGTAATTAAGTGATGGATAATATTAAATGACGAATGATTTCATGGGACACTTCGCTGGATTATGAGAAGGTCATGTCGAAATGCGAGAGGTCTATGAAGTAGGATTGTCGGTCAATCAAACTTCATCACAACTTGGAGCTGAAAACGCCCCATGTCTTGGAAGACACGTCACTGGCTAGAGTTGGGCATTGACTCTGCTCTGGAAGCGCTACCGGGACACAGCCTAGGCTGCACGACCTGCGAGGTCCCGTTCGCTCCAGAACAGGCCACGGGGCCTGGTCCTTCCTTTGTTGCGGTGAGGGTAGGGTGAGGTGAGGGCTGGGACAAGTCTCAGTCTTTCGCTCTCAACCATCGGACTGCTGCAGGTCTTCCCGGAGCAAAGGGGAGATGAGACGTGTCGTGACTGGTTGCCTCGATTGTCTCATCGCTTCGAGACCAGCTGCAGTCGAACAGCGGACGGTGGACATGACGAGAAATGGCGAAATTGCACAGTGGGATGATAAGTGATAAGAGGCCAGGGCCGACGTCGGACTAAACGAGAAGATATGAAATGAGAAAGCAATCGATCATAGTTGTGGACAGGAACATACAAGGGACAGACAACTGCAGGCCTCAGGGTCAGCCTGCGTGACCTGGGGTCTTTTATGTCCTTATAGGTCTTGGCCATGCGGCTTTCCGAACTTCTTGTTTCGGTCTGGATCCTATCTGTTGTGACCGATGATTGATGGATGATGTGTTTTAAAGGAATGTCGATCCCTATTCGTCTGCCGTCTTCTGTCTTTTGCATTCTGCCATTTGTGCTCTGTGCTCGTCCGCCCAGTCTATTTTCCTATTTCCTTTGCTTTTCTTCCTCTTCCCTTTTTTTGTTCTTGTCCAGAAATCGGTCCTTTCGTCCTGAACCCCAACAGTACGGAGTAGCGGCATGACAATCGACCGAGAAGAGCAGGGCATAGTCATCCGGCCTACATCATCCCGGACAAAACAATGGGGAATTGACGACGATGCGGTCTATCAACATACGAGTCCTCATGAGGTGGAGAGCGAGGTGGTGGTGGTAGGGAGTCCTCCGAAGACAGTACGCGTGACAAAAAACGGCGCTGGCAAATGGATACGAGTCGAAGAAGACGTAGATGGCAATTGTCGGGGGTGCAAAGAGATTCGAGAGAAGGAGAGAAACGGGGAATATAGGTATGAAAATGCCTATAAGACTGGTAAGTTGGTTTCATGTTGTTGTTTGTGTTGTCGCTTTGTTCGCCCCCCTCCCCCTCCCCGTCTCCCTGTCCGCTGTGGCGGTTCCTACTATAGGCGGTTTAGGGGCCGTCGATAGCGCCATGTGGCCCTGCCCGTCCGCTAGTCACGACTATCCACCCCTATCCACACCCCTGGAGCTTCGGCCTACCTTACTCCGTACAGTGGGGTCACTGGGAACCAATCACGCCAACGGTGCATTCCGTCATTTACGCCAAACCGACTTGGTCTTGGACCCCAGATTTCCAACTATCTTTATTACCTGGGGAGAGAGTCATGTTAATTACCAAAGATCCTCTTCTCTCTTGCTACCAATTTTCCTTCGGGCTTTTCTTTTTTCTTTTTCCTTTCTTTTCTTTTAATTTTGACTTGTCTAGTTTCCCTACTCCCCCATTGAAGCGTCATGCCGTGAAGAATCAGCTGCGCTGACCATCATCTTCTCCCCCCCTTCCCCGAAGGTATCAGCGCGAAATTGGTTCGTCTCGACGATAGCTACCAGAAGAATAGCTCCAGCGACCACGGCTCCGACTCGGACCCCGGGTCTGAATTCGACAAAGACAGAGACAGAGACAAGGAGGACAGTGACGACTGTTACGGCGACGACGACGACGACGACGACGACGACGACATGCCTTCCACTCTCACGGCTTCCGACCTCTCCGACACAGAGGACTGCCCTTGCCCTCAGACCACCCCCAACCTGGTCCACAACCTGAGGCACGACAGCTCCGTCCTCTGCCTTGCCGTCTGCCACCAAACCGAGTCCGTCTATGCAGGCACGCACGATGGCGAGATCGTGGTCTGGTCCCTCGCCACCTTTCAACAAGTCGGCAAGGTGCAAGCCCACAAACGCAGCGTCCTCAGCCTCTTCCTCACCTCGGACGGCTCCATGCTCTTCTCCAGCGCCGGCGACCCCATCATCAACGCCTGGTGCCCTTCCTCCCTGACCCGGCTCTACGAGATCTACAGCACTTACGACGTCGGCGACGTCTTTTCTGTTGCGTACAGCAGCCAGCACGACACCCTCTACATCGGCGCGCAGAACACCTCCATCCAGTGGGTGAACCTCCAAGACCCCAGGAACCGCACCGTCCACGACTCGTCGACCCATCCCGACCGGAGGAACCACCGTTTCTTCGACTCCCGGGCCGTCGGCGGCACCTCTACCCCACGCCGTAACGACGAACGATGGACCCTGATCCCGCGCGCCGAAAAAGTCGTCGAGATACCCGCTGGTGCCATCCAGATGTTCGCCCACTACGGCTACGTCTATACCATGCTCATAGCCAAGGGATCTACAGTTCTGGTTGACGATGACGAAGAAGTGCTCATCTCCGGGGGAGGCGACGGTACCATCAAGCTCTGGAGGCTTGGCGGTAGCGGTACCGGTAATAATAACAACGAAGGGGAGGACGAGGGTGGCCGGGATGGTGGCTCGGACGATCGAGAACCCGGGCTGGACGAACTGATGGTCCTCGGCACCGACGACGCCGAGTCTGTCATGTCCCTGGCCATCGATGGCTCGTTCCTGTACGCCGGCAAGCTCCGCGGCATCATCGAGTTGTGGGATCTCGACACCCGGTCCAAGCTGCGCGTGATCAAGAGCCACAAGGGCGACGTTATGAGTTTGCAGATGGGCTGGGGGTATTTGTTCAGCGCTGCTTGTACTGGGACGGCTAGTGTAAGGATTTCTTTTTCATCTTTCCCTTTTCTTTTTTTCCCTTTTTTCCTGCCTCTCCTAATCGCCCCATCCATCACAGAAACACAGCACCGTCCACTACGGCGAATACCAAACCGCCCAGGCCGAACACGTCAGCCAGAAATACCAGTGCCTGGCCCGCTGGAAAGCACACCAGGGCAAGATCCTCTCCTCCATCGCCACCACCTACAACGGAAGGCAATACTACATCACCGCCGCCAACGACAAGGACGTCTCCATCTGGCGCATCGACAGCCCATCGGCCGCCCAGCAAGGGGAAGCCGAAGAGACGGAGGACGTCATGGTCACGGCCCTGCAGGAGTTCGTATCCTTCAAGACCGTCTCGTCGCGGCCCGAGTTCGCCGAAGACTGCCACCGCGGCGCCACCTTCCTCGGCTCCCTCTTCAAGCGGCTGGGGGGCCAGGTCGACATGCTGGGCACCTCCAGCAGCCCGTACAACCCCGTGGTGCTGGCGCGGTTCAGCGGCACGCTGCAACAGCAACAACAACAACAACAACAACAACAACAACAACGACAACCCGCGAAGCGCAAGAAGAGGATTTTGTTCTACGGGCACTACGACGTCGTCCCGGCGGACCAGAGGAAAGGCAGCAAGTGGGCCACCGACCCGTTCCAGATGAAGGGCGTCAACGGGTACCTGTACGGGCGCGGGGTGAGCGACAACAAGGGCCCCATCATGGCAGCGCTGTTCGCGGTGACGGACCTGGTGCAGGCCAAGGGACTGGACAACGACGTGGTGTTCCTGATCGAGGGCGAGGAGGAGTCGGCGTCGCGCGGGTTCAAGGAGACGGTGCGGCGCCACAAGGACCTGATCGGCGAGGTCGACTACATCCTCCTGGCAAACAGCTACTGGCTGGATGATGAGGTACCCTGCCTGACCTACGGCCTGCGCGGCGTGCTACACGCCACCGTGTGCGTCGAGTCGCCGCGCCCTGACCTCCACTCGGGCGTCGACGGGTCGCACATGAACGACGAGCCGCTGTCGGACCTCACATCAGTACTATCAAAACTGAAAGGCTCGGGAAACCGGGTGCTGATCCCGGGGTTCTACGACAACATCTTCCCGGCCACGGAAGAAGAAGAGGTCCGATACGACGAGATTGCGCGGCTCCTGATGAGGCGGAGGGGCGAGAAGGGCCCCGTGGAGAAGGTCAAGCAGGCGCTGATGGCGCGGTGGCGCGAGCCCAACTTGACCATCCACCGGTATAAGGTGTCCGGGCCAGAGGGGAGCCTGGTGAGCAGCCACGCCAGCGCGCACATCAGCCTACGTCTGGTGCCGGGGCAGGAGGTCAACGAGGTGGTGACGCAGCTGGCCTCGTACCTAGAGTCCGAGTTTGACAAGCTCGAGTCGGACAACACCATGACGATCCAGATCGACAACAAGGCGGAACCGTGGCTGGGGAATCCGCAGAACGAGATTTTCCGGACGCTCGAGGAGGCGGTGATGAAGGCGTGGGCTCCTGTGTTTCAAGGACGAGAGGGAGAAGCTGGGAAGACCACGACTGACGAGGTCCCCAGGAGACCGTTGTACATCCGCGAGGGAGGGTCGATCCCGGCCATCCGGTTCCTGGAGAAGGAGTTTGGAGCACCGGCTGCCCATTTACCCTGCGGACAGGCCAGTGATTCGGCCCATTTGGATAACGAAAGGTTGCGGGTGTTGAACTTGATGAAGAGCCGGGAGATTTTTGCTACCGTGTTTGCGCAGTTGTAACGGCATAGTCTGGGAAGCAAGCGGTAACATTGGTTTGGCCGGTGATGAACAAAAGGAAATGCTTGTAAATATAGATACCCATTACGTGGAATAGGAGATATTTTTCTCTTTACTCGTCGTATGATTGATGTTGATGATCTCTTGGAGTCCAGGGAATGAGTCCTTCCGTACTGTTATACGATGCAAGTCTTGGTACGAGGGTACACCCGTAGGAACTCCGGCATCGGCGTTTTGTTATCTTATCTTCTGCTCTTATCGTTATCAGCCTTATCAGGCTTATCGACTACCTTGGGGCGAGAGCAGCGGATTCGCGATGCTCCCAGCCTCCCACCATGTCGTCTCGCATATAGTGTCAAATGTTGTTCTCGCTCTAGATCATTAACCAGTCAGAGTTTCTTTTCTTTCGCCCGTCATTACAGAAGATGGAATATAAACCCCAAGCAGCGCCAGGGCCCAGAATCAAACCGCGCCTCATCATCCATGGCGGCGCAGGAAACATCACGCCCGCCAATCTCCCTCCCGCACAATATCGTCAATATCGCGCCTCTCTCCTCTCCATCGTGTGTCTCGTCCTCCGCTCTTCTTTCAGATTTCTCTTTCGTGTCTCTTCATATCACCTTACTAACCGTCTTCATCTGACTTCCCCCGAACTAGGTGTGTAAAGCAAATGCCTACATGACAACACCCATACAACCCGACTCGCAGTCTCCCCGCTCCTCGTCCAACATCCAACCACAGCCACCACGCCTCCCCTCCGCCCTCGAAACAGCAGCCTACGCCGTAACCCTCCTCGAAGACGACCCCCTCTACAATAGCGGCCGCGGCGCCGTCTTCACGCGCGACGGCGTTATCGAGCTCGAAGCCAGCGTCATGGTATCCCGCGGCCGCGCCAAGCGCTGCGTCGGCGTCTCCGGCATCCGGACCGTGCGGAACCCCATCCTCCTCGCCAAGGCGATGCTGGAGCACGGCGACCAAGACCTTCGACCGCACGGGAGTGGCATTGTTGAAGGTGAAGGAGACAAAAGAAACCGAGGGGAAGGAATAGGAGGAGAGCAGCCAACACCACCACCACCGCCACCGCCACCACCGCTAGACATCCCGTCCGCTCAGGGACATACCCACCTCCACGGCGTCGAGTTGACGGCTACCCTGGCCGAGAGGTACGGGCTGGCGCTCGTGGACGATAAATACTTTTTCACGGACCGACGGTGGCAGGAGCATCGGCGCGCTCTGGAACGGGAGAAGGCAGAAGAAGGGGGACGCGGACGAGGGGTGGCGGCTACGTGGAGTGCGGATGAATACCTCCCCCAGGGGACGTGTGGAGCGGTGGCGCTAGACGAAGACGGCGTCGTTTGCGTAGCCACGAGTACCGGCGGCCTGACGAACAAGTTGACGGGGCGGATTGGGGATACCCCCACGGTCGGGGCTGGGTTTTGGGCTGGCGAGTGGGACGACGATGAGCCGATAAAAGAAACAATGTCGGGAAGAGGTGGCGAGATGGGTCGTGATTGGATGCATCACACGTCCCTCGGGGCTGTCGCCTTGGGCGGCGCCTTGCGCTGGTTCCTGGCCGATTGCCTCCCTTCTCCCTGGACCCCCTGGACATCATATGGCCCCGTCCCGTCACCCCAGATCACCTCGACAAGGTCGTTCGGCGCATCCGGCACGGGAAACGGGGACTCGTTCCTGCGCACAGCCGCCGTGAGGAGCGTGGCGGCACGAGCGCAGTGGAAACCCGAACCCAGTGCCCAGGCTTTGACGGCCGTGACGGGTCCCGCGGGCGAACTGCAGCGCAGCGCAGAGGACCGATGGGGGACGACGGGTGAAGGCCAGGGCGGGATGATCGGTATAGAGTCCACGGTACTTCGCGATGCGCACGGCGACATTGTCGGGGCGGCGTCGGAGGTTCTGCAGGATTTCAACTGTGGAGGCATGTTCCGGGCTTGGATTGACGATGATGGCCGGGCCAGGGCAAGGATTTGGAGAGACGGGGAGGTGTCTGAACCTTCGATTCGGCAGCTGGAGGAGGCGGTAGAGGAGGTGACTGACTGGGTTAGCAATAAGTGTGTTTTCGAAACGGGAGCAATATAGAGGAATAGGGGCAACGTAGAGAGTGCGAGAGGTGAGAGACGAGAGACGAAAGACGAGAGACGAGAGCGGAAAATGCACTAGAACGAAGATTTCTATACCACCCATTCGCCTGGCTACGTTAGGAGTTGGGCTAACCGAGAAGACCACCATTTCATCTCCTGTTCTGTCCTCGTACATCAGCAGCCCTCTTGGCGGCTAGAGAGAAAGTGTCTCCGTCGTCGTCGCCTCTTCTTCCGCGTCGGGAACGTCCGTTCCTTCGGTCAGCACTTTTCATGATGCTGCTTGTTATACAATCGCCGTTCCTGCCCATCAATCTATAATACATGGAACGCCCTGCCTGGTATGCAAATGGTAATTGGTTTGGTTGAGAGATTAAATTCGTCGTGTGATACTGAACACAAGAGTCGAGCCGCGCGTGGCAGGGAGACTGGAGAAAAAAAAGTGGACGTAGAGAGCAGACGTAGAGAGGGGTGGGTGAGACTCGGTTATCGGGTCATGTCGTGTCGGGTCGTTTGCAGGTTACGCCTGCCGGTGTCGTCTTGGAAAAGAGTTGTGAATATCAAGGGCATTCATTAGGTTGCATCGGCCATTGTTTAAGCCAGTTGATGTTCTTGTTGAGAAGGAGGTGGTTGAGGGAGCTGCATCACCCAGCGAGTTAGCCCAGGGTTCAATTTCGCAACTTTCGACCAGAAAAAAAGAAAGAAAAAAGAATCAAACGAATGCCAAACTCACCTCCAGCTTGGTGCTTCCCGCAAACATCTTCTGGAACCCGATACCGACACCCTCGATGACACCGAGCAGGATGGCGCAACCAATAGCACCGTTCCGGGCAGCCTTGTAACCACCACGAATGGCGAGCGCACCACCGGTCAAGAAACCCGTGATGATCGAGTTCCACGGGTCCTCCTTCTTCCTGATGCCCTTGACGGCACAGTCAAAGGTGCCGAAGAGACCGCCGAAGACGCCAAAGTTGCCGCCGAGGACGGGGGCGCGCATCTTGATGGCCGTGATGGCGCCGATCCTTCGCTCGCCGTAGGGGGAATTGCGGAATCCCTTGATACCGTGCCATACTGTGCCGCCGATGGCCTAGAAGGGGATACATAGTTAGTTTTTTTTTTCTTTTCTTTTTTTTTTTCTTTTTTTCGCATCAATGGGATATAATCGCAGCAAGCGACAAAGTGCCCATCCCCTGGGGGAGTAGTGCGATGATTGTCGATGATAAGAGTCGAGATGGGATGCCGGGGGAAGTAGAAGAACGTACGCCCATGGCGAAAGCACCGCCAAAGTCATTGAGAATAACCCAAGGGCAGGGGTCTCGGGTGTGATCCATGGCTGGCTGTTGTAGTAAGAGGAGAGCTGAACGATTGGATGGACGAGAAGAGTCGAGACGGGGAAAAAGCGAGGCGAAGAAAAGAAAAAAAAAAAAAACGAACTCGACGGGGGAGGACGCGGGACGCTTAACCAGGCGTGGCGGTGATGTTGATATTAGTGACGGGGATGGAGATGGAGATGGAGATGGAGATGGGAATGAATGACATGGGAGGACATGGACGGCGTCGAGGTGGACGATTGATGGAGCTTGTGATGATTTTTTTCCCTTCGGCCTGCCGGCTTTTCGGATATTCCGCAATCTTAAGGTACCAGTCAACTTAAAGCCGGATTACTAAACGACCTCTACCAAGGTACCTCTGCCAGCCCCTTTTACGGAGCCCGGAGTAATAATAACCCGAACTTGATGCGATTCCCAGACGCGATGAACCAACGACCTGTGTCAAGCTAATATCGACATTGCTCTTAGAATTCCAATTCCAACGCCATCATCACCTGCAATTTCCTTCGACTAGTCACTGTCAATAAGCATAAGTCCAATCCGGTCAACCAACTCCTCAACACCAACCCAAGAAATGCGGGACTCGGGTCCAAACACCCCGAGATCCAATGCCCCCTCCCTGACTGATGCCTCCACGTCAACACTCTCCTAGAATCAAGGCATAAGATGTCAGCATCCTGCATCTCTGTATCGCATCCAAGCCGATGAATGGAACTCACCGGAAATGCGTCCCGGACTGCATTCTTCTTCACGCACAACGAATCCCACTCTCTCGTCTGAGTCGTCTCGGCCGCCCTGTCTTCCGCCTCTTCCATGTCTGGCCCGGCACCCGACACCTGCTCAATCCACGTAGTCTCCAAGTCTGATCTTCCACCCTCGAGAGGCGTATTGATAAAGTTGACAAACACGTCAACCGTCACCCCCGTCCAGTCCTTGACTTCCCACAACCCCACCGTTGCGTTGACGGGCGACGTAATCAGATGGAGGTCCCTCTGGATCTGCTCCGCCACGCGCATCAGACTTGGACTTCCCTCCATGGATACCTTGACCGGAAGCAGGTTGAGGGTCGGATAAGAACCAGCCTCCAGCCCGTGGTCGTTTTCGTCGTCGCCGTCGTTGTTCCAGTTCCGGTTGGCATAATAGATCCCCAACACCACATCTTTGTCTTTGCGTCTGCCGCCACCTTGGCCATGTAGTACCTTGGCAACCGCGGCGAAGAGGAGCGACGGAAGTCCAATCCCTGACTGGGAGCACGCTGTATACAGTCCTGCCACGTCCGCGACGGCCGACCTCCTGAAGCAAGAAACCCTCCGCGACGGACCTCCAGCCCTTTCATCGACGGCGTTGCGAATACCACCCAGGTACTCCGTCCAAAACTCACGCCGGGACGCCTGGACGTCTGGAGACGAGTGATGCGCCACGAACCTTTTCCATGTACTCATTTTCGACGTGCTGGCCATTCCTTCATCATCATTCTCTGCCAGGAGCTCACCGAACCTCCGCATCACCTGCGCCAAGCTAACGGCATCATAAAGTGCGTGATGTATCCGCAGCCGGACTTCCCAGAGGCCATCATCTCGCGGAGTAAGCCCCAGACGCACCAGAGGCCCACAAGCCGCGTCGGCTGCTTCTTCGACTTTGTGGTCCGACCCAGGCATTACAACTGGTGAGGGAAGAAGAGATCCATGGGCGTCTGGCTTCAAGAGAGCCTGCAAGAATGGCAGCTCCCGATCTTCCGTCGCCACGAGACACGTCCGAAGCATACGCTCCATCCCGACGAGCCTCGACCAAGCCGATCGCAGCGCGTCGAGCGTTACCGGGATGCAGACTCGATACTTGAACTCGGGGTAGAAGACCTGGCCGTGGGAGTTTTGCCACGCTGTCATCATGTACACCTGCATAGGGAGCGCCGGGAAGACCTCATCGACCTGGTCGTTGTCTAAACCAGCCTCTTCGAGTATGTCGCGGACGTTGATTCGATCTGGAATGTCGCATTCTTGCCGCTTGTGGTCGTTGTCGGACGCAGCCCCGCCAGCAGCAGCCGCTTTGTCAGCCATGGTAGCCATGCTTGAGACCGACGACGCTGCGAGAAGTTGTCGGACGCCTAAATGGATTCCTCGCTTCCGAAGGATGGAAGACACTTTGATGGTGCTGATGGAATCCAAGCCAAGTTGGTAGCATGTGGCCCCCTTGCAGACCGCTTCTGTCGGGATTCCTGCCACCTCCGCAACCACAGCTCGTATGGCAGTTTCGGTTTCAGACCAGGGAGTATCTTCGACAGTCCGGTTTCCCTCCGCCGGCGACGAAAGCTCTGGGCCATTTCCTGATCGTGTGCCGTCGTCCATGGTAAAAGGGGGGAGTCCACAGATTGAAATCTGACCTCCCTGGAACTGCAGCAGGTTTTGGTCCACCGGCTCGATAAAGTACTCCATCACTCTGTCAAGCTGGTGGAGGATCTGCGTTACGTCGTCTTGTCCGACGAATGAGTCCTGGCCAGCAACTCGCCAGATGAGGCCGCCATTGCCCACGGCTTCCAATTCTACCGAGATGGCAAAGTCGGCTGTCGCAGAGCCACCCACAGATGTAAGTAGTGGAACCTTCTCCTGCCCGGCGGGAGAAACACCGGCTTCGGGCTGTTTCTGGAGAAGGAAAAGCGTGTTGAAAAGTCTCCCCGGTGTCTGCTTGGCTGCAACCTGCGCCTGCCGGAGGGGGTACCTCTGGTGCTGGTGAATATCCGCCATAGTCTCTTGCAGGTAGCCTAGAAACGACCTCGCCGAGCCGTGCAGCACGCACCGAACCGCCACCGTATTCATTGTCGGGAACATGACGCCCTGCGCCTCCTCCGTATCTCGGCCGGAGAGGACGACGCCGAATACCACGTCCAAGGCAGATAGCCGACTGGCAAGCACGGCTGACCAACATGCCTGGCCCACCACCTGGAGACTGAGTGCGTTTTCTCGACAAAACGACAACACCTTCCCGAGGTCAACTGTCGACGCTGCTTCCGCGAAATGTGCACGCCGCCCTGCCGTGGACTCGCGCGTTGACGGTGATTCCGGTACTAGCGAAGGGCGCCCACCCGTGAGATACTGCGTCCAGAATCTGCGGCACTGGTCGTCTGCAGAGTCCAGCAGGAGTCGCAACGTGGGCTCCACCGGTGGACGTTCAATGATGATGTCTTGATACGCTGCTGCCACGTCCTGGTGGAGCAGAGCAAGCGACCATCCGTCATAAAGAACATGAGCCATGGACAGAACAAGACATGTGTGGCCCTTGGCCTCCGCGAAGGTGAGCTGCAGAAGCCCCCGCCTGCCTTTCTGCTCCCTGATATACTGTCGATGCTCTGAGATGACGCTGTCGATATCCTCCTTGTCCGCAAACGGACAAGATCGAATCCTAGGCGGTAGTTCCTTGAGGACAACCTGGCAAAAGGTCTGCTGTACTTGGACGTTCTCGAGTTGTACAAACGTTGTCCGCAGTATGGGTGATCGCTGTACAACCTTCAGCCAGGCGTCAGAGAGCATCTGAACATTAACATGGCTCGCAACTTCAAGAATGTCGTGGTTGAAGTATCTCTCAAAGTCAGACTCGAGCATGTCGGCCATCATCGACTCTTGTAACGGAGTGGGCGGCAACACGGCCTCAACAGTAGCCATGTCAATGTTGAGCCCGCTTGACCCAACAGCCTCCCAAAGTTGGACCTTCAGTTCATCAAATGCGACGCCGGCCTTCCCTCCTTCTCCCACCACCTGCGCATGTCCTAGAATCTTCGACATCTCCGCGATGGTCCGTGATTTTACGAGCTGAGACGTGGTGATGCCAAGTCCCTGCTTCTTGAGCCGCGCTGAAAGACTGACCAGGTCGATGCTGTCCAGTCCCAGCTCAAGCATGGGAGAGTGCTCCGATACGCTTTCCACGGGCAGTTTGGCAAGCGCCGCTATCTCTTTCCGGAGTGTTAAGCATGGTTCCGTCCACTCAAAGATTGAAATGGCCAGTTCCGGTGGGCTGATATCCGTCGAAGGAGAGGTAAAGCTGTCGGTCGAACTCGGGTTTGTCGTATTCGGAGAAGTGAACGGCGAGCCTTCATCTGACAATGCCTCAGACCCCGGGGATAATTTTCCAACGTCTCCCGTGGTAACAAGGGTAAGGATCTCGCCAATTTCATCGATCAGCACTTCTAAGTCGGGTTCAGTTCTCAGGTTATCGTGGGCCGCAATATGGATGTGTAGCGTATTATCGGCCTCGAGAGTGGCTTCGAATGCCAACGGATAGTCGGACGCCGCAAAGTCATCAACAACCGTCCAGGGATAGTCGGTTTCTGGGGTAGTTGCCGGATCAACCTGGAACACGAAGAGGTTATCGAAAACAGCTCGTCCGCCTGAGCACCACTTTTGAATGCTGCGAAGAGGCGTGTGCTGGAACTCCAGAGTCGTCGTAAGATAGTCATGACATCGTTTTACCAGACTTTCCCAGTTATGGTGCTTGACATCAGCATAGAACGGGAGCGTATTGAACAAGGGCCCGATGATATCCTCAGACTGGCGGATGTCAATGGCTCGTCCCGAGATGACAACCCCAGTCGCAGCTCCTACGGTAAAGCACCTTCCAAGGATCGTTGACCAGAGTCCAAGAACAATGCTCTGCATAGTTGTGTTGCTCTGCTTGCGCACCACGTCCAGTCCATCAGCCGCGAACGTGCGACGAACAGATACATGATTGCCAGCTCCTCTCATCGTCTTTGGGAGTGCTTCGAAAGAACAGTTCCCGAGGTGTTTGGACCAGAAAGAACGAGAGAAGTCGAAGTTCCGAAGCGGGCCATGAGGAAGGGCATCAACGAAAGGGGCAACCATCGAATGTTGTTGTCCCGAGTATTCCTTGGCCACCCACTTGAGCATCGAGTCGAAACTTATTCCGTCGTAGAGGCCGTGGAAAATATGAACGACAAGCTGCCGCCCACCCGGGCGATGAACAGAAAGGAATTTCAAAGGGGCAGTGACGCTTTGGCGGTTCCTCTCTATCCAGCGACTTCGCGATTGTGACACGACGGTATCGACATCATCCTCATGACCGTCGTCAAGGACAAAGTCATCCCACTCGAAGCAGGTTGAACGGATGGCAGCCTGGGCGAAACCACTCGGAGTCTCGACAAACCGCGTCCGAAGAATGGAATGAGAGGACACTAGCTTCTCCCAGGCCATTCGGAGCCGGTCAAGAGAGACCATTTCCTGAAGTTGTAATCGGAATGTAACAAAATAGGCCTCGTCGGCCTGGCTCAAGGATCGAGAAAGCATGCCTTCTTGTAGCGGAGTGCACGGCGCGATGTATTCGATGTCGTCTTGATCAAGACGAAGCTCCTGGAGGACGAAGATGCGGAAGCGATGACCAAAGGCCTGAATACGTTGTTTGGCTTCTTGGGTTGCACCGATATTGTCAGTAGTCCGGTGGGTGCTCAGAGCCTCCGCGAGGTCAGACAAAACGGGGTTGCGTAGTATCGTAGACGGCGAGACGGTGATGGACCCCCTATCTCGGAAGAGGGCCCCGAGGCGGAGAGAAGAAATCGAATCGAGCCCAAGTTGGAACAGGTTACTGGATAGTGACATCACATCTCCGGAGAGACCAGTGAACTCTCGGATCACCGATAACACAGCCCGCTGGATATCGGTTTGCGGCGCGTCGGATGTCCTCCTCGGTACTTGTGAAAGCTGAAGCAAGTGCTCTGGAGACAAGGACTTGAATAGCTGGGTTAAGGTCTTCATGTCCGCTTTGTTGTTGACAGACAGCGGAATGTAGGAGATTTCAAAGATGTGGGAGGGCACCATGTATCCAGGCAGCTTGTCTCGACACGCTCGCAGAACCGACTGCCGCAGCTCAGACGTCAGGGGTCCGTTGCGCACCTCCAGCGTCGATCCTGGATGGGGAGCCTGGCCAGAGGTGACAAACGAAACAAGCAAGTCCTTATCGACCTTGGGATGCTTGGAAACCATGGTGGCGACATCATGAATATCCGTCACGCCGCTTCGAATGGCGTGGTTGATTTCTCCAATCTCCAGTCTCTGTCCTCGGAGCTTGACTTGATCATCGGAGCGGCCAAGGAAATCGAAACAACCGTTATGTAGACGTCGAACAAGGTCACCCGTGCGATAGACCCTCTCGTTGAACTCCTTGAGGTTTGGGAACCGTTCTGCCGTGAGCTCTGGCCGATTGAGATACCCCTTACCAACGAGCTTTCCGGAGACACAGAGCTCGCCCACTGCACCGCTTAGGACAGGGATCTCGGTTCCAGGATGGAAGACATATGACCCCACGTTGTCAAACTGCCGTCCGATATTGGAGGCGCGCCCATTCTGCGGTACTCGCTGGTACATGGTGACGCCGATTGTGGCTTCGGTCGGCCCGTATGCGTTGTAGATGACCTCCTGAGGTCCCCAGACATCCAGGATCTCCTGTTTGAGAGCTTCGCCTCCCGTGATAAAGACGCCCTTGCCAAGACTAGGTACGTCTTTCGGATCTAGAAGACGCGCCAGACTTGGTGTGAGATCAAGATGGGTAATCTCCAGACGTCGAATGGTGGCCGCAATGTCGTCGAGAATCAGGTCTCTGGGTGCCGCAATGAGTGGGATGCCGACAGACCAACTCCAATACTGCTCTAAGACCGAGACGTCGAAATGGAACGACGCAAATTGAAGCCACTTCGAGTCGTCGTCCCAGTGTCCCTCGAAGAGACGCTGGAAAGCCTTCATGGCCTGGACGGTGTTCTCATGCGTGATCTCGCATCCTTTGGGTGTACCCGTTGTGCCTGAAGTGTAGAGGCAGTAACAAGTGTCTGTCTTGTGCAGAGGAGGATCAAGATGCACTGGCTCCTGAGACGCCTGTGCCAATGACATCGAGCCGACCTGGATCACTGGTTGCGACGGCCGAAAATCCAACGAGTCGCTTTGGACGAGGAGAGCAACGGCTTTCGAGTCTTCGAGGATGAACTTTTTCCGGGCCTTCGGGGCCGATGGATCAAGGGCGAGGAACGCACAGCCCGCTTTCAGCACACCGAGAATAGAGAAGAATGCCTCCGGGCACTTGTCGAAGTGAAGAGCAACAATGCCGCGGCCAGTTACACGTGAAGCCAGCAAGTTGGCGACCCTGTTGCCCATGTGATCGAGGTCCTGGAACGTCCAGCTCTCTTTCTGCGGGATCTCGCCTTGGAACCCCGTCACAAACTCCAGGGCAACCCGGGTCGGCGTCTGACGCGCTGCCGTTTCGACGGATTCATGCAGGAACACCTCGGATGAGGGAATTTCGGGTTCCACTGGCGGGCTGATGGACATCAGTTCAGGATGTCGTCGCCAGAGTTCACTCTCAGTGGCGGTGGGGTATTGGGCGAGGTCTTCGAGTATCGCATCGAATTGGTGCAGAATGACGATGGCTTGATCTCGCGGCAGTACATCTGTCCGAAAGGATATTCTTACATCGATGGTATCGTCAAGGGAGGGTTCGATCTCCAGAGACAAGGTGTAGTCTAGCCTGCCCTCATCGTGAACCTTTTTCCAAGGTAATTCGGAGGGGACGCTGGAGGACAACTTCTGATAGACAACCAAGGTATCAAAAAGGCGAGTACTCGGGTGTCCCAGCCACTTCTGGATTCGAGATAAAGGCGAATATTGATGTGCCGCGAGTTGCGTATTGTACCGTGCCATTTGGTCAATGAGGTCAGCGTTTGATGCCTCATTGCGGGCAATGATGGGAACGGTGTTGATGCAAGGGAGAAAGGCATCACTTATGTGTGTATTCCTACCCGAGAGAACGGCGCCAAAAACAACGTCATCCTCCCCAACATAGGCGGCAAGGACTCGAGTCCATGCTGCGTGGATGAGAGACTGAATAGACACACCTGCCGTCTTTGCACATTGCTGTAGTTGCGAGAATCTCTGGCGGGAGACTGATGCTTCGGTGAGCAACTGTCCAGACCTCTCTATCAGCGGTGTCAAGGTAGGGAACCTGTTCAGTGTGGTCCGTGAAGCCATCTGCTCCCAGTACTGCTTGGAATCGCCGTCATCCAAGGCCGCCCCGAGGATCAGAGAGAGGGCATCCTCGGGACATGTCTCTGCTTGGAGCTCTTGCCCTTTAAGAACTCTACCGAGATCATGCAGCAATCTTTGGAGCGAATCAGCATCATACAGCGCATGGTGTATGGCGAGATACATGGTGGTTTGGTGGCCCTGAGCTGCAATGGCAACCCTCCACGGCGGAAGTTCCAGAGATCTCAAAGCTCGATGAGCCGAGTCGAGCTTCCACTTTGCTTCGTTGAAGGGCCTATCCTGTCCCGAATAGCTTTCAACCGGAAGGGGGATGTTGGGTGAGTACACAACCATCGCAAAAGTCGTATGAGGACTCTGGACCGATGTGAACCCAGTTCTTAAGATGAACCGGTGTTGAAATAGCTTTGCCCAGGAATTTTGTACCTCACTCGGAGTGATCCCATCTCGCAAGACGAAAGCTACATAGTTGAAATAATCGTGCCCCTGGGACTGGATGAAGTCGGCCAACATGCCGCACTGCAGTGGCGTGCAGGGTAGGACTTTTTCCACTGCGTAGACATTCCGTACACGCCTCTGAACTGTTGTCGTCACGGATGCCTGGAAGTCCTTGATATCGTAACGAGGTTGAGACTCCGATTCGTCTCGCTCTGACTGCGCCACCTTTTCAGCAAGGCTTGCGCAGCTAGGGAGCCTCATTACATCCAGGGCCGAGATTTTGAGGCCATCCTGTCGCAAGAGGGCTGCAACTTGAACGGCATTGATACTATCGAGCCCCAGCTGGAAGATTGTCGTATGTCGTCCAATTTGCTGTTCAACTGTTCCCGATAGTTGCGAAAGCACGGCCCGGATCCGCTTCTCGAGGGGTGTCCAGGCCTCGTTTTCCTCGTCCTGATGGCGTAATGGGAGAGGATGGCTCTTTCTCGGCTCGAGCCCCTGATCTAGTAGCTGTATCGTAGGGAGCTTTGGCAGGCTCAGTTGTAGCTCGTTCGGGAGATCACTCCTCTCTGGGATGATGCTGGCTGGGTGGAGAACTATGCGTTCTGCAACATGACCTACCAGCCCAGCAAGGGCGGGCAGTGAGTCTAGTGTAAATTCGCGACTGGAATGCATGATCAGTACTTCAACTTCGTGACAAACCAGTGGTATTGCTTACCCGGTCGAATGGAGGCAGACCTCAACAGAGTCATTTGCAGGATCCGGTACGATCTCACATACAAGGGGTACCTGAGCATGTTGGGAAACAGGAGTCAGAAGATTTCATGCGCCATGTCAGTTCGGCAACTCACATCCATTGCCCCTCGATCTTCCACCACTTCCCATACTGAAGCATCTCGTGTTCGTCGGGTTGGTTGAAGCAGAAGAATAGTGTCGAAAAGGGGCTCTGAGCGTGAAGAGACCAGCTTTTGGATGAGCCTCAAGGGGGTGAACTGGTAGGTCAGGAGATCCGAGTTGAGGCTCTGCAGTTCTCTCAAGAGTTCATTGACAAGCATTGAAGAGGAGACTTCCGTACGGAGAGGGATAGTGTTGAAGCAAGGCGAAGCAAGTCGGTGAATTCCATGGATGGGAATCGTCCTACCGCTCAAAACGTTTCCGAAACAGACGTCTGATTCTCCTCGGAGAAGCCTCAGAGATATTGCCCAGATTGCCTGAGTAACAGCCAATAAGGACGTCCCAGTGCTCCTTGCCGTCTTGAGCACGTCAGACAAAGGTGTGGAGATGCGATTGCGGTAGGGTTGGGGAGGCAACCCGTCTGGGGCGGGTTTCTCAGTCATGGTGTCGGTCTTGAATCTCCTCGTGGTAGGAGTCAGCGCTCGAAACCCTTGGAAGTGCCTTTTCCAGAAATCAACAGTGGACTCTGGCAGCGTCAGGATATGGCGAAGGACGGGCTCAGGGCAAGGGGCAGGAAGAAGGGTTTCTCCCCTGACGAGGGCTTCGACTTCTTCAAGCAAGATATGCATGGATTCTCCGTCGTAGACAGCATGGTGGCAGGAGAAGATGAGATGGGTTTCTCCGTCCATCTTGAACAGCTCGAGCGAGTATGGAGGGATTTGAGAATCGAGCGCGTCCGGGACTCCACGCTTGGCAGTTTGGGTAGCCTCCTCCAAGGTTTCGCACTCTGACACCGTCCAGCTTATTTCCCAGCTAGACAGAACAACTTGGACAATTGGGTAGCGGAAATCCGAAGTGGTCATGAAGCACGTCCTGAGAATTGCGTGGCGTTGCACAACCTGGTCCCAGGAGGACTGCACAGTATTCACGGAGGCGTTGAGACGGAGGACCAGTTGATTCGAATAGGAGTCGCTTGTTGTCGAGAGCATAGCCTCCTGTAGCGGCGCACATGGTAGGATGGTGTCAATGTCCTTTCCAACCGCTGCAAAACTTTCCTTTATCTGATTGACATGGGCAGCATCGAAGAATTCCGGCCTCTGAGGGATGTGTTCGGAAGTACTCTCGGCAGGTGTTTGTGCTTCCATCAACCGGGCTAACCGCGCAATAGAGGGATGTCGGAGAATAGACGAGATGGGTATCCGCCTTTGAAATTCCGATTCAAGTGATCTGGATACTGAGATGGCCGTGATGGAGTCGAGCCCGACCGCAAATAACGACTGCCATCGACTGAGACCGTCAAGGGGAGTGTTGAGGACTCCAGAAACACTCCTTGCAATGTGCTCTTCTGCTTCTGTCCAATTCTCGTCGTCCTTCTGCTTAGAGGCTGAAGACTTGGCACTAGAAGCAACCGCATTGTTCAAGTCCTCTTGAGTACATTCTCTGAAGTCGCACAGAAGTCTCGCTCTGTTAACCTTCCCACTGGACGTACGGGGAATCTCTGAAACTGGGATGAGGTAGGTGGGAATCATGTAGGACGGCAACCGGGACTCGAGCAGCTCGAACAGAGCTTGGTTCGACGCAGTAAGGGCGTCGTCCAACACCAGAAGACCGCCAGTGTGAATATTGAGGTTCCCGGGGACGTAGAATGCCACCAGTTGCTCCGGGGAGGACTCAGTATAGCGGAAAATGAGAGACGCGCTCGAGGCTGCGATGCCAGACGAGGTGATGATCGTGTCGATTTCGCCAGTCTCAACTCTCTGACCTCGCAACTTGACTTGGCCGTCCATTCGCCCCAGGACTAACAAGGATCCATCCGACAACATGCGACCCATGTCCCCAGAGCGATAGATGCGGCCAAATTCGGGATGATCCACAAATTTCGTGGAGGTGAGATCCGGGAGGTTGAGATAGCCCCGGGCAACCTGATCGCCGCCGAAGCAAAATTCGCCAAAGGCTCCCAACGGAACAGGGTTGAGAGTATCGGGGGCAAGAACGAGAGCCGAGGTGTTTGGTAGTACGAATCCTAGGTGATTGATATAGTCTCCCTCTGCCATTCTCTTGACGGAGCAAATGTTGGTTGTCTCGGCGGGCCCGTACCCTGCGTAAGGTCAGATGAGGATATAAGAGCACAGCGCAAGAAAGGGGGCGAGAACACCGACTTACCTTGGAATAAGTGACCCATCCATTTCTGTGCAACGGTCGAAGTCATGGGCTCACCCGCTGTTACTAAGAATTGGACCTTTGGGACCCTTCGTGGGTCGATCAGGGCGGCCACGGTGGGCGTCAAGCTAAGGTGAGTGCAGTCAAGCAAGCGTATAGAGTGCTCCAGATCGACGAACAGATTGTCGTGTGTTCCGGAGCAGAGACAGCCTCCAATGGTCCAAGTGAAGAATATCTCGAACACCGAGACGTCAAACGCCTGCGAGCAGAGCTGCAAGAGACGGGCTTGACTATCGGCAGGGTAGATGGAAGCTAAGGCATCCAGGTTGCTTGTGATGTTGAGATGAGTGACCGCAATACCTTTCGGTGTCCCGGTAGTCCCCGATGTGTAAATAACAAAGGCAGTATTCGAGCCGACAACATTCCGCCCAGGGTTACTCAGAGGGAAAGTCGACAGGTCGACTTGTTGAGGGTAAACAAGGCTGCACGATGAAAATCCGGCATTCAGAAGCAGTGCCGACGTTTCTCGATCGACTAAGCAGGCCTTCACAGGTGCTTGTTCGAGGATAAAGCGCATCCTGTCAATTGGAGTTGTCGGGAGCAGTGGAAGATATCCATAGCCGGCCTTCAGAGCGCCAAGAATGGCGACATAAAGCATGATGGACTTCTCCATGATGACGCCGACAACCCCCCCTTCAGCTCCATGGTGATGGCGAAGGTACCAGGCCACCTGGTTAGAGCGTTGGTTGAGCTCAGCGTAGGAAATGGTCTCGACATCAGCGGATGTCTCAAAGATTGCGTTGGCAAAGCAGATTGCCGGGGAGTTGGGGGCATTGGATGCCGTCTGCTCGAAGCTTGACGCTAGGTCCGGACATCCCGAATAGGCAGATGGTCTGAGGTTGAAGAGCGACTTCAGTCTGGCGGGCAAACAATGTCCTGCATCTGAGACTTGACTCATGGGTTGGCTGAGAAAATGCTGGCAGATGTGGTCAAGCTCTTGGATCATGACCTCAGCTTGTTCTGGTGAGATCGCATCCGCATGGTAAGTGATTTGGCATACGAAGCTATCATCAGTCGGCTCAACTTCCAGGAGTAACTTCGTTTCCAGTGAGTCGTGATGGGATAACTCGCGCAGCGGGCTGGACCGCCGTTCTGCGCTGTACAGAGACTGCTGGTAGACGAAAAGCAAATCGTAGAGGGTTTCGCCAGGAGGTATGCCAGCAGCTTTGCGTATGTCCAACAAAGGAAGCACACCGTGTTCCAAGGACGATCGGTTCGCCACCTGTATGGACTTGAGTAGGTCTGCCACGGACCTTAGAGCTCCAAAGTTAATTCTCAGGGGCAGAGTTGCGATGCATGGGCCCATGATGTTCTCGATGCCGGCGACGGGTATCGTTCTCCCCGAGGAAGCTGAGCCTATGACAACGTCTTGGGCTCCCAGAATTGCGCTCCAAAGGAAGGCCGCTCCCGCCTGGAAGAGAACCTGGGGATTCCAACCTGACCGAGTTGCGGTCCGGTTCAAGGTGTCGGGGCTGATGCTCAATTTGCGTGAGACAGCCATGCTTCCGGACTTACCAGAAGGCCGACTCATGAGCCTTGGATAGTCGGTTCTCTGCCAACCGAGCAGATAGTCGGCCCAAAACGAACGGGACGAGTCCAGAATCGCAGAGGATAATGTGTGGCAGAAGGTCGATACGTCCTTGAATTGCCGACGTGGATTTGGCGTGCGACCCTCAAGCAGGGACGTAAGGTCCTGAATCAATATGTCCAAGGTCCAGCCGTCGTAGATGGCATGGTGCATGCGGAAGAGTACGCGCCGCCGACTCTCTTGTTCCGCACGACTTATACCGACCTGAAAAGGATGTAGCAAGTCGACCTGCCAGTTCTCAAGACTGGGATCCAGATCGTCCATGATCTCAAGACAACCGTCTTTCAACTCTTTAAAAATGACTCGGACGAAACCAGGGCCACAAGGAACAAATCCTGATCGAAGGATGTCATTGGCGAGGGCTAGTTGCTGCAGGTGACTCCGGATTAGAAGCGGGGAGCAAGACGCTGGGAAGTCGAATTCGACCACGTTGTAGTACGTAGCATCATTGTCGGACGTCTCTGTCAACATGGAGTTTTGCAGCGGCGTGCAACGATCGAACCCTTCGATCTCATCTCCCATGGACCGTAGCGAAGCGTCCATGGACAGGAGCTCGTCGATGTTCGGCATGCTGGTTGCCAGTACCGGACCGTTCATAGTCGGACTGTCCTTCGTCCGATCGCGATTCTGTATTCGGTCACATAGACCGGAGACAGAGCGAGAACTTAATATGTCCAGATATGTCGCGCTAATTTCGTTCTCCCGAAGCGCTGATGCCAGTCGGATAGCGGCCAAAGAGTCAACGCCGTGGGTGGAAAAGGGGGTTGTCGGGGTAAATGGTGTCCCAATAATTTTGGAGAAGAGAGATGCAACCTTGCCTTCCAAGGTGTTTGCATCAGCTTGGTCCAGGGAGACTTCGACATTCCTGGAGTGGGTAGTATATTGAGAGCGCAGCTTTTTCTGATCAACCTTTCCAGACGCGAGCGTCGGAAATTCAGTGAGGACAACCACGTCGCCTGGCACCATGAACGAAGGCAGCCAGCGACGGCATGATGTTGACACTCCGAACTGTAGCTCCGCAGACGTAGCGCCCTGTTCGAGGAGACAAAACACGATGAGGATGGATTCAATGACCATGGCAGCGGCGGCTCGGCACTCAGGGGCGCGCATGGCCGCATGCTCAACTTCGCCAAGCTCGATTCGCTGACCACGGAGCTTGACCTGACCGTCCGAGATGCGGCCGAGGCATTCCAGGGTTCCATCCGGTCGTATTCTGCCCTTGTCTCCGGTTCGGTACAGCCGGCCGTATGGGGAGTCGATGAAAGCCTGGTGTGTTTGGTCGGGCCGGTTCAGGTAGTCTCTCGCAAGTTGGTAACCACCGACAACGAGCTCCCCGATCTCACCAACTGGCACAATGTCGATCGAATAGTTGTTGTCCTCTTTTGGGATCTTCACGACAAAGCATGAAACGGTGTCGAGAGGTCCTCCGATGACTCGATGCGATGAATCGCCGGAGAAGGCGACTTGTAGCGTGCTGGGCTGTGGTCAGCTTTGGACGCGGCCCGACGCAAAAAGGACGGATAGGCGAAGTACTTCAAGTTCTTACCAGTGAATAGCGGCCTCAGTCGGGCCATACATGCCCCAGAGGATGCTCGGGCGAGTCTCATTGCTGCCAAACTCCTTGACGACCGGCTCCGTGAGCATCTCGCCGATGGTGAGTAGAAGCTTTAATGAGGGGACGTTGGCCCGAGTCCTGAGCAGGGAGGCAGCAACGGTCGGAGTCAATTCGCAGGCATCGACGTTGAGCCTTCGCATGATACCGGGGAGGTCATCGAGCATTGTCGCCCTGTCGCAGGACACAATGGTACATCCGCGGAAGAGGGGAAAGAAGACTTCGAAGACGGAGACGTCAAAAGTGGGTGACGCGAACTGCAAGAACCTCTGGAATCCGGGGATGTGCCGGTCGTGTGCTAAAAGACTTTGGGTGGCGGCACCATGGGGGATTCCAACGCCTTTTGGTGTTCCCGTTGAGCCAGATGTGTACATGACATAGGCCAAGCGCTGAGGTGACGGTGTCCTAACCGGTGACCTGAAAAGGAGGTCGGAACAGACAGCAGAGTCATCGTCGACGTCGAGAAGAGGAATTTCCGATTTGGGTCCATCATGGGCGAGATTGGCCGCCGTCTTGGATGTCACGAGAACAACCCTCGCCCGGAGATCGTTGAGGATGAAATGAACCCGTTCAGGTGGCGCGTCCAGGGGTAAGGGGCAGAAGGCTGCGCCGATCTTTAAGATGGCCAGTATGGCGATGTATAGGCTGGGACCTTGTGGGATGAGCAGTGGCACGACGAAGTCGTCATGGTCGGATAGGTTTCCAGCGCCAACAATGGCGGTTATTCTTGAAGCCAAGTCGTCCGCGGCATGGTGAAGTTCGGGATAGGAAAGTGATGTCTCCTCCCCATCGCCTGACAGAAATGAAATAGCCGCTATGCCGTGGCATGATTCTGACTGAACGAGATGGTGAAGCAAGTTGGGTCCCGGAACCCTGCTCGGGGGGTGGTTGAGAATAGAACGGGACTTGTCGTCCAGATCCGACGCCATGGCGTTGATGGCGTTACCGTGAAGAAAACGCTTTGTCGTTGTTGAATCACTGATACTTGGCGCTACGCTCAACGACATCGAATCGACGGCAGGGCGGGAAGGCTGTGTTCCGTACGCCGGAAGGGGGAAACTTGTGACAACACGGGGAGCACAAGCTCTGGGTTCCCCTTGAGGATGAAAGCTGTACTCACGTCAAACAACTGTTTTCGAATAGGCCGACGAGACAGAAAGACATAGACATTGGGGGTCCCATGTACGTACCCGTGGCGGATGAGCGGCGCGAACTCAAAAGGCTGTGCGACGGGCAAGCTGCATTGCGATTGCCAAAGCTGGCCGGCTTCTAAGGCGTATGGAATTATTTTAAAACACAGTGACCCATGGGCGACGAGACGATACAAATGACGAGAGCCTATTCGTAGACACAGGTCTGTCAACACCACAGCGTCAGGGACGGCAGAGGGGCGGCGGAGGGACGTCGGGAGTGTTGATATTCGGAACATGACCTACCTAGGCCTATCTTGCTTCATGCAGAAAAAGCATGCAGATGGGCGGGGTTCTAGCATGTGATTTTGTGCATAAAATGGCAGTGATTTGTTCCATTCGATGATGGACCGCCCGACCGGGTATTTTCGTAGGGGAGGGGCTGGAAGCCTGGTGATGCTCGTGATGCTCGCGATGCTGGCGATGAGGTTGATGAAGATGGAGGTGTTGATGATGGTGTGAGAGGTGACACTGGAGGACACTGGAGGAGGGGCCAACGTGGTGAGATAGCAGGAAACCCCTCTAGAACGGCGGCTGCGAGCCTAAGTTGTTAGTAGGGGACCAGCCGACACACCATCTTCAATCCCCAAAGCATGACCCGAAGACTTGCGGGAAATAGCGCCAGGTTGGCCGTCGATACCTTAGTCACAGCACACATTCGTAGTGGTCCACGTGAGGGGGATACGGAGTAATAGCTAATGAGATGTAAAGGGACGAGAGGTGGATAGCTCGCGGGACCATGAAAAAAAGCTCAGGCGTTGCAGTGAGGAACCAAGATATCCGTCGGAGGATACCCCGCGCGTGTAGGTGTAGCTCTAGCTTGTTGGTGTAGGATGGCCGGTGGCCGATGGCCGATGGTGCGATCCATTGCTTTTGCTGTTTGCCGTAGGAGCGGGGGAAGCACTCCGTCAAAGGGATTCGCAAGTTGATGCCAAGCTTTCTGACCTAGGGGGCACATCGGGTCGTCGAGGAACAATTCGTAAGGTACGGGTAGCATTCAATGCTGCGGATGTCGCTGTGGATGTCGCTGTGGAGGTGTTTTGTGGAGGAGGTCTGGAGGGTGAGGAGAGTTGGAATCAGGGAGGGTTGAAGAGCTTAGGGCCCCCACTCGATTTTCTTTAGCGGCCTAGCCCCGGGTCCTGGGTGTGCACAGGATAGGGCAGGGCACTACGGAGTACGTTGTACACGTGGAAGTACCTATGTAGCGTGGAGGTTGCAGGTACCCCTTACAGGTATGCGTGATCATTCTTTGGTTTTTGTCTTTTTGTTGTTTATTTACCTACGTAAAAGACCGTGGAATGGTGTCTAAATTGAGGGCCTTCTTTTCATCTGAATTGAAGCCAACAATTACGAGGCCAGGAACTATTCACAAAAGAGTTATGCCTTTGCGAGGATGAGACGAGAACTTAAAGCCCTAAGTACCTTGATGTGCCCTTAGGGACGGGATGTGTTCAGGTACCAAGACTTTGGCGGCTTGGCCGACTGAGGCAATGAAGGACGGAGATGGGAAGAAAATGAAATAGAAACGGATAAATCAGGAAGGAGGAAGCAGGGGCAGAAGAAGAAGAAGAGCAGAAAGGAAAGATGATAAAAAAAAAAAAAGAAAAGTATGGGTGGGGCTGTTTAGGGTTATCCTCATGCTCGGTCGCTGTCGGCAAGATCGAGCCCGTTGACGAGGGGTATCAACGGCTCTAGACCATGGTCACCTAGACACCGGTAACGGACTAAAGAGTGGTGAGAGGGGAGTTAGGACTAGGTAACCTCATGGCATCTCATGTCTTTGATATTGCCTGTACCCACAGGTAAGGTATGGTGTGTATCATCGATAAACACAGCACCGACTACGTTATTAGGTACGCCCATGGGTAGATGATGCGATTGTCGAACTCGCTTTACCCGGATCTTACTTCTCGCATCATGCGATCCATTATCCATTCCCTTTCATACCTAAGCGGTAATGAGGAGTCGTAGATTTCCTTCAAAATCCAATGCCTGAAGCTGCAGTGTCTCATTTCCGAAATTGGCTGTGTGGTCGATGTGTGGTCGCTGTGGTGCACATGTTAGCGCGGATTCGGAAAATTGGAGCGGCGTTTCAATCGTCGGCAGCATAGCACCAATCTGGGCCGGTCTTGCATTATCCGTACAGATCAGACCTACCTTAGCCAACATGTCTAAACGTCCCAGAAATGTGGACATGTGGACGCAATGGACGCAATGGACGCAACGGGAACTGTTTCCTTTTTTCCGCCTTCTCCTCCAAGGTCCGATATATGCTCGGCATTTTCATCATTTCGTCATCATATTCGCAAACTCGAGGTTCAAAACAAAGCACGGTATTTCCAGTAGACCTCAGACCGAGGTTGAGATCCCGGCGACTAGGCGGACGCGTTCTGATTTCAGAACTTCAAGTCTTCAGCCCCCGGCTCAGCTCATGCACCTCCACTGGTCATCAAAGGATTCAGATTTTTTTTATCAGATCATCAGATAAAAATTCCCTCATCTGGGACCCACCCGCTGTGACGCTAGGGTCTTGTGCTTGGAGTGCCATGGCGTAGCGCAACCGAATGCTCTCCGCTTCCTCCCGTGGCCTTTGTCCTTACCGCCATACTACAACGTGCCTTACCTCTTCTTCTTTGCCGCTCTCTCTTGTTAGACCCGACAAAATTTCGTCCTTGCCACGAATTGTTAAGTGAACTCGGGCCGTTGTCGGAGTTCGCCCCCACAAGACCGTGGTGCGATGATGGGAGAAAATGGGCAAGAGGCCATCTTTGGTCAGGGGACCCCTGAAGCCATCCCGGCAACTCACTAGACGGACCCCGGTCTCAATCTTATCAGATCCTATGATAATTCGCACCGGACGCCAATCATCACAAACCAGGAGGGGGAGATGGAAGAAAAATCTGCGTCTCTCCTCTCTGTCCCATCACGTCCTTAGATCAATCTTTACCAAGCTCGTTCCGGCTCAAGATGTCTCCGTGTCCGCCGTCGACAGCCCGCCACTTTGTTGTTCGGAACATTTCATAACATATCCAAAGTCATTGGTCTTGTCCTTCGCCATTTGTACCAGGCCCTTGGTCCCCTGGCTATGTGGCGTGTTGGCGTTGGAAAGTGCCGGCGGTGCGGAACTTCCGAGGTCTCGTCCTTCACCCATTGCCCAATCGTCTCAATCCATGCAGCGGGCGGTTCTCCGATTCGGTCTTCCCTGCTGGGGGGGGACAAAGACAACACTTATTTGACCGTTTCATCCCTTTTTTTCCAGCTTCTTTAAACGTGGAACCAATTCTATTTATTCAGGGCATCTTAAGCCGAACTGCCCTGCAGGTCAACGAACTAATCAAACCAAGGACGAGACCAAACATCCTTACCTTACTAAGGTCCATCCTCGGCGATGTAGCAGTAAGGTAGACATGCCTTCTGACCAAGTAACTCTACATCTCGTGGAACCCCAGATGGTAGCAGAGCATCCATGTCCCCAACCAGACTCCTATGATGGTTCCTCGAGGGGAGACCCATCCCTTATACCGGCCATGTCACTCTGTCCCGCTTAGCCTGTATGTGCAGAATGCGACTTGCAATATGTATGCGGCATGGTGCCAGCCCATCCGAGTACCGTACCCTGACTTGAAGTGACTTGATCAACTTGTCTTGGTCCGTCCTCGGCCTCTTCTTTAGGTATTATCCACTTGTGACTCTGGGTCGTCGGCTACGGCCTACCAGTACCTGAGACCACGAGAGCTTTGATACAAATTACATTCCGGCGACCCGCCTCCCCTACCTTTATTCTTCCAAAACCCTCTTCTCCTCTTCTTCTCCTCCTCTTCCCCTTTTTCCCCTTGTTTTTTTCTTCTTTTTTTCGATACTTTCCAAGTCTTTGGCACTGAAGTACACATATTCACATCCAACTTGGCCCTTCGCGCTAGATAAAGCGTCGTTCCGCTTCCTTTACGTCACTACCAACCGTCCCGCCGTCACCGCCACCAACAGCAACACCACACCACCACCATCATTCAAAATAGTTTCGGGACCGGTCCCCATCCCGCAACGTTGTGTCGGATCAGCCCAGGTTTTCTCAGGTGACACATGCACATCACGTCTCACTTCTTATTCACATTCTCGGCATTTACCACAGCCAAGATCTAGATCCGTGCCATCTTCACGTCGATCAACATTTTTTATTTTCCGTAACACTTCAATTTCTCTGAAGCTACCCAGGCTCTAGCTGTCCAGCTGTTGACCTGTCTAGCTGTCCCGTGTCCCGCTGTCTCATCGGTGCGGCCCGTCTTATAACCCCCCGGGGGCCCCTTTGCTTAGTACGCACCTCACCTCACCATCTCACGTCGCCCTCTACTCCCACCTCGCCGTTGTACCTACCCCTCGACTCGACAGGCTGTCATGTCTCCCCATAGCGACGCCACCGTGTCTATCGCGGACATCCCTGAACCCCTCCCCACCTACTCCGATTTGACCAACGGAGGGCCCGTCCTGCCAAACGGTGTCGGCTCAAACGGTTACGGACACGGACACGGACACGGACACGGTCACGGACACGGTCACGGTCACGGACACGGTCACGGTCACGTCCCGACAAGTCACTTTGTCAACGGCCACTGCCACACAGAAGACACAAAAACAAACACAAATGCGACCACGTCCAACTTGACCCCGACCGACCCCAACGAAGTGCAGGACCTCGTCTGCGTGGGTTTCGGCCCGGCCAGCCTAGCCGTGGCCGTAGCCCTCCACGACGCCATGGCCGCCAAGACGCCGCTCTTCAGCGAAGAAGGCCGGCAACCCAAGGTCCTCTTCCTCGAGAAGCAGCACCGCTTCTCCTGGCACGCCGGCATGCTCCTCCCGGGCGCCAAGATGCAAATCTCCTTCATCAAGGACATGGCCACGCTGCGGGACCCGCGCTCGCACTTCACCTTCCTCAACTACCTCCACCGCGCCGGCCGCCTCGTCGAGTTCACCAACCTCGGCACCTTCCTCCCTTCGCGCGTCGAGTACGAGGACTACCTCCGCTGGTGCGCCTCGCACTTTGACGACGTCGTGCAGTACCAGCGCCAGGTCGTCTCCGTGTCCCCCGACCGCAAGGCCGAGTCGTCGGCGGGGGCGCCCGTGCAGACCTTTACGGTGACTTCGCGCCATGGCAGGACGGGCGAGATCTCGACGGTCCGGGCCAGGCACGTGCTCATTGCTGTCGGTGGCCAGCCTTTGATCCCGTACGGTCTGCCTGCTTCCCACCCTAGGGTGGTTCACTCGTCGCGATATGCGTATCTCGTGCCGCAGATTCTGAAGAACTCGATGGCGCCGTATCGCGTGGCTGTCGTTGGTGCCGGCCAGAGTGCCGCTGAGATTTTTCATAATGTGCAGCAGCTCTACCCCAACTCGAAGACTTGCTTGATCATGCGGTCTGAATTCTTGAAACCGAGTGACGATTCGCCTTTGTATGTGGGCTTTTTCATTCTTTCTTTCTTTCTTTCTTTTTCTTTTTTTTTTTTTTTTCCTTTTCTTTTTTCTTCTTCTTTTTTTTGCGTTTGGGCTTCTTTGTCTTCCTTTCACGTCAACGGCAAGTCCACGTTACTGACCAAAGAAAATAGCGTCAATTCCATCTTCAACCCCTCCTACACCGACTCCCTCTTCCCCCGCTCCAGGGAATCCCGCCGAGCGGTGATCCAGGGCGCCAAAGCCACCAACTACGGCGTGGTCCGCCTCGAGCTCATCGAGCGGCTGTACGAGACCATGTACGACCAGCGGCGCGAGTTCGGACCAGACGAGCGGACATGGCCGCACCGGATCCTGGGCGGCCGGTCCATCGAGGAAGTCACCGAGGCGGGCGCCGACAGGCTACGCATTCGGCTGAAGCGGGCGGACGAGAGCGTCCCAGATGCTACGGCGGACGGCAACGGTCTCGAGGAGGTCCTCGAAGACGTCGACCTCGTCATCGCCGCCACGGGGTACCAGCGGAACGCGCACATCGATATGCTCCGCGACAGCTGGGGGATGCTCCCCGAGGTGCCGGCTGCGAATCGCGGCGGGCGCAGGGCGGTGGACGGGTGGGAGATTTGCGAGGGCAATGTCGAGGCCGGGTCGAGGAAGCTGGAGGTCGGACGCGATTATCGGGTCCGGTATGCGGCTGGGACTGTGGCGGCTGATGCGGGTGTGTGGCTGCAAGGGTGTTGTGAGAACACGCATGGTGTAGGTTTTTTCTTCCTTTTATTTCCATTTCCATTTCCTTTTTCTTTTCACTGCCCCTTTACCCTTTACCCTGTTAAAGCACGGACTAACGAATTGGACGACATGCAGCTCAGCGATACGCTTCTCTCGGTCCTGGCGACGAGGTCCGACGAGATTGTCAAGTCGATATTCCCGGGTTCCGCCAAGTTGGAACCGAATGGGGCGTGATATAAAATGATAGTTATCAAGTGTCCTTCCTGGTGTAAATATCTTAAATATCTTGTCTTCATTTTTCGCTTGTAGAGGTCTGGGGAGGTCCCATGAACTGCTGCATAGGGAGGAGTCTCTTTTTCCTGCTTCTCTTTTTCTTCTTCTTCTTTTTTTCTCTCTCTCATAATCTGTAACCCCCATTTCCCCATTCTTACAACAACCTGAATTTCGAACTCGGATCACAACGAAATCGTTACATTTTTGACCAAGCTAGAATGTGAGAAGCCCGTCTATTATCGGGCCAGGCGTCAAGGCGTGATCTGGCAGCTGACAGCAACTGGAGATATAACCCCTGGTAACATCACAAGCCGTCATCCATTTCTCATTTCATCTCCCTCACCCTCAGTCCCTCAGTGCCTCACCATCTCACTCTCTCACTCTATCCATATCTCGTAACTTAAAACCACAGGTCTAATGAATTAATCAATTCCCATGCCCCTGACAAAAACAACCTCATTAGCTATTTAATGTAACCCGCCATCATGCCCACACCGCCCACCAGAGCCGGAGCCAACCTCGTCTCCCGCTCCGTAGCATCCTGCTTCCTCTTCAAGTTCCCCCCCTCCTCCAAACCCCTTGTCGCGCTCTTCCGACGCAGCGACAAAGTCAGCACCTACCGCCACTGCCTAGCGCCCATCTCCGGCAGCGTCGAAGCCACCGACGCGAACCCCACCGCCACCGTATGGCGCGAGCTCAACGAGGAGACCACCCTGACGCCCGCCCACATCGACCTCTTCCGCAAGGGGAAGCCCTACTCCTTCGCGGACGAGTCGGTCGGCCGCATATGGACCGTCCACCCTTTCGCGTTTCGCCTCAAGTCCGAGCAGGATGAGGCCCGGATCCAGCTCGATTGGGAGCATGAAGGGTGGGAGTGGCGCGACCCGTTCGAGGTGACCGATGAGGAAGGGTTCGGCGGGGTTCCGTTCCTCGCGAAGAGCTTGCGGAGGGTCTGGTTCGAGATGGAGCTGGGAGAGGAACGGGGGAGGATTCTGAGGGAGGGGCTGCTGGTCTTGCAGAAGGATCATGAGAGCGGGGCGAGACAGCTGGCCGGGAAGGCTCTCGATGTCTTCCGGCAGTTGGTATCTCTGGGCGAGGGCGAGGATGTTGGGACGTGGTGGTACAACGTGCGGTTCTCGGCCTGGCATCTCTGGAAGAACGGGCGGGAGAGCATGGGTGCCGCAATTCTGAGCGTGCTGGTCCGATCGCTTGCCATCATTGAGCAGGAGGTCCGGCCTTCTGCTGCCGCCGGCGCCATGTCGAAGGATACCCTGGAGAATGTGTCTCGACGCCTAGCCGAGTACGCAAACGAGCGGACGAAAACCATCGACGGCGTGTGGAGGACCTTTTCCTCGTTTCTCCAGCGTATGGGTCAAGGTGACAATTCCACATCCAACCCCATCCGCATCCTCACGCTTTCGTCTTCTTCGACGATTCTGGAATGTCTGCGCAGAGCCTCCGCCGAGGCGACGTGGAACCTCGACGTCCGGATCCTGGAATCCCGCCCGCGGTTCGAGGGCATCTCTATGGCTTCCAAACTCGCCAGCGGGGTCCGCGAAGTGCCATCATCCGACGAACGATCCCGGGCCGGAAGACCTCCTCTCCAGCTCACCCTCTATTCGGACGCCGCGGCCGCCGTGGCGGGCAGGGACGTCGACGTCGTGCTCCTGGGCGCAGACCTGATCGACGCCCAAGGCGCCGTGAGCAACAAGATGGGATCCCTCCCCGCCGTCCTGAGTGCGCGGCACGTTTCTCCCGCGGCCCGGGTGGTCGTGCTGGCCGAGCAGGAGAAGATCCTCCCGCTACCCGTGCCCGAGCAAGACGAGCAGAATGATTTTGGCGAGCTCATCAAGGCTTGGTCCAGCGAGGAGAGCCTTCGTCCTGCCGCAATGGCTCTCACGGCTGGTGATGGATCTGGGGAAGGCCCAGCACGGGGACAGGGACAGGGACAGGGACGGGCTGAGGTAGAGGTAGAGGTCAAGAATCCATACTTTGAGTGGGTGCCTCCAGATTTGATCGACTTGTATTTGTTTGAGGATGGAGAGAAGACTCCGGCCATGGTGGCGGCCCAGACGGAGAAGCTAAGTGAGCAGACGGACCGGCTTTTTGCTGAAGAGTAGGCAGGCGTATGGAATCAGTCAACACCTGGGTATTTTGAGATTGCATAATTAATTACAAGGTTGCATCTCGTCGCGTCAACTTTTTTGACTGCTATTAGGATGCGCCGCCTTCTAGATCCCTTTCCTTTTCCTTTTCCTTTTCCCGCAGTGCCGCCAGTGGGGACTGCAACCCTTCCTTGCCCACCTGCATCGCCCGTTCAATTTCCCTCTGTTCCTCTCGTAATCTCGCTCGCCCCATCTCGAGACTCCGCTGTTGTCGTTTCTTCTGCTCCGCCACATTCCTTTCGTGTTCTCTCAGCGCCCTTTCTCGCCGCTCCTTGGCTTCCCGTGCTTTCCGAGAGGCCTCGTCTTCTTCCTCACCGCCAGCACCACCACCACCGGCCCCATCAGGAGGAGGACCGAGGGTTCGTATGTACGTCTCGATCAACGGGTCCCTGACGGCGGCCGGGAGGGAAATGTACCGCATGTCCACGAGCAGCTGCGTCGGGAGCTGGTCGAGCCTAGTCTTGTTGTTCAGCAGCGACGGCGGCAAGGACTTCAAGAGCGCAGCCAGATCGGCCTTGAGCGTCGCCTGGGGCATCTTGAGGCGGTTGACGTGTTCGCGGTACCACTTCTCCCTATCCTTGTCCTTGAGGTGCGGGTCCGCGATGGCGGGTTCTTTCCGGTACCTCCGCTTGAACTCGGCCCAGAAGAGCTTGGGGGAGGCCTTCTCGTGGAGCAGGGCCATGTAGGCGAGGCGCGGGTCCTTCTTCTCCTCCTTGGCGCGCCGCTCTCTGATCTCCTTGATCTTGTCCTTGGACCAATCCTGCCAGACCTCCTTGCGCGCCTTCATGGTGTTGAGGACGGTGTAGCGCGGGTCGTCGATGATGCGGCCGTCCTCGATCAGCTTCTCCCAGGCGTTGTAAGGGTTGATGTTGAAGTCGTCCAGAAGGTCCCTGAACAAGGCCCGCGCGTCTTCCTCGGAGAACCGTACGCCCTCTGCGCCTTCGGGCCATTCGTCCCTGTTTCCGTCGTCGTATTCGCCTGGGTCTAGGCCGTACTGCTCGCCCATGGCTTGTAGTTGAAAGGCAATATCGGCCTCGCTAAACTCGACGGGTTCTTCGGTTCGTTGTCGTTTGGAGGGGTGCTCGTCATCGTTGTTGTCGTCCTCACGGGCCTCGTCGCCGTCCGCCTCGTCATCCGTCACCTCGACTTCTTCATACTCGGAACTGTCATCGGCTTGATCGCGGTCGGCTTCTTCTAGGCCCAGGCTCTGCAACCTGCTGCCCGATTCGGACGCTGCCGCAGCTGTATCTTCACCCTTCTCCTTCTCCTTCTCCTTGTTCTTGTCATTCTCCTTCTGATCTGGCCCTTCCGACATGGCCTTTTCCCGTAATCTCGCTTTATCCAATTCCAAGATGCCCGCCATGAGCTTCTCGGGTATTCGCCAGTAGCTAGTATTCTTCACCGGGTTGTACACGAACCGTCGGTCACACCTGGTGTAGACCAGAATCCAAGGCTCGCACCCCGGTATCGCAACCTTGGATCGCGGTTTATCCACGGGCTGCGGGCGAGGACGAGAATCGCCGCCACCGCGGCCTCCCCTATGGGATCCTTGCGCGGGTCGGTTCTGTGCGTTCAACTGGGCGAGATAGGCATTGGCGACACGCGGATCCGATAGGTTCGGCACGGCAGAGTACTGGTAGAAGCTTGCAGAGGCATCTTGTGGCGGGGTCGGGGCAGGAACGGGAAGGCCTGGTCTCGTGTAGGTCGACTGTTTCGATTCGGCGTGGTAATAGTATTTGTGGCCTGTGGGTGCCATATGTTCAGTCCATCCTGGGGGGAGTGGCGGCGGATTGGCAGCATTGGCCGAGCCTTTGTATGTCGACTTGAGCATCTCTTTCACTCTTGTCTGATATATCGGTGACCGGCCAGACTGGTGGGTTTGTCCAAGGTGTTGATGTTGATTCCACGAGGGTTGATCTGGACCTGAAGCTTCCCAATACGATGCAGAATGATGCGACTCGGCTTCAAAGTACCTAGGTACCAGGTTCGGAGAAACCTCGGCCGTGTCATAGGGTAAGGTAGAGATAAGAACAGTCAGACTGCGATAAGATACCATCCGCATAAGTCCAATTAAGGGAGCGGAACGACGAAGCTCTGATTCACCAGTCCAAGAGGGAGGTCATGGATAATTTGAGATCTGTGCTCTGGGTATTGATTTTAGTCCGTACATCGCGAGCCTTTACCTCGTGATGTCTCTTTCTGGCGAACCCGCAGAGTATTTGTCTACCTTTGCCACCTAAGGTCCAACGCTCCGCGTCACGTCACCCGTCACCCGTCGCCCGTCACCCGTCACGCACACCCAACCCATCTCGGATCTTGGAGCTTCAACCCGATATAAACAATGACGCCAAATAGGGGCAGCCCCAGCCGCGAGGCATCGGGTTTCTTGCCTGCTCTGGCCAGGTTCTGGAAAGTATGCGATGAGCCGGCCGTTTGAGCCTTTCGTGCCACCACCCACTGGTATTCGGAACGTCCTTGCCTGACAGCGCCCGCAGCGTTCTCATGCTCCTGATTATTTGGGATTTCTCGTGCTCCTGTTCGGATACATCTTGGTCAGTGAACGAACCGGTTTGATTCATGCAATCAATCAATCTTTCCCGCCTCGCACGACATTGTTGATGGTCAAGGTTGTAGATTATCCTCTTCGTGGAACCGTTCCACCGGATGTTTGTCATTGACGACCTACGGATTATGTATCCTCATGCCGAAGTCGAACGAGTCTCCGTCCGTACGTTTCTCGTCTCCTGCCGTTTTTTTGAACCTTTCATCCAAACCCTTGGTCGTCGAATCTCGGACGCCGATCGTCAGTCACGGTCGTCGGTCGTCGGTCGTTCACTTACCTCTCTCCGCAGTCATGAACTTCGTCTACGCCCTCTTCATCCCCCTGGGCATCATGATCGCCTACAACACCATGACAAAAGCCAGCCGCCACAAACACGAAGTCACCTACCTCTGCTTCGCCGTCGCCCTCGTCACTGCCTCCTTCCTCACCGACGTCATCAAGAACGCCGTGGGCCGGCCCCGCCCCGACCTCATCGCCCGCTGCATGCCCCAGGAAGACACCCCAGCCGGCGTCCTCGTCACCTCCGACGTCTGCACCGAGACCGAACACCACCGTCTCCACGACGGGTGGCGGTCCTTCCCTTCCGGCCATTCTTCCTTCGCCTTTGCGGGTCTCGGCTTCCTCAGCCTCTTCTTCGCCGGCCAGCTGCACGTCTTCCGCCACGAGGCGGGAGGGCGGGACCTCAGCCGTGCGCTCGTGTGTCTCGTGCCCTTGTTAGGGGCCGCCCTGATCGCCATTAGCCGCTGCGAGGATTACAGGCACGACGTGTACGACGTCTGCGTGGGCTCCCTGCTGGGCTACACCGTCGCGTATTGGAGCTATAGGCGCCACTGGCCGCGACTGACAGCTAGGGATTGCGACGAGCCTTACCCGTATCCTGGGTCCGACACGAAACCGAGCTGGACTCGACTAAGAGACGAGGAGGAAGGGGGGACGTCTCGTGGAAATGTACGCGCTCCGATGAACCGAATCCAACTAGAAGAACTCTGACAATTAAGGTCTAGATCCGGTGAAACGATTGCCTTCCTCTGTTGGAATACTCCAGATGCACCGAAGGTTGCATCTTTTGTCGTTGGATATGACGGCCAATTAGAATTATAGCCATGGTTGTGTTGTGGTTAGCCCCTAGGACATGGACCTGGGCCTTCACTGCACTTTATTGGAACAATATGCGAAATAAATGGCGGGCATGGCATCAGCCGTTCGTCGCATGTATTGATTGGTATTTGTATTTGTACACTGTCCCTAGCAGACTTCTAGTGTCCTTTAACTTCCTCTTCACGAAAATTCATCCATCAGGTGCGCCCGTCGCTTTTACTTGTCCTCCGTGGTCTCGTCCTTGGCAAGGTCATGCTCCTTCAGCAACTGCTTGATCTCGTCGGCGCTCCATAGCCGGTGGTAAATCTTGCCGTCGCTCGTCTGACCAACCGTGGCGAATTCAACTAGAAAGAACGACAAGTCAGTATGTTTGCGTATGTTGGCGAAACAAACCCGAACGTTTAGAAGGTCGGTCATGGGTCAACTTACGCTTCTCCGCATTGAGCTTGGTAGAGTCCATCGTCTTGCTAAGCACCTTGACGGCGAGACCACACGCATCCTTGAGATTGCAGTCCTCCTTGAAGTCCTGCTTCAACAAGCTCTCGGCGCTCGCCCGGTTGGCGCCCATGGCCGTTGCCTTCCACCCGCCGTAGTTGCCAGAGGGATTGCTCTGGTACAGCTGAAACTGCCGCTTGGGATCCCAGCCGGCGTAAATGAAGGAGACGCCGAACGGCCTGAGACCGCCGTGTTGTGTGTAGGACTGTTTCAGGTCGCACAGTCTCCGCACGAGCTGCTCGCAGGGGATGTCTTCGTTGTAGGTGAGGAGGTAGCGCTGGGCGGCCTGGCGTGCGTAGTTGATGAGGATGTTGGCATCGGCCGTCATGCCTGCTACGGCGCAAATCATGTTGCTTTGCGATGGGGCGAGGAGTCAGTATCCACCGATATTCTTTCTATACACGATCCGCTCGAAGATAGGGGCCCAAATAACGCACTCGTTGACAGTGTAGAGCTTCTCCGCTGACGTGTCTTGCTCCAACAACTTGGAGGTGACCTTCCTCTCGGCGGCGAGGACGATGCCATCTTGGGCTAGGATACCAATTGCTGTGCCCGCGTGGGAAATAGCCTCGAGAGCGTACTCGACTTGGTACAGACGTCCCTCAGGGGAGAAGATGGTTGTCTGCGCAGTGAAAGAACGTGGCGATGGTCAGTATGTGCATCAACTCGAGGCTTTCGGTAGCAGGGCCAACGAGGGGGTGAAGGGGTTTGTTTGGTTGATGGCTCACCCGTGAATCGTAGCGCCTGGACATGATGGAAGGTAGCTGACGGGGAAAGACGAAGTGTGGATGAAGAGTGAGTGTCTCGTAGTGTCCAGGTAAAAGGCGACCGCAGTTCAGCTCTGATGGATGAGAAAACTCGTTCTTTGATCGTATGCACAGAGGTGAGAAAGCTGTTTGAAGCTCGTACGGAGTAGCTCCAGGCAATCGATGCACGCGTATCCGCAGCTTGACTGAGGTTGAAGGGCAGGTAATGTAGCTAATAATGTACCTAAACCTTCTAGCGTCATCACGGTACCTAAATGGGGTCAGATATTGGAGCCCTGCGAAGTACTTCAACCTGGCTTTAAGTACTAGTACATCCTCCGACCTTACCAACGACTCAACACTGCCGAATCATGGCATCTGATGGTCTGTGCAGAACACCACACGTGACCAAGATGGATCTTACGTAACCCCGCTTCCGGATAGAGTAGAGTTTCAGTCGAACGTGGGTGTGACCTCCCACCTCCCACCCACAACAAACCTCCACTATAAACCTCCACTTCCCATCTCCCTGACGCAACGTGCTTTTCCTTTTCCTCCTCCATCTCATGCAACCTTTTGCGACCACAAAGTGCTTCGGATACATGGAGAATCTTGATCACGGCTAAAGCACGTGTCCGTCCCGCACAGCTCTCAAGAAGCAAACATAATCCAAACACATCGACCTATATCTACCTAGGTAGAGCTCTCCTGCTTCACGCGACTTTACTCGACACGCTACCTCTCTTCTCTTCTCTCTCTCTGTCTGCATCGTTGGTTATTGGGAAGGATCAATTCTTTTTCTTGCCATTTGGCGCAGGAAAAAAAATACAGCCACTCCATTGAAATCGTAGGCCATTGTAGAGCTATCAGAGGGCTATCAGAGGGCTATCAGAGAGCATAAAAATCGCTGCCGTCGAGTCGTATTTGTCGTGTCACCGTTTAAACGTCACAATGTCAGGTAAGTGCTTTGTCGCAAGGACACGCATGATGTTGGTTGGCCACCACACGGTCAACCACCGCGGCGTTTTAATCCTGAACTTCGTCCCCCGACCATGATGCTTACTTGCGATTTTCTCCACAGAACCAGAACCGCGCCGCTCCGTGCGAGCGACTAAGGGTCAGCACACGAAAGCATTCGACGACCAACCGCTCGAACCGCCCAAGAAACGAGGCCGCAAGAAGAAGCAGCGCGAACAGGAGCCCGAGGAGGTCATCCGCTGTGTCTGCGGCGCGACCGAACAGGACGGCGAGTCGGAGGAGCCGTGGATCGCCTGCGACAAGTGCGGCGCCTGGCAGCACAACGTGTGCATGGGCATGAGCGTATTTACCGAAGACCTTCCCAAGCACTACTACTGCGAAAAGTGCTCCCCGCAGGACCACAAGGAGCTCCTCGCCGCCATCGCCAGGGGCGAACACCCCTGGGAAGAGCGCCGGAAGAAGTACGAGGAGTCACTGGCCGAGAAGAAGAAGAAGAGGAAGAAGCCGGGCCGGCCGGCCAAGGTGTCGCATGAGACCAAGGACGACGCGTCGCAGAGTGGTAGTGTCAAGGGGGATGAGTCGCCTGCTCCGGAATCTAGCGGCAAGCAAAAGGAGAAACAGGTGAAGAAGGAGACGGGGAAGCCTGGCGCGACAGGAAAGCGCAAGTCACAGGATGACGCGGAGAGAGATGTCAAGGTAAGCAACCCAACTTTCCATCGACCTGTTCTTTTTTTTTTTTTTTTTTTTTCTTTCTTTTTTTTTTCTTTTTTTTTTTTTCTCTCTCTCTCTCTCTCTCTCTTTCTTACTGACACTTTCGCTCTCATAGGGTCCCGCGCAAAAGATCCGAAAGATATCAGACGTCGAACCCAGACGAGTCGACTATGCCCCTCCGTCCGATCTGCCCGCAAAGATTGCCGACATTCCCAACTCTGCGACACAGACCACGGCCCACGCTATCCAGAGATCCATCGCCGTAGGGTTCGCCGCTGCCATCAAGAACAAGCTGGTGACCCTTCCGAAGGATGTTTCGGCGGCAGAAAAGTCGGAGGAATGGGCCATACAGATCGAGCGAGCCGTCCGGGACACGCACCCCGATCCTAACCAGTACGCGGTGCGATGCAGGGCATTGGTGGCGAACCTCAAGACCAACGCCGAGCTCAGCGTCCGACTGTTCAAGTCGACACTCACGCCGCCTATGCTGGCCGTCATGACGACCGATCAGCTGGCGACGAAGGAGCAACAACGGCTCAATGCCGAGTTGCGAGCCAAGTCGGAGAAGCAGTCGATTCTGGTTACGGAAGAGGGACCCCGCGTGCGAAGGACGCATAAGGGCGAGGAACTCGTCGAGGACGAGGATGATAATAATCAGGTCGAGGAATCGGAATCGGGTCCGACAATTATCCGTCAGCCGAGTGGACGAGATGACGAGACGGATTCGGCCCGCTCGGCACAGCAGGGGCAGCAGCAGCAGCAGCAGCAGCAGCAGCATCAAGGGCAGCAACGGCAGACTTCGGTAGAAGTTCCTTCGCAGCAACGGCAGCCCCCCCTTCGTGTCGACACGCGTGGTGGCAGCGTCCAGCGGCAGCAGCAAAATTCGCCCAGACAACACACCGACTTTGATATCAACAAAGTCTTCTCCAGCGTCAAGTCCCCAGCGGCAGGCGGTGAGCGGCGCGCTTCAGCGCAAGTCGGCCGCGGCCACTCCGACGCCCCTACGGTCGACGCCGACGTGGACCGGCTCCTGCAAGACGACACCGACTCGCCGCCCTACTCCCCCACGGAAGAGACAGACCCAGACGTGGTCTGGAGAGGCAGCATGGCCATGAACACAATTGCCGATTTCCAGGCGACGGCTCGATGGGCGGCGGGCGCCAACCTCTCCAACACCATCCACCTACCGTGGTACAAGCTGATCCCGAAGCGCATGACGGTCGCCGGACGGATCGACGAGCAAAAAGCCATCGAGTACCTCTGTGGCCTGCGCTACGCCGATAACACCGACGTCGTCGTGGTCTCCCTGTCTCCCGCCTCCGAAGACGGGAGGCCCGACTTTCTCAGGCTCTTCGACTACTTCACCTCGAAGAAGCGGTACGCCGTGGTGGGGGACAAGGGCGTCGGCAACGTCAGGGACACGTACCTCGTGCCCGTGCCGGCGGGAGAGGGCGGGATGCCCGAGTTCCTGCTCAACTTCGCCGACAACCTGGTGCCGCACAAGCGCACGGAACCCATCCTGCTCGCCGTGTTCGTGTACCGCAACGCCACCCCGCTCGAAGCGCGACGGTCCGTCAGCACGCCGTCGTCGTCGGTGGCGAACACGCCGACCCCTACCAGCGCCGCCGCCGCCGCAGCATCAGCAGCAGCACCAGCAGGGTACGCTTCGCGCCATACGTCGGTGTCGGGCCCGGCTTTCTCGCCGACGGTGGCGCAGAGCCCGCATCAGCAGCAGCAACAACAACAACAACAACAACAATACTCGCCGGCCTCCTTTCCCCCGACACAGAACGGGCACCCGACACAAGGAGCCCATCAGGTCGTCCCGCCGAACCAACCACCCCACGGGTATGCGGCTAGGCCAACGGCAACACAGGACGAAGATTTCCAGAGACGGCGGGACCTGGGCGAGAACATCGCCCGCGAGGTCCTGGGCCCGTTCATCAATTGTCCGACGGTTCAGTTCCTGCTGCCGCAGGCGTACCAAATGACGCGGAGGGAGTGGGAGGTGTGTCGCAGCATCTACGAACGCGACCCGAGGGCGAGGGATGACTTGAAGCATCTCAGTAATCTCCTGCAGATGGAGGGGAATAACGCGTCGGCGACTTCGAATCCGCCGTCGGCATCGCCGCAACAAGCAGCAGCGCCGTCGACGTGAAATGGCCCGACCAGTCTTTGTTAACGAAATCAACTACATATTGGAATGCGAATGGGGAGGATAGGCGGCATGGGTCTTGGTAGGAGTTGGGGTGGTCAACTGTGGTAATTTCTGCCAGGGCTTCACTCTCACTGGGAACGTACGTTCCCTTGTAGGCGGTGCGGGGGCTTTTTCTATTAGGGGGGTTTTTTCTTCTTTTTTTTTCCTTCTTCTTTTCTTCTTCTCTTTTGTTTCTTATTATTATTGCTTGGGACTCATCCAGAGCTCGGCGATTCGCTCTTCAATAGCTTTTTTTATACCACCAACCCCGACGGGTCATGTAAATTTATGCCCGTTTAGCCACCGTCGTGGAACCAGGTCACACTGAAACATTGACAATTTGCCATGCTACCAAATGATGCCCCGAAATAAACATTCTCGTTGGTGATAATGACGATGCTGAGGTCCAATAAGCTGAGATCAATTCGGTTTGGCTCGAGAGACCCAGTCATCCCCTTTCTACATAATGCTTCGATCAAAAGTGTGGGTATCAACAAAGAAATAGACAAGAAAAAATTCCCATAAAAATCAAAGGCGAACTCCTCACTAACCCTCCTCGATGCCTACTAGTGGCTCGCACGACACAGCCCTCACGTAGGTCACCACAACTGATCTTCCAACCAAGCTTCAACCGCGGCAAACAGACGTTCAAGCCAAACATCCGTGTTCCTTCTCATCCGTAGACAGCCCGGGGCGTCGTCTTCCTAAGACAACAATGCGCCATCAACGGCGGCCCAGACGTCGGCCTCGTGGACGAGATGCTCCTCCTTCCGAGCCGCGGCTTCCTTGGCGGCGTAGTCCCTTAGGTCGGGGATGGCGGGTAATTCGAGGCTCCCCAGGCCCTCCAGCACCCTCTTCGCCTTGTCAACCTGGGCCCGGATGGCGGCTGTTTCGTTTCTCGTCCGGTCGAGGTGGGACTGCATGAGGGCGATGGCGGATTCGCGGGCTTGGTGAGGGCGGTATTCGTTGAGGACGTGGTGGAAGTTCATGAGGATAATTCGGAGGTCGTTTACCTTGGAGATGGCCTAGGAGGGGGGCCGTTAACATTATGATAAAAGGAAAAGAAAAAAGGAAATAAAAAAAAGAAGATGAGGAGGAAGAGGAGGAGGGTGACGTACGTCTTCGGGATCAATGCTCATGATGCCGAGGAGCTCTAGAAAGTTGAGCAATAGCGATTTGGCCATGCGCTTCAGTTCGAATGCACGGTCGAGATGCTTTCCGTCCTTTTCCCCATTGTGTGTGGCAGCGAGGCGCTGGATGTTCACTTCTTCGAGAGAGGGAAGCTTGTCGTCCAACTAAGAAATCGCCATGGGGTGGTTAATGCCGATTTAACAAAGAAATTAGGACCACGAAGCGAAAGCTGGACTCACGCTGTACTGCCCTCCAAAGACTCTCCATGTTCGTGAGGGAGGTTCAGCGGGCGGTTGGAGGTTGATGAGATGCTCGGGAACGTGTGGTAACCTGGCAGGCAATTCCCTTTCGGGGATGTTGTCCTTGGCGGCTCTCTCGCACCGTATCTGCTGCAAGCCGGCTACATTGTCGGGGGTGAAATCTTTCCAGAACGGAGGCGGGTCCGGGAAGGCCGAGGCGTGTGTCTTTTGCTGGCCGGCGGCGTCGTCGGCCATGTCGACAGGTGGGGGTAAGGGGTAAGCAGTTGAAGCGATATCGATTGGATTGCGAGGACCACTTGGTAGGTACGAAGAGCAGTCGGATGTTGTGACGGGGAGTAGAAGTAAGACCTGTGATTGATTCGGGTCGAGAGTGTGGTCGGTCTGGGGGGTTCGGCGAGGGGCAGTGACAGTCTACCGTCCACAGGGCGTAGGTGAAAGATTCGGCCACATTCCCCTGTGGGTGAATCCAGTTACGGGTTGACCGAATTGAGCACGGAGTGATTAAGCTGGAGCAAGTGCAGATGTTGGTGATGCAGATGTTGGTGAGAAGGCTTGGTGGTGGAGCTTGCCAGGTAGGTACGTAAGTTCGTAGCTCCGAATAGGTACGTACTGTGAGGTACCTTACCTATGGAGGGGATTCTCGGTGTGAATCGTTCACCGATACAACCCCACCAAATACCCTAATACGGACTAGCGTACTCCAAGCTACCCCGGCCCTTCCCACTTGGGAGCTGAGGCGGCTGACAGTGACCGTGGCTGACATCGACACCGCTCTCCTCCAGCTCCGTCATTCTTTTGTAGTCCACCTTCGTACATTGTCACCCTTCTTTCCCTGTCAGATACCGACCATTGTTTCTCTCTTCTGACCAAACTATCTAGACAATTGGTCCATTAATCTCTCTTCGCAGAATTCTTTTTACCTTGAATACCCTCGACTGTCCATCCTTCGCTCCCCATCCCGCAATGGCAGACGCGCGGGCGTTACTTCGCCAACAACGGGCCGCTCGTCGCATCGACCACCCTCACGCCGCCTATTCCGATTTGGGCAAGCTTCTCTGCGTCGTCTGTCACGAAAGCATGAAAACCGAGTCATTATGGGACAGCCATATCCGCAGCAGGGCGCACGTCGCCAAGCTCCAAGCGAAAGCGAAAGCGAAAGCCTCAGCCACAACTGCCAGCGCCGCCGTCTCCGAAACCTCTACCCTCCCAAACAATAAGCGAAAACATGACTGGGGCTCGGGGGAAGAGGAGGGACCTACGGACGAGGAAACGGCCCGCACGAAGCGCAGCAAGGGGGGTGATGTGACTGCCTCTGCCCACTCTTCCGCCGATGCCAGCAGCGGCTTCGCGGCCGAGACGGTCGGGAGCCAGGGCCAGGGCCAGGGCCGAAGGGAAGCCAGCAAAGACAAAGGCAAAGATTTACAGGAAACAGCCCGAACCCCCCCATCCTTGACCCGTAGGCTATCGACGACTCCAGGCCAAGGCGTCGAGTTACAAATCCCCTCACGCCCCGCCACTCCCCAACACCGAGACGGGACCTCATCCGCCACACCCATCACAACCCCCTCCGCCGCGCCGCCCAGACGCCCGAGCAACCTTGCCGTCTCCTCGTCCAAGGGCCCCGAGGCGGCGCAAGTCGACGAGGACGAGTGGGCGGCCTTCGAGGCCGACATCGCGACGACCAGCGTAGCGTATGACGAAGACGCCGCCGTGATTTCCGCGCCGCCCATGACGGCGGAAGAGCAGGCCGCGGCGGCCAAGTCGGAAGAGGAGGAACGGGAGAGGAGGAGGGTGGAGGCGGAGGAGGCCGTCGCGGACGAGAAGGAAGAAGCGGCGCGTGCTCTGGAGCTTGAGTTTGAGGAGATGGAGGAGCTGGAGGCCAGGGTGCGCAGGTTGAAGGAGCGACGCGAGGCGTTGAGGGCGAAGACAGCGGATGAGGTGGGTGTTGACAAGGTGGTTGTTGATGCCGGGAAAGAGAACCTGCGGGAAACTGCTGCCAATGGTGTTGGAAACGGAGAGGACGAAGAGGACGACGAAGAGGACGATGACTTTATGGGATTTCGGTTCAAAGCGTAGGCCGAGCGACTGGTGGTGGTGGAGCATTGGCGTTCATACGTGGGTATTCCAACTGGGGCAATTTTGGAACTGGGCCTTTGACCGGGCCATCAGCGCCATCTTGGGAGTCAACCATGTTATGTGTATATCTGTAAAAGTAACTACTTCATCGTTCCCGAAAGCATGTAGGGATGCTTGGGGGTTGGGCTTTGATCTCATTCTCCGAGCTTTCAAAAAAGAAAACCCCCTTTTTGAAGGGAAGAACATTCATTATATATTAAAAACTGACAGAATCTATCTAAATTGTTGGACATTGCATGTGTGTACAGTAAGTGACTGCACCTGAGGAGATTATAAAGGTGTGTAGGTTGAAGAAGAGAAAGGAAAGAAGTAGAAGGAAGAGAGAAGAAAAGTCACGGGAAGAAAGTCAGAATCAACCCTTCCCGTTCAAGGGTGGCTGTCACTTTCGTTCAGCGCGCCCATCGGGAACCGAAAATGCCCCTGCGCGGCGCCTTGGGCATCCGCTTGTCGTACGAATAGCCATAGCCATAGCCACTGCCGTCGAGGTAGCTATCCCGCTGGGTCGAGTACGCCGTCGGCTCGCTGGAGGTGCCATACCACACGGGCACGGTGGAGTTGCAAGGGACCGAAGAGGTGGTGGGGAGCTGAGAAGTGGAAGGCAGCTGAGAAGTGGAAGGAAGCTCAGAGGTGCAAGGGAGCTCAAAGGTGGAAGGAAGCTCGGAAGTTGAAGGGAGCTCCGAAGTGGATTCGACGACTGTCTCATACTCCGTCTCTTGCTCGGTCGAGGCACTGAGGGGCGTTGTGCTCTTCTTAGTCAACGTCGTGGGGCTGAGGGCCGATGGGGAGGGAAAGACAGTAATGTACTCCGTCACGGTATCTGACTGAGTGGTGCTGGTGGTGGTCTTGGCGGAGGTCTTGCTGGACTCGTACTTGGTGGAGTTGGTGCACTTCTTGTGGCCGGGCTGCTCCTCGGAATAGGAGGGATGGGAGGGCCCATAGGAATGATGTTCCTCATCGCTGCCTCCGTAGTACGAGTCGTCCTCGTCACCACCACCTTGGTACGTCTCATCACAGCCAGCATAATCGTCTTCCGGCCCATACTCCTCAAAGTCGGAATCGCCGTATCCATTATCCTCAGGGTTCGCTGGAGCTTGCGTCTCGTAGACGTATTGTGTACGGGTGGTTGTCACAACTCTGCGGATAGTCTCCGAACCGTAGGTGGCGTTGGAAGGATGTGTATGTGAATACAGGAATGACTCGGTTTCCTCAGACTCTCCGACGGAAGAGTAGGTGGTTATATTTTGGCCTCCGTACTTGATGGTCCTGGTCACCGTGACGGGAGCCTCGTCGGTGTGCTCCACGTAAGTGTGCTCGATAGTCTCAGTGGTGGGTTTCAGAATGGTCTTAGTTTCAGTGATGGGCGCCTCGTAAGTGTACTCGACGGTCTCCGGATTGGGCTTCCAGATGGTCTCCGTCACGATACCGGGGCCCTCGTGAGTGTACTCGACCTCAACGGTCTCTGTCTCGGGCTTCCGCATTGTTTTCACCACAGTCACTGTCAGAGCAGGTTCGGTGACAGTGATGGATTCCGTGACGGTCTCCCTCAGCGTGGAGGCAGGGGCATGGACAGTTTCCGTTTCGCCCGTGCATGAAGGGACGGGCGGACGCGAATCGTTCGGATAACCCCGTGCCCTCCATCTCTCCAGGCGGGCTTCGGAGAGGGTTCCGAGCGATAGGAGCAGAACAGAAGCCCAGTGCATGGTGATATCAAAGAGAATATGAAATCGTAATGTAATGACGGGGATGGAAGTGTGAGATGAGGAGCCAGATGGGATTGCTGAGCTGCCTTGGAAGGTGGATGGTGAGTTGGAGTGAGATGGAAACTGACAAGAAAAGAGCAGCGAAGAACGACTACTTATAAGACCTTTTGATCTTGTAAGTCCCGAGGCCTGAAAAAAAATTCCCGCCTCATGTCCCTCCTGGTCTGGAAGGGGAAGCTTTGAAGTCAGGGATATCTCTAAAGCATGTTGGTTTCCAATACTAGACATCAGATCAGCGCAATGAGCGCATGAAGGTCCCGCCCGACATCTCCTTCAGAGAATCGGGATCTCGGCTCGGGTTCTATGCGTACATCCTATCGCACGCCCTTGAAATCAGAATGAAGCTGCAACGGGCTTGGGATTCATGGCGGTGACTTGGACAATAAGGAGACGTTTCAGAAAGGGACCAGCTCGACAGTCGACTATAAGGACAGTGCAACAGACCCCTCTCAAAGGTTTTCAAGGTCTCATCAAAATCAGAAAACAGTGGGTTGCGCCGGGAGGACACGTCCTAGCTAGGGAGTCGAAAGGGAGGAAGAGAGAGCGACCCGGACGCTGTTTTGGTGCTGTCATCCTGACCTAGTGCTCGAGACATTAGTAGTATCACGTAAAGATGATCCAGAAACCACTAATCCTCGAATGAATTCGGTGTCAAGGGTATGTCAGGAGATATATATTGATCCCTGAGAAGGGATGAGGCGTAGGTTGGTTGGTGAAGAGGTTAGAAGGGACGAGGACGTTGAACGGACGGAGGACGGATACGTACCCTCACCCATGATGAAGCATTGGCCAACTGACCACGTAAGCGGACGTTCGAACCATCACATCACGTGAAAGCATGTCTGACTTCATTACACCTATGGAGGATGGAATATATTATTTATCCGGTCCGCATGTTCACCGCCTTCCCAATGCAGCATCGTTAAATTCGTATTCCCCAATTCCCCCCCAACGAGAAGGACGCGACCATCGACGTCAGAAGCTCGTTTGGTAACAGTTGTCGCCCTCCATATGACAATTCACTTGGCCACCAAACGCGGCATCCGGCCACTTCCTTAGAATTGCCGTCATCGTAGTAGCGGCTTCGCTACGTCGCGCATCATGGGAGTCTGTTCTTCTTGCCTAGGGAGAGGAAATCCGAAGGACGCTTTCGACGAGGTGTGTCCTGAGTCCTCTGGCGCTGCTGCTTGTTCAACTGCCCACTGACACTCAGTTCTCTCTCTCTCTCTCTACAGGATGAAGAGTCGCGACTCCTCGATGATCCGAACGGCATACACTACAACAGTTTTGGCGAGCCCGGGATAAACGGCCAGGATAATAACCCTGTTGAGGTTCAGCGCGAGAACGAGGCTCTGCAGAGGGTCGTGGCCAAAACCTCCGAGTATGTCCTTGTGCTAAGACGTTTCCTTTTCTTCAATCATGTACTACTTTGTCCTTGAACATCTGACAGTACCCGGGAAATTGCGCCGCTAACAATCCGTTTCAAGCAACATGGTCGACATCTTCGAGATCGCCCCGCAGCATCAACCGGCACGACCAAACCCCGGCCCTTTCGCCTACGCCGGACAGGAAGCGCGCATCGTCCGCTATCAGCACCTGCTGTCCCGCCTAGCCTCAAAACACGACGATCTGGGCCGGGGCATCTCAGTCCAAGGTCAAGGCCCGCCGGGCATCCAGGTCGACTGGTTTCCCGAAGAGGAGGCAGTTGAGGTGCAGCAGGGGAAGGCCCCGTCTGTCAAATCCGATTCAGACGAGCCTCTTGTTGGCACCTTTGCGGATGCCGCTGCGGCAATGTCGTGAGATCGGACCATCAGGGATATCACATCGTCGGCAAGGTAGAGGTTGCTTGAGCCTTTCTTTCTTTACCTTTGACTGCGGGCTGCCATGTGGCCTCCGCGTTTTCCTCCACCCCCTGGCACGGCCCGATCCCCTTACCATGTACGGATACGACTATGAGGGTCCTGGGATCTACCCACGTACATACATACAACGTACAGGTCCCGTCATTTTTCCCTTTTCTTTTTCTTTTTCTCCTTACCCCCTTACCAGCTCCTCGGCACCATGGGACGGCCCGCGCTGTGGTAACCCATTTCAGATCCCCCCTCCCTCCCCCCTCTTTACCGGCATGCAGGATGCGCAAATCCTGCTTTCCCTTTTTCGACTCTTTGTCTAAATCTAAATATTTCTCCCCCTATATTCGGCGCAATGACATTATGAGGAAACGGTGGATATGGGCTAGCAGTCAGACCCCTGAAACATGATTTTCGGTTTAATCAGATTACTGGTACCCTTTTCCCATCTCCTATTGACTGACTTCTTGTGTGCATTGATCATTGATCGACCCTCCAATCGTGCCCCTAGCAGTCCATTGAGCGGTGTCCACGTGCCGTGCGCTTTGAATCTATGAGGCGTCATGTGGGGACCATGAGCATGGATCTCGACCGAGGAGACCCGCTGTGCTGCATATCTCCATCTCTTTTTCCTGTTTATTATCTTTTATTATTATTTCGTGTGTAGTTTTTCTCCCTTTTTTCTTCTCCCTTTTTTCTTCTCCCTTTTTTCTTCTTCCTTTTTTCTTCTTCCTTTTTCCCCCCTCTTTCTTTTTTCTTCTTCTTTCGTTTTCCGAGTCTGACTCCTTCTTTGCCGTTTCTTCATTGCCAATGGTTTGCCCTGGGCCTCCGCCAGCCGGAAGCTCCCGGGGTGACCGGACCGGCGCAATCTCCCTCATCCCATCCTCGTCTCATCACCCGTCAGCCGCAGAAATTATTCGGGAGTCTGTGCGGCTTCCCGTGATTCGATCGACATGCCAGGGTTTTGGCGAATTGTGGTCCCTACGAGGAGGCAGAAGGCAGAAGACAAGAGGGCATCCTTGCTGACGTTGCAGGCCGCGAGATGACAAGCGAGGGTGCGAGACCTATTATGTCACATATCGGATATAGCAGGATGGCTTAGACGTCTTGGAGGGGTATGAGGCGGGGGCGGGACGGAAAACCGCGCGACCAAATGTATTATGTGTGTGCGTGGGCGTGTGTGTGCGCATGTGTGTGCCCTGCAGAAACCTGGCGGATGCTACCCGGGGAGCCTGGGTCCCTCAAGCCCTTGTTCTCGCCCCCCTCAATTTCAATGTTCATCTCTGGGCTGCTATTACATAGTTCTTCGAAGTAGGGCTTAACTAGTTCCTCTTACCATGACTCCACGAACACTCCCCGTCTCGGTTTTCCCCCATGCCCCTTGACCAGCCAGGACTTGGGATTATTCGTTGTCAAAATGTTCACATCATCCACATGGTCGACGGTCAACCTTATGCTCTCTCATCTAGGAATACGTGACCCGTACGCTAAGCCGAGACGCATCGTACAAGTGCTTCCGCCGCTGCACTTGAGCTCACAGGGCGCTTGCCACCGACATCTCAGCCCATGTCATCGTCTTTTTCTCGGAGGTTTCCCTTAATGTAGCGCCGAGGCTTCTTCCAGTGGGAATGTCTGCAGGCTGCTTTCCCGTGATTCCGGCTTGCCCTGTTGAGCAGCCCCCCCCCATACCCCTACCGCATGGAGGATTATGAATCATCATGTTATGGCATGGCATTCGTGCGAGTCTTGGTATTCGTTGCAGACAGTTGCAGGGAATGTGGAAGCCTGGAAGGAACATGCATAGCGATCCCATACCTAGTGTCGATACAGCTACAGCTACAGGGAGTCAGGGACTTGCTTTTATCTACCGCCACCCCCTGGGCCCCCCTGAACCCTGATCCATCATCCAGTGATCCATCCTCGTCCTCCTCTCTCCGGCTTCGCAGTGGTTTCATCACCCCCATTCACTTGGATGGAGCCTGTGTGCCGAAAATGCCATGCATGCTAGACTCAAGCGATGCTGTCGAATACCAAATGGAATATTCCTCCGGGTATGCCAAAATTAGCGTACACAAAAAGCCCTCGTCCTCAATAACATTAATAAAGACTGCCTCTCCGCCCTTTTCCTCTTTTTTTCTTCTTTTCTCTTCTCCTTTTCCCTTCCAAAGTTTCAAGGACCGTACCGTTCCCCGACAACAGTATCTTTGCAGAGACGCAATAACTTTGAGGGTCCCCTACCAGCAGAGTCGACAGCTTTCATGACCCATTAGTTAGCGGCCGACCTGCTGGAGACCCCCATGGGCCATGCCCCTTCCCGCTGAAAATTACCATGAGACCGGTGAGGCTTCAGCGGCCTCTGTTGTTTTCTTCGGGCGTTTCCCCCCTTGTCTAGTCTTGACTGCCCTTCCTTCCCTCTCCGTTTATCTCAAGAGAAGAGAGACGAGCTTATTTTTCCTATTTTTCTTTTCTGGATGAGTTAGCTTTTGACAAGCTCCCAACTTCCATATTCCCCTGCAGGCCCTGCCTCCCAAGACTTACCGGATATATCCCTCCCCCACAGAACTCATACAGCCAGGTCCTGACAGTTCACTCGAGCCATATGTTTATGGTCCATGTCCTCCTTTTGGTGTCGGACTACAGCGAGATCCATCAACGTCCTCTCGATAGTCGCTTGTCTGTTTCCTTCGCGGGACCACCTCTCTACGTCCATCGTCATCTTCTGGATCCTTCTCCTCTTCTTGTCAATGTCGAGGCAGAGCTTGCAACGGTCGGGCATTTCGATTGTCGAATAGACAAGTTTGAGTCCACACGTCTCTCCCGTCCTGTATTCCTTGTTGCATTGTTGTTTGAACTGGCCCCATCTCCAGTAGCCACAAGACCATCGCGTTTGATAGAAGTAACACATTTTCCTCGATCGGTTAGGGGTATCGCTTCGAACAACCGAATCGTGAACCGTGTTTTCGGAAGAGTCTCGACGTGTTCTTAATAACAGCACCAACATCAGCAGCCAACTCGAAAACTACTAGGCTCGGAAAGAAAAGGTGGGGGGGGGGGGGGAGCAGGAGGGGCCTTTGACGTAGTGGTAAAGGTAGGGAGGCAGTTGCAGTTGCTTGATGCTCGCATACCTGTAATGGCCGTTGGTCTTCTTTTTCTCTCTCTCGTCTTTTTCCCCTCTTTTACTTTTCTTCTCCTGTTTTACTCTCCTCTTGTTTGTTCTTGAACACGAAGTAGGGAGACACAGGTTGCGAGTTGCGAGTTGCGGGCTCACTGGTTCTCTCTTGAAATGGCTTGGTTGATAACTTGTTTGATATCTCTCTGCCTGACGTCGTCCAACTTTCGTCGTAACCCCTTTGTGCGGATCAGCAGCTATCTTATACCTGGACGCTGGCTGGACGGACAACCGCCCCCAGACCAGCAAATCTCCCATCTGGGGACCCGCACGATGTGTTGTCACTACCAAATTCCGGATACTCTTGACAACCTCTTGAATGACTTCAGATGCCATTGGGAGTGGTACGTGCGTATGATACGATACTACACCGTACATCACATCCCGCATGCTCCGGATCTGCCCCGACCTCTACCGCATTCTGGCTCCAATACCTATGCTGTCTCTGGCCCTATGCATACGGGTCGGACTTTTCACTTGACCCCTCTGGCCCCCATGCGGTCCATCCTCCCCCCATACCCGTACCCCCCATGTCCCCAACTCACAGAACCTAGTCTCGGGCAGCCATCGCTTGCCACGTTGATCGCGGCTATTCAGGGGCCTCGGCAGGGCCACCCCCTCCCTGAATGGCGTGTATACGTGCGTAGTCCATGCCCAAATGATGGCAAATACCTCTATCGTCTACAACATACCCCCTTTTTACGCTCTAACTACTTCGGAAGTTCCCCACCCTACCAGAGGCCCAGTGCATGGGGGTGGTACATCAACACGGGCTGGCGGGGGAGGTTAATCGCAGTTCAACCGGGGATTTCTCTCGCTGCACATCCCGCAGGACACAGGAGAGACCCCTTGATGTTTTTTTTTTTTCTTTTTCAATATTCATTTTTTTATTCTATTCTTCTTGTTCCTTTTTTCCCATCTTCCTCTTGTCCAGGGGCAAGCCAAGCACCTCAAGGTGTGCTCGCCCCCCCCCCCCTTCCCCATTCTGTAAACCCACACCAAGGTCCAACGCAACCACACACACCCCCCGCCTTTGTGTTTCCGACGTCTCTCTGCTGCCTTATTGGCTTTGAGACCCGTCTGCTAGTACTTTCTGCCCAAGGCGGCAGATACCCTGCTTCCTTGCTTGGTCATCCCTAATCCTGTCCTGCTATGACCTAGCCTCCCCCTCCCCCCTTACCCGGCCATCCTCGAACGACCTGACGAAAGGACTGAGTATGTACTATTCACACATTCTCGGCACCATATACTGCTGCTGCTGCTGCATGGCATGGCAAAGCCGCAAGACGCAAGGCGGCAAGTCCCACCCCACTTACCTACTTACGAGCATGTTTCCGCACCTTGCATTTCCATATCAGGGACGGCCCGTGCTCTGTACTCCATGCCTTTGCTCCTGCTGTTGTAGATCGGTTCAGAGCCGGCCGCTATAGCTCTACGTCGTACGTCCAACGAGGTACTTCTTCGTCCGTTGTGTGAGGAGGGGCATGGGGGCCAAGACGGTGCTGGATCATCTTGCACACCCCCCCTTTTTTTCCCTTCCGGGCCCTCCCCCCCTTTTTCTGCGGCCCTGCGGGTCACATACTCACAGGCCATCTCTGGGGAGAGTGAAGCCACTTGTTAGCCAGGGTACTACTTTTCTTGCTCTTTTTCTTTCTCTTTATCTTGCTGAAAAAAATTCTGACCAGGATCTACCTGTGCCCCTTGTCAGGTCCCGCGTTCTCTGATACGTCAATGCAAGGTCGTCAATTTCGGTGAGAACAACTCTTCTGACTGGTCGAGTTCAGAACCGTACGGAGATATACCAAGGAAGCACGGCAGCGCAGCATCACAGCTACAACGTTGTCACCTTACCTTCCAGTCCTGTCTGGCGGGGAATCGGGAATATCCCCGGAGAAATTCCAATGCATCTTTGAAGCTTAGACTGCGGATGATCTCCAGACCTGACTAAGGTATACCGTATCCTCCACCTCTACTGCGTGTCTCGCCGCCTCTCGCGATAGTCCGTAATCATGTTAGCCGCGAACCGCGAATTAACCCCGGGGAAGAATTTTTCGGGATACAGCGCTGTATGATCTCCATTCAACCCCTGTCCCTTTTCAGGCATCGAAGCGGGAAAGGACGAAACATGCCATGGACGTGGCCCGACCCATCATGCGGCCAGCATCGATGACAATACAAGTAGACGCGCGACAATGAGAATTACGGCGGCAGGGACTAGGGAATGTGACAAAGATCCAAAAGTCGTCAGCAGTGGTTTGGTTTCCCATTCTGTCAAACCCGTCACTTAGTTTCAGGTTTTGGGATCTGTATTAACACGACGTAGAAGCTAACATCATCCTTTTTGTTCTCTGTATGCTTTACCACACTATCGATTTACGACAAAGCTTAGTTAGAAAATACACGTAGTATTCAGTGAGCAATACCATCAATGTGAGAGTGAGACGTGTCACTTTGGACTTCTCGTGTCCCTCGAGTCATAGGAAAGCAAAAGGGGAAAATAATATCACAACGGCAGAAGAAGGTCAACAGAAGACCGTCAGTCAGTGCAGTTTCCGCAGGGACCTTACCTCACATGAGAGGACACACATACGGGCGCATAGCCTGTAGGGGGGCTGATTCGCCGTCAGCCTGCCATCACCGGCCGCTATTAGCACGATGTGACGTTCTTCTGCGGGCATTCTCTTCGCCTCTCGCTTCCTCCTTGATCACCCCACACTGTTCGCTGCGGCCGCGATTGTTTTGGTGTTGGTCGGTTCTAGGAAGGCCAAGGGCGACGTGGCGACCGGTTTCTGGGCCCCATTTTCTGATGCATGGTTTCCATGTTCCAAAAGGGGGAAGTCTCTAACTCCCTCACTGCGATTGCGATGAGGGTTCAGGTCAGGTTCGGTACTTACAAGTTATACTTCGTATCAACGAGCGTTCTTCTACTGCTACTTCTCCTTTTCTTTTTGGCTCCGAGTTATTGCCGGGTTTCTGGGGCACAACCAAGGTCGTGTAAGCTATTATTAGTCTCAACTTGCTGTACAGATTGTGCTACATATGTTGTAAAGATTTTGCTGCAAACCATACCATTGCTTTATGTACCTTAGGCAGGACGAAAACAAATAAAGTACATGGGATGATGCGAAAGAAAGAAGTACAGATAGTCAGATACTAATGGTGGCGGTTTTAAATGCGGGATGACAGCTGTTCCTCCTCGTTTCTGTGACCTCGACATTAAGCCGAGAGGTGGGATTTATGGCAAGAGTGAGACACACACCAACCAGCCTTCCGTGGTATTCGTCAACTTACAAATACTCTGCAGTAAAGTGTGCCGGTATATGTTCGCAACTGGACGCGGGATATCCGCCGCAACCCCATTGGAAGCTGCTTTGTTGTTCCGCATCATTATGATGAAAGCCCAAAGTCATTGCAGATTTATCAGAAATATTTGAAGATTGTGGGAGCGAAGACTGAAGCTGTCCTCGGGCAGGATGAGTTCAAGATTAAGCAGTATCCGAGGCGGTGTGTATTTTCCACACGTACACACATCAATGACGAGGCTAGATTGTGTTCACGGGGGCACGACGTTCCCAGTGGCTGGGGCGTATCAGTGGCGGCAGTAGCTAGTGTGAGTTGTTGACGAGGAGTCGGTAGGAGGAGTCTGCCAGCACGAAGCTTGCAAGGGAATGCCAGCCGCAGCCAGCGTGCCAGGATCATAGAAAGAAAGTTGGCGTGTCCAGACAGAAACGACGGTTGGTACATCCAGGATGGTTGATCAGTTGCAGATGACACCGGTGAGAAGTTGGACTCAGTCCAAGCCTAATACTTAGGAACTTAGGAACCCCGGACGGGGAAGACGGGTGAAACTTTGACAGGGGCCGTCTTAGCCGGATGCGACGGGACGATGAGTTGGCAGCCTGTCTTGCCTACTTCTGGAAAGAGTCGCGTGAAATCCTTTCACCTCACTATCCTTTTCAGGATTCCTATTTTGTGGGGAAGACAGTCACTGGATGGGCTGCCCACTGGCAGCCTGAGCTGGCCCAGCTGGGGTTGTTGGCCTAGTTATGTACACGTGCAGAATCTGTTTTCAACACGGGCCATAGCAATTAGAGGCCGACTGTTTTCAGAGACATCGAATTAGTTGGATCTCAAGGAACGGCGTTTGATATATCATGTTAACACAAGCTTCATCGTCTTATTCGGAATGACTGGGAGTCTTGATCCGCGTCTTAAGGAGCGGACTTGCTTGACAATGGTGCCACGGGCCGTCCCGAGAGCCAAAAATAACCGTACCTGCGCCGTTGCGTGCCAGGTATGAAAGTCTATCGGAATAAATATAGTCCGACGTCCGATGTCCGACAGCTTGTAATTCAGAGATGCTGATAGGCCAGATAGCGAGGCACCTTTGCACGATCATCTCGAAAGGCGCTAGAAAGAGAAAAAACGTTGTACTTCGGACACGTAGAACAAGTTAATAAACTCCCACCACTAAGGACGACAGAAGGTGTAGAACTCCTCCACAACCAAACCATTGATCTGGGTTCCTGCGAATCATGTGGTATAGAAATCATGCGTCGTTGTTAAAGGGTGTGATTGGGCGCCGAGAACGGGAACAACCTCGATTTAACTCCAATGACGAGCAGGTCGCCCTTGGCTGCTTGATTGGTCGTCGAGGCACGCAAACGCACGAAATGCACGGAACGCAGAGAGACGAGCCGGCGATGTTTTGAAACATGCTGCACGTTCGTTACCGGAAGGTAGGTATTCAACGGAAAACTGGCCCCTTTGTGGGGAACCATGCAATAGGTCGCCAGCGTACGGATAACGGATAGAATTCGTAACGACACAAGAGAAGATGAGAGAGGAGAATGCTGTTCCTGCCTGCTACTTCGTACAATGGGTCGACGAAGGTTTGTTTGGGGATCGCGGTCGAGCAAACTGGCCCTGCGGTCCGCGGGGGCCGCGTTTCCAGTACATCTGCACAGGAAGCTATGGATCAATTTGATTGGCCGGACATAAACAATGCGAATTGAGTTCATGCAAGACAGGTCGGACTTTTAGAAAGACCCAGGAGCCCGAGACGAGGTCACGCCGTCACCGTCACGATCGATTGCAAGCTGGCGCTCGAGTCATCGAGTATCATAAGAGAGAGAGAGAGTGTGTGTGTGAGAGACAATGGCGGAACCTGCCATAGATTCCCCACTGCGAGGCAAGCCTGTATTGACAACGTGTCAAAGAATGGCCATGTTTGTCGGACCACGCGGCGCAATGGGATGGGGTTGTTGATTGTTGCCCTCCGAGTTCATGCTGGGACATGATCTAACCCTGCCAATGAGTTGCAGGGGCTGAAAGAGGTATGGGGGCGTGAGAGTTGTGAGTTGTTCTTGGTTTGTGTTGTGCGGGGCGGGGACCTTCAGCCTCGAGGGCCGGATGCCTCCCAAGACAACTACCACCGAGCGTAATTACTCGAGCAACAAGGGTCGGTAGGAGGCTGGTTTCCGTTGAGGATCAGGAAGACCTCTTGTCGCGTTGTCCACACTGGCCAGTGTAAATGGCCAACAGCACATCGGTCCAGAAGGAAACGAATATGAATCGGAGCCTGAGATACGGAAGTGAGGTATTTGACATTGACAATGGTGACGATTATCATGATCGGGCGTAGACGTGGGCGTGATCACGGTCACCCGCAGGAAGGAGTTGGCGGCCGCATTTGAGCCTCCTTGGCGAACGCGAACTCGCAGATCAAACAAGGGGGAGCTCTGTGTTGTACGAAGTACTTCGTATCGACTAAGCCCGGAGGAATCAACCCGGGGGATGAAACGAGTTGGCAGTTGGTAATGGAGGATGTGATGGCATCGGCAGTACGAATCTGAGAGGACAGACAACCACGATCAAATGCAAATGGTGGATATAATGCAGTGCGCGGTGATGACTAACATATTTGTAGTACATATTGAGTTCTCCTCGTCTCGATTTTGGTGGGAGTCGCGGAATATCTTGAGGTACGATCAATTATTCTGTACTCTCTACTTCGTCTGGCGTACTCCTAGGTGCTGAGAACATTGGCGTCAACCAAGGGACAATGCAGGTGACCTGCCTTAGTCTGCTTAAGGAAAGGTGGTCTGCTTAGGTAGTCTGCAATGTACCTGTACCCCCGTATGCAGGTGCAGTCACATGGCAAGGTACCTGACTTCCTTGGCTCCTGCCTCCGGACTAGCGCAGCACAAGTCGTGTCACATATCACGTCACAGACCGGGTCCCGAGGCAGCCGTTTTCGTCTTCCTGCAACAGTTCTTCAATCAACTCTACCCATCCCATGATTACAACAAGTCCCGAGGAGGCAGCCTGGTCTGGCTGATCATAACCCAGGACCCTCCTGTCACCGTTAGCTGCACGGCATTGCGATCAACGAAGAACTTAGGCTCCCATTAGTATCCGTACCTCCTATCCCGACCATACGCCCCGAAACTTTCTTCACGACGCCCACTCCGAGATTGACGCCCAACCTCAGCCTTCAATCGAGATATTCATTCCAGAAACGTATCTCGGTGCCGTTTCGTATCGAGCTTGTTCGACGGCTTCCCCCCCCGTTGGCACCCCTCCCCCCCCGCACTCACTGTCTTCCCCGTCGACACCGCTCTACGGTCGTCCACCGACACCGTGACCTGTTCTATCATCCCGTGTCGTCTGTTCCTCTCTCCTCCTTGACGCGACGCGGTATCTTCTTTTTTGGCAATTTGCCTGCCTAGCTCCACACGCTTGCGATTTCGAGCGAGTGCTGAGGTGGCATTTTCTGCTTTCCTGTAACGGCGTCATCCCTTGCACAAGTGAGCAGAGGGCAAAGCTCTACCAAGGCTGAGGATCTGCTATCCATGCCCTCCGCCCGAGGTTAGGCAACTACCCAGGCAACCAACAAGGCTTTCGCGAGGTCTTGCCTTAGCCAGCTACTCTACGCTCCCCTCCCCGGCCCGCTTATTGCTCGGTCTGAAGACCCGTTCTTTCCTTTTCCCTTAGCGAAGCCGCTCTTTGGCCGTCCAGATCAGATCATAAGCTCCTCGACCAAATTCGGACCTCTCTGACATGTCGGCCCCGTCGTCAATCCTCCCACCTCCACCGCCTTTCTCCTCCACAGAGGTAGCTATTGTCGATGCCCGACCCTGGCATCGACCCAGCACTCAGCCTGAACTTGACATGCGGTCTTTTCCTCTCTGCATCTGTCCTCTTCCTTCGTCGGCCGGATTTCGGCCTCGAGAGGCACATGATGATGACCGGCTACCACGATCGCCCAGTCCCACTGCGAGGGTGCTCCTGTCAAATATGCCCAATGAAGTATTGTTCAACATCCTGGGCTTCCTCGATATAGATGATATTCTCTCTACGTCTAGGGTGTGCTTCCCAGCGCGTTCCCCCTTCTTTTTCTCAACCGCCTGTCCTCTGCGGGATTCGCCTCCTCAGATTAACCCTGCTACCATGCTAGAGAGGGCATCCTTTCAACAGAGACGAATAATAACAAGAACAAAAATGTGAGACTAGGGCTAACCAACCAGCAGATTAACCATCACCTCCGGCATCTCTCGCTAGCTCCCATCCTGCGCACCTACCGTCTCCGCCACACCCGCGCCGTCCTCCGGCCCCTCCTGGCATCCCGCCCGCCCCTCTCCGACCTCATCTCCCGCTCCATCTTCCTCACCCACACGAATATCGTCTCCCGCCGCCTCGACCGATCCCTCAAATCCATCCAACTTGCCCGCCGTCTGGCCTCCCGACCCTCGGCCGAGGCTCTCGTCGAGCGGGCCGTGCTGCCCGCGGAGTGCGTCAAGGGTATGACCACCGTCCATGTCGCCCCCGGGCTCGTCGCTCGGCGGCGGGCCATCGAGAAGCAGAAGCTGAAGGACGGGTTGCGGAGGTGGGTGGGCGCCGTGTGGAAGAGCAAGGTCATGCAGCGCGAGGAGGGGATGAGGCGGTGGGAGGAGAGTCGCGGGGTCGGGAGGGTGTGGCGGCTGAGGAGGTTCTGGGAGCGGGTTAGTCGGGGGGAAGAACCGGTTGGTTTGCTAGAGCTGAATCATGGGGCTCAATGATGACAGGGACAGCGCCGGCACGCTGTTGAAGCACATCTTTCCGAATTTCTGGGTCTATCTGGTGCGAGCTTCGTTTTTCCACTTTCAAATGGTCGTGGTTATGCACGGTGTTGGGTCGGTCGGTCAGTCGGTGTTAGGAGATACGGTATATTACCTAATTTATGACTTGCAACTTGTCTAGTCCCGGACAATTGACCGCCCCGGTTATTCTTCGGATGCGCTCAAGGTCATTGGAACTTGACAGTTGTAATGACAGCAGGTACAAGGAACTCCAGTAGGATCTCGTAGCTTCTGATAGGTGCCGATTGTACTGAACCAATTGCTTGGATCGGTAGGTACGTATTTACGCCATAATTATCAGCAAGTAAAAGCAACTTTGAACTCCATAGTCCGTCTTCGTGTTTTGCTCCCCAGACTTTGCATCGCTACACAGCATCATCTGTGATCCTCTTTTCCAGCATTGCTTTGGTTTCTCTTATACGCCTCTAATTATAATTACCTACTATCATGGACGATCAGTTTGGCGGGCGGACGGACGACGATTTGTTTGCCGACGACTTCGAGCCGATCAGCGACGACAACCAGCTCATCGAAGAGGATGCGCCCATCGCAGCTACAGAAGAGTCCGCGTCGACATTGACTGTTTTCACCGTTCCCACGGTTCCCACCGTTCCTTCTGTTCCCACTGCTCCGACTGCTTCCCCTGCTCCCCAAGAGCCTGCTCCCCAGACCAACCAGCAGCCGACTGCACAGGACAAGGGATTAACCAGCGCGCCATATCCTGCCGCTACGAAGGGCCTCGCGAATTCCAAATACAGCGACAAACGACCCTCCTCACGTCCGCGCCGCCAGTCCCCCGCTACGCGTTCTTCCTCCAAGAATGCCACTCCTCCACCCACCACCGCTCCCGCAGCTCCCGCCAGCCCCAGCGCAGACACGGGAACCTCCTCACGCGACAGCAAGCCCATCGCCGCCCCCGCCGCCCCCGCCGCCGGGCCCGCCATACCGGGCCAAAACACCGCGCTCCGATCCGAAGAGCGAATCAAGTCGGGCGCGAACCCGCGCACCAAGCTAACGGAAGAAGAGCTAGCGGCGCGGCTGGAGAAGATGCGGATCCTCAACGCGGAGACGACGCGGAAATTCGAGCGCGCCGAGGCTGACCAGCGGACGCACGCCGAGGCGTACGCCAAGGGTATGGAGGAGGCCCGGAAGAGGAGGAAGGCCGAGGAGGAACGGCGGCGGCGCGGGGAGGAGGAGAGGCGGCGGATGGATGAGGAGCGGGCGAAGAACCGCGAACGGAAGCTGCGCGCTATGCAGAATAAGGAAGGGGGGTGGGACCAGGGGAAGGAGGAGCAGGAGGACGTGCGGGATTTCCATGGCGCGCATGGCGGTGTACGGGGTGCGAGGGGACTGAATTCCCTGGCGGATAGCCGATATGCTCGTGATGATGGCGATGGCTATTCTGCTAGCAATCGGTTCGTCGGCGAGGAGGGGTTTCGCGGCGGCAGAGGTAGGGGTCGGGGCAGAGGCGGACCGGGTCGTGGTCGAGGTGGCCGTGGCAGCGGCGGCGGTGGTGGTTCGAACCGGGATAGAGACGGTCTTCACGACGATGCGCCGTCCAACGCATCGGCGGAGCTCCCGACGAAGCCTGTCATCAACACGGAGGATTTTCCGGCGCTGCCCGGCACCGAGGACAAGCCGTCCCCGCTGTCGCCGCTGGCAAGCACTAACTGGGGGGAAGAAATGGAAGCCCTAGACGAAAAAGTAGGCAAAAAGCCATAATAAGTATGGGGAAAGCGAGGGAAGTATAAGGGTAAACTGGGCGGTTTAAATGAAAGCCGGGCGGGAATCTGCAGCGGTAACAGATGCGCACCAAGCCGTTAGAAGCTGCCAAGTATAATAAATATGCAGCATGGAAGTTAGAAAAGCGAGGCTTAGGCTGAACCAGGACGACGAGGAAACTGTCGGCAATGCATGCCGCCTTCTTGATGCTGGGATGCAGTAATTAATTGCAAAGTAATTGGAGCTTCATCAATGTATGATGCATCAACAGTAAGGTAATGTATTGTTTTACATTGGGTATCTTTACAAAATCCCCTGGCTTCACTGTCTATCTTAGCTACGAACTCTTTTGCCATAAGACATAGAAAGACCGCCGAAGCTGGCTGGGATGACGAGTCGCTTAAGGCGAATCAATACCGCTGTATGCGGTAATGGACGTGGACAACTGACACGAGCCAACCCAAACTTAAGACGGGCGATTGAATGACCCTAAAGCTACCAGTCATGGTAATAATGCAGTGAGTGCAGTGCAGTTCTCGGGCTCAGTCTCACAATCTGTGTTGATAATTCGTGGGTTGAAGTGAATTGCTAGGCGGGGTTGTGGCACGTCCCGCAACTGGTGTGCAGTCAGTTAAATGATGGCCGTGTTTAGACAGAGTGTGCGAGTCGAGAGCATGCTGCATACCCAATCTCAATTTTGACGACACGCGTAGTCTGACCTACCACCTCTCCGTCGACCGAAAAGGGAGAGGCGATGGTCCACGAACTGCCGTGGATGCGTCGATGTTGTATGTAGGGTTGTAAGAGTCGAGCAGGGAGGCCGACACCAAAATTTGGGTGTGTCTCTGTCGCGAGCCGATGATGTTTCTGCGACAGTCCCCTGGATGTAGACGAGTGGCAAGTCAAGGTAATTGCGTCTTGTGGAGCAGCAGCTCGGGGATGCGGGACGAACCCAAGCTTTCCGGAATAAGCCAACCGTATTGCTCACGAGACGAAGGCGTTATATAGCAGCAGGCTTCTACCATCCGCCTCGGTAGCCTCGGCCCCCTCGTCCACGATACCCACCCCCACCCCCGCGAGGCCCCCTATGGTGTCCGCCCGACCCGGCATTATCGTCATCGATAGGCGGCGCCCGCATCCTCCCGCGCATGTCCTTGGGGAACGATTCAAAGGTCTTGCGCATCTGGGCATAGCCGAGGTGCATCTTCCCGTAGAAGTGATCGGCCAACCGCCTGTCGTTGTCCAGCCTGCTCAGGTAGGCGCCGCAGACGTCGCACACTTGGAGCTTCTGGTGGCCCGAGGGACCCGAGGTGTCGGAGAGCTCCTTGAGCTCCTTCTCGCGCTCGGCTTTCGTCTGCTGGGCTTGGCGGACGCGGTAGTACTCGTCGATGGCGCGGGAGACCTCGCCCATTTCGCCGAGGATCTCGACTTCGAGGAGGCCGTTGCTGATGCTGGTGTTGAGCTCGGAGATGTTTTTGAGCTGGGGGAGAGAAAAACGGGTCAGAACAACACGTCGAGGGGGGACTTGGGGAATGGAATAACTGAATAGCATACCAGAACATTCGTTTGCCGAATCTCGTCCGGGGTCTTCTCCAATCGCCTCTGGGCGGCATCAATGCGGCGATTGCAATCGTCAATGTACTTCTGGAGGTCGCGCATGTAGTCGTATTCGAAGCCGTACCGCTGCCTCTCCTTCTCGGACAACGACTCGTATTCGACTTTGAGGCCCTCCGAGTGTACCCTCGGACATGGGCCGAGGTCTTGCTTGGTATTGGTGAAGAGGTCGTGGGGACAGGTGCCGACGATGTAGGAGCGGCAGACTTTGGGGTCGGTCATGGAGAGTTGGGCGTGGCGGGTGGATGCCGAAGCTCCCATGAGCTGCTCGAGCAGTTTTCTTTGCTCGGCCGCCATGGTGAATGAGCCGTGGGTGTTGTTGAAACGAATTAAAAGTTAATAGTCAGGGGAAAAGCGTAGTATGGTAGATCGAGAGGTTTAGTGGTCCGATTTTGTTGGTTTCCTCGTTGCTGGATGTGGTGATGGTGATGGTGATGGTGTTGATGCTGCTCAACTTCTGAAGCGTTGACGCGAAAAGAGTCGACAAGAGCTTACTTACCTTAGTAATCACGGACAGGTACGCACCACGAGAGAAGAAAAGTCGCTTACATAAGTTATACTGCCAAAACCACGCCGCCTTCTCTCTCTGGACTCCGACGCGACCCTTGTGTCTCCATCCCTACATCCACGGTCCACAGCGACATCACCCCAGACCCTTCCTAGGCGGTTCGTCGGGAGTCCCCAGGTCCAACAACCTCTTTTCTTTTTTGGCCCTCTTACCCCCCTTGTTTGGCCCCTTCAAGATGCGCCATCTACTGGCGTTCATCTGCCTCCTTCCTCTCGTTTCCTGGGTCACTGCAGCCGACTACTATGAGCAACTGAATCTACGTCCACTTCCCTTGTCTGCGCTACTGGCGAGCTTCAACTTCCGTTCGAACACGTCCTTCTACGACTTTGAGTCCCACAACTTCCGTTATTTCCCCAGATCGCTGGGCCAGATCCTACAGCATGCGGGCACTCGAGAACTGCATTTGAGGTTCAGCCTTGGCCGGTGGGATGCTGAAAGCTGGGGCACCAGGCCATGGGAGGGGCAACGGGAGGGAGGCACGGGCGTCGAGCTCTGGGCTTGGCTTGAGTCTGAGAGCGACGAGGAGTATGGTCCCTTTCTGTTTTTCCCCTGTACCCTCATGCATTGGAGGCACACAGACACTCTAACACGGCTGTCTTTCTCTCCAGGGCCGATGAGAAGTGGTTGATCCTGACAAACGCTCTCTCGGGTCTCTTCTGCGCGTCCCTCAACTTCGTCGACGGCACCCGAACCACCCGCCCCGTCATGTCCTTCCAACCCGAAGGGGACCACCCGACGTCTTCGATCCCGAATCTTCGCCTACTACACGGCGTGCTTCCGAAGGAGGTGGTGTGCACGGAGAATCTCACTCCGTTTTTGAAGCTTCTCCCGTGCAAGGGCAAGGTGGGCGTTTCCACCCTGTTGGACGGTCATAAGCTCTTCGACTCTGCCTACCAGAGCATGGCCATCGACGTCAAACCCATCTGCCCCGAAGATGGCGACTGCGTCTTGGAGATTGAGCAGACCATCGACATGGTTCTCGACATCGAGCGGTCCCAGCGGCCCCAGGAGATTCCACGCCCGCCGCCTAGTCGGGACCTCAAGTGCGACACTTCCAAGCCGTATCATGCACCGAACACCTGTTTCCCTCTCGGTTACAACGCGTCCCAAGAGTGGTCTCTGTCTCAGGTCTTCGGCCATCCCATGAAGGGCACGTGTCCTCTCACGGACCCGGAGATACCGCCCGTGTGCATCCAGGTTCCCCATTCCAGAAGTGTCTACACGTCCGCTGGAGTTCACCAGATGAAGAACGCGGATGGCAGGTCTAGATGCTTTACATTCGACTCGGAGGGCGACTTTGATATTATCCTCCCCGCTCCCGACGCAGATGACACGGGAGAAATCATTGCGAACACCACGACGACCATGACGACGACGGACGACGAGCTTATTAAATCACCGACTCCCCTTATTTATGCCGAGCGCAGCTTAATGGGACATGGCCAGGAGCGCGGAGGAGTTCAGACCATTCTCACCAACCCCAGCCAAGACACCGAAGTCGAATTCATCTACATGGAATCGTTGCCCTGGTTCATGAGGGTCTATCTCCACACCTTGAACGCCAGACTCGAAGGATCACGGGGGAAAGCCCAGCCCGCCATGATCGAGGACATCTACTACCGCCCCGCCGTGGATCGTGCGAGAGGCACGCAACTCGAGCTGCGCATGCGGATCCCGCCCGCCTCGACCGTCTTCCTCACCTACGACTTTGAGAAGACCATCCTCCGCTACACGGAGTACCCCCCCGATGCCAATCGCGGCTTCGACGTCGCCGCCGCCGTCATCACCACCGTCCGCCCCCGCGTGCAGAGCGTGAGGACCACGACCCTGCTGCTGAACCTCCCCGTTCCGGATTTCAGCATGCCTTATAATGTCATCATCTTCACGTCGACGGCCATTGCCCTTGCTTTCGGCGGCATGTACAACATCCTCGTCCGCCGTCTCGTTGCTGCCGACGAGGCACCGAGTCGCCTAGCCCGAGCCAAGCTGGGCAAGTTGATAGAGAAGTTTAGGTCCAGGAAGTCGACACGGAAATAGATTCTTGGGGGGGTTTTTTTTTTTTTCGCTCGTGCTTGGTGTGTTCTCTCTCACTCTTCTCAGTACAGATTGTCTCGGCATTCCTACGTTTCGACGGGCCCTCACGGATAGGCCACATTGTAGTCCAGTTTCTGCGGTGTTTGCGCTTTTTCTACGCTCTTTCTACGCTGTGGCTCTAGGGCTCTTGTCTCAGCTGTTAGTTAAAGCCTCAAGCTGTCAGCTCGAATCCGACTACTTCCTTCGAGGCAGATGCAAGAATGTTCGTCTTACTCGAACGTTCGTACTACTGCTACGGGTTCTTCCTGTGACACAATATGACACGACACTTCATAAGACACTTATACCGGATGCTTTCCATGACGCTGCGTACACTCAGAGTGGGCGTACGTGGAAGGAATCGATTAATGACTTGAGCTGATGGCATTCTAGGCGGCTATATGAAGAAAATCGACTCTTGTCTTGGTGTCAATCTCAATCTTTTTCCTTCGACTCCAATTGCCCTTCCCTTTTCCTTGCAGTTGCCGTCTGGCCGCCGCCCACATACTCCGGCGATGGTTTGCAAGTGTCTCGGACTTCAGAAACCCAAATCCAGCGATATCCAAAGGCCACAGAAGAAACAACAGGAATGAGAAGCATTGAATGTGTTTGACGATTTCCTATTGCTGAGAATAGGCATCACTTAAATGCCGAAAAGTGCGTCGTTCAAGCACGAAATCACCGAATTACCATTCGTCAATCCCGAAGTCAAACAGACGAGAGCGGACCCGGCAGCAAGAGGACCGAGAGCCGCCGTGCAGAGAGGGATATTGACGGCAAGCTCGGCAAGGCCATTATCCTGAAGGTTCAGGCACGCCGGCGGTAGCGTCCCCAGGCAGACGTCCTCCAGGGCGTCCTCAAGACAAGACACAACCGTGTCGCCCGCCGTCTCCTCGGTAAAGGTATCCGTCGCCAAGCAAGCCCCGACATTACCCACGGCGAAGGCCCCGAGAGCGACAGTGCAAGCCGGGACGGCCGGTACAAGCGCCAAGCCCGAAAGAGAACCCAAGTTCTGGCATGCAGCCGGGATCGGGGCGCAGACAGGCTCAGCCGGCTCCTCGGTCGGGACCGGCGAACATTCACCCCCGTCGACGATGACGCCGGTTCCGGGCCGGAACCCGAACGCGACTTCCAGACCCTCGATGATGCTGACGCCCTGGGACTCGGACGTGATGCCCCCCGTGGCCAGACAGGTGGCGGCGCTGCCGAAGGCGAAGGGGCCCAGGGCGACGGCGCACACGGCGATGTCGGCGACGAGGGCGAGGCCGTTGGATTCCGAGAGGTCCTCGCACGCTTCCGGCAGGGTTTCGATGCAGCGGCCCTCCAGGGCGCCCAGGATGCAGTCTGCGATGTCGGTTCCGACGGTGCTGAGGGTGGGGATTGTGGCGAGGCAGGTGGCGACGTTGCCGATGGCGTAGGGGCCGAGGGCGATGGTGCACTCTGCGAGGACGGGGATCAGGGCGAGGCCGTTGGTGGACTGCAGTTCGGAACAGCCGGGTGGCAGGGCCTGCTCGCAGAATGGCGTTATGCTGGTCGGAGAGGGAACGCAGGACGACGCGGATGCTGATGATGCAGGCTCGCTCTGGCTGGGCTCGGGGGTGGGCTCGAGGGATGATTCGCCTGGGCCTGAAGAGAATGGTTCGGGCGACTCTGTGGCAGAAGAAACAGGGTCCGATTCAGGAGAAGAGACGGGGTCCGACTCGGTGGGGGAAGAGACAGGATCAGATTGGGTTGGAGAAAAGACGGGAGCAGACTCTGCGGCAGAAGAGACAGGATCAGACTCTGCGGGGGAGGAAAAAGCATCCGATTCTGTAGGAGAAGAAACAGGCTCGCCCTCACTAGGCTCAGCGGAAGAGACAGGAGGAGTATCCGAGGATAAGCTGGCGACCGGCGTCGTCGGGGTCAGGACGATCTCCGTTCCCACAGTCCCACTTCCACTAGGGGGAAGCGTGACAGTCTCCTCCTCAGTCCCAGTACCCGGTGCCGTGATGGTCGTAAAAGGGCCGGTGAAGGTGGTAGGCTCAGGACCAGGGGGTGTCAGGACGATTTGGGTTCCTATGGTTCCAGTTCCGGTGGGAGGAAGAGTGACGGTTTCCTCTTCTATCCCGGTACCCGGCGCGGTGATAGTCGTGAAAGGACCCATAAACGCCGTAAAATCGGGACCGGGTGGCGTCAGAACGATTTCTCTTCCTATAGTGCCGGTTCCTTCAGGGGGAACAGTGATCCTTTCTTCCTCAGTCCCCGTGCCCTCGGCCGTGATGGTTGTACAAGGCCCGGTGAACGCGGTAGGATCAGGGCCTGGAGGGGTCAGGATAATTTCAGTACCCACAGTTCCGGTTCCTTCAGGGGGGAGGGTGACGGTCTCTTCTTCGGTCCCGGTTCCTGGAGCGGTGATGGTCGTAAAGGGACCGGTGAAGGTAGTGGGGTCAGGGCCGGGAGGGGTGAGGATAATCTCAGTGCCGATAGTTCCTGTGCTAGTAGGGGGGAGGGTCACCGTCTCCTCTTCAGTGCCTGTTCCTTCGGCCGTGATAGTTATGAACGGGCCAGTGAAAGTAGTAGCGTCAGGGCCGGGAGGAGTGAGAACAATTTCAGTGCCCACAGTTCCTGTTCCGGTAGGGGGGAGGGTAAGGGTCTCCTCTTCAGTGCCCGTGCCTGGTGCTGTGATGGTTGTGAAAGGACCAGTGAAGGTGATCGGCTCCGTGGCGGGGGTGAGGACAACCTCGGTGCCGATAGTGTCAGTTCCCGACGGGGGTAGAGTAATAGTAGTAGGAACTGTGTCAGTCCCAGGACCCGTGATGGTGGTGAAGGGTCCGGTGAAAGTTGTAGTGGCCGTAGCAGGGGTCAAAACAAGTTCAGTTCCTACTGTATCTGTCCCAGCTAGGGGGAGGGTAATGGTTTCCACTTCAGTTCCGGTTCCGGGACCTGTGATTGTCGTAAAGGGGCCAGTGAAGGTGGTCGGCTCCGCATTGGGGGTCAGGACAACCTCGATTCCGACGGTGTCAGTCCCAGTAGGGGGTAAAGTGATGGTAGTAGGAACCGAGTCTGTTCCAGGTCCAGTGATGGTTGTGAAGGGTCCAGTGAATATCGTAGGCTCGGCTACAGTGAGCGGCGTCAAGACGATTTCAGTTCCCACAGTATCAGATCCGCTTGGAGGCAGAGTGATAGTGGTAGGAGCAGTGCCGGTGCCAGGACCCGTGACGGTGGTAAAAGGGCCGGTGAAAGTTGTAGGCTCCGTGGCGGCAGGCGGCGTCAAAACGATCTCGGTGCCTACGGTATCCGTCCCAGTTGGGGGCACGGTGATCGTGGTAGGAGCCGTGCCGGTTCCAGGGCCAGTAATGGTGGTGAAGGGGCCGGTGAAAGTAGGGTCAGCACCGTCATCTGCAGTAAACGGAGTCAAAACGATCTCGGTTCCCACAGTGTCTGTTCCCGTCGGAGGAAGAGTCACAGTAGTAGGAACTGTGCCGGTTCCAGGACCAGTAATAGTCGTGAAGGGGCCGGTGAATGTTGGAGGCTCAGCCACAGTAAACGGCGTCAGAACGATCTCTGTTCCAACAGTGCCTGATCCAGTAGGAGGTAGGGTAATAGTGGTAGGAATCGTTCCAGTTCCCGGGCCCGTGATCGTCGTAAAGGGACCAGTAAAGGTCTGGGGTGTGGTAGCCGGTGTCAGGATCACCTCAATGCCAACGGTACCGGTGCCGGTTGGAGGGAGTGTGACTGTCGTGGGGTCTGTCCCAGTCCAAGGTCCTGTAACGGTGGTAAAAGGCCCTGTAAAGGTGGGAGGGATATCGGTGGCATCTAGCTGCACGATAATCACAGTTCCGGTTCCATCAGGGCGACTCGGAGGAAGAGTAATGGTCGTCGGACCGGGTCCGAATCCAGGGCCAGTGGCTGCCAACGTGGTATAAGGACCGGTAAAGGGTGGCCCCGAGCTACTCGGACCAATATGTATTAGCTTCCTTGTAGTAAGACTCGGGATGATGTTGAGTTCTTACCCAGCCGACAGAGAAGTGGAAGTGCTTGTGAGAGTGATATCAGTGACAAGAGTTGTAGGGGCGTCTGTAACCGAGATGGTAACGCTGCCGATGGTAAGGACGGTGTTGGACGGGATGAACGAGCTGATCCGAACAGGCTGAACCGTGAGGATGACGACTGGCTGCACCGTGACAACTTCGATGCCGTCGGGACAGTCAGATTCGTTTGGCAACTGTGGCTCGGCTAAGCCCAGTGCGCGTCCCAGAAGGACGGAGGCGCCCACGGCCAGGCCAGAGAGACGCATGACCAAAAGAGAAATAGTAGAAAAGAGCACGCCTTCTGAATAATACGAGTTAGTATGTGGCAGGGGGAAAGGACTGGGGAGATGGTTCTCTTCGCACTCCAGGTCCTGATTCTGGCATCGGTTCACTCGGATGGGCCTTAATATATACACATGCGAACAGGTCCATAAGACGTTGGGATCACTCGGCAGCCCACACGAGCTCTATCTCCCCTCGCTCGGAGATGTATTGCTTGCAGTTCATTAGGGACTTGATGGTTCATGCGGCCAGGACAGGAATGCCCAGGATAGGGAGAATGCCAGATTCCTGAGTCCTGCACTCTCACAACCACCTCTAGGTAATTAGTTGGGAAAGTAAGTGAGTAAACAGTGCAGGGTGGTTTCTCTCGAGGTTGGCCGTTTTGAAGCCCCCTTACGTAGTTTACCTACATTCCCAGATAAAAGTCTGGCCCAGTTAAGCACCAGGGAGTCCTGTGAGCTCTAGAATTGTCAAGCGTGTCTCCTCCCTGGAGCCCTGTTTTGGCCATATGCACCACGAGTGCTGGGTTGAAGAAATCGACACCAGCCTGCCCCTATTTTGGTAACGACAGACTTTAATGCAATGCATTCCGGACGTGCCTGGGTGAAGCTGACGAGCAGACTACACGAACGGTTGACCTTTCCATGTGGCATATGATGGAAAGCAAGCCATACTGGAGGACTCACAGCTCGGATGACAGACTGTTAGTCTGTTCTGACCCTATAGACCGTGCAAGCTTTGCTTGTCCGCGCTCCACTTAGTCCTCCTGGCGGAGGAATCGCCTGAGTGAAACAGTGTCTGTTAGGTATAGGCCATAAAATCCTTTGCGGCGCGTTTAAGCAATGGGCCTCAGCTGTGCTATTTAAGACATAACTGCGTATCATACTCTACAGAGTGGAACTCTCAATCAAAGTTGAGGGATAAAGATTCTTGGTGCGTGTTCTTTCATTGTATTCGGCACTTGCCCAGGCGAGACAGTGCCTCGATATTGTGCGGGACTTGGAAGACCCTGGATGATCTCCCGCTATGTCTCACCCACTGCCGCAGTCAGACCGAAAAAGCAGCGAGGACGGTTGGTTGGTAGCAACATTTCAGGCAGGACGGCGCTCATGTGCCCCTTTATGCCTGGGCCTTTGTGCCCGGGCTGTCGATTAAGGCATCGCCACGGTCTATCCATAATGCCCATGCTCGAATCATTCATGTTTGAATATAGATCAGGTTCAACACATGCACTGATAGCATCTTATCTATCTCCATGGCAAGCAAGATACGGGAAGCTTTATGCCTTTGCGGCAAGCCACAGGAGACTTGAAGACGCTCGCGGATGCAGATGGCTAATATCTGCACCCAGTTGTCTTATATGAGTCCATTCCTGAAGCTGTGTCCCGGCATATCTTCACATGCACTTTGCTTAGGCAGATCCCAGCATTGGCGGCACTGTGGATGCTTGTGATCCGCGAACCACGCATCCCCCCTGAGAGGCTGAGAATGGACATGTGGACGGAGTAAAGTGTAGACGCGCCTCCGTGACGGGAACGGAGATTCTCCTGATCATAAACATAACTTAGGTCCGAAATAGGGGAACATGTAGAAGCCGGTAGTGAGCTGAGCTCATCTACAAGCATTCCGATGATCGACTCTTCGAGTCTGTTTTCCTTATCGGCAAACAATCAAGAATGATATTGCGAAGGTTGACCATGCTAGATAGTCTGTGAGTGATTTCAACAAGTCAGACAACGACTCTGTTCTAATATAAAGGGAGTAAACAAGCTCAAAGTCCCATGTGTCCATCAGTTGTTCCAGTCGTCACTGACCTGCCACATTCGTTTTGTTACGCCTCCTTGTGCTTCTACGCCACTCGTTTTCCCCCAACCCATCCCCTTTTTGAGCACAGGAGCCTTTAAGTTCAGTCGCTTATTCCCAGCCAAGATGGTCGCCCTACATCTCATCGTCGTTCTTTTCCCCGTTGGCCTCCTGGCTGGCCTAATCCCCGTCGCTCCCCGGCAAGAGGAGGCGCCAGGCCTAGCAGATAATTGTACAATCACGACAACGTTGCCTCCTGTCACCCTCACCAGCTATGCCCCTACCTCTACCGCTGGCGAAGACCAGGGCGGTTCGGGTGGCGGTACTTTGGTTTACACCACTTGTCTGCCGACTCTCGGCCCAGATGGCCCTGGTCTGCATACCTACACCATCACTTATCCTTGCCCATCTGGTCCCGAAAACCCTTGCCACACGCCCGCCCCGACCGACTGCCCTCCCGGATTCACGACTACCGTCAAGGTATGCGAGGTCTGTGGGCCCAAGCCGCACACGCTTACCCTCACTGTACCCGTTATCACCGCCTCGGTTCCCCACAACGCCCCCGTTGTCACCAAAACGTCGACATCCGAGGTCTACGGTCATGATGGTCATGGTGAGCACGGCGGTGGTTCTCACACGGTCTCTGTCAAGCCCGTGTCCAGCACGCATCCCGGGGAACATGAAGGGTTGGAAGAGGGTCATCACCACCACCAAGATGAATGTGAACACCACGATGGCTCAGAGGCCTGCCATAGTCCGGATGAGACAGGGCATGTCGCACCGGAACCCTCCAGCGACGTCGTCGAGGCTTCAGCTGTCATGTTCAAGGTCGCTGACGTCGGAGCACTCCTCTCCATGGTGTTGATGGTTTTGCTTGTTTGATGGGACCACAGGGACGCACCGTGTTCATCACCGCTATATTCAGCAACATCAGCTGGTACACAGGGGAAAATGTCTTACGGGATAATAACAGTGGGCATTCGCTCAATATATTGACTCCTATACTTGGCCCACGCACTTACAATTATACCATGGAGAAAGATAACACGACTTGGTGCTCTTAGTGACCAGTTTGGACCCATCGCATTGTACATGTCTTCGGGTGCATGTGCTCTTTTTCGTTGAAGCTATAGATACATGACTGTCCATGTTGCTACCCGAGCCCGGCTCGGCTCGTATCAATGTATTGCTCAAGACCATGCATGTAATGAATATTAAGTATCAATGATGTGAATATCTCTCGTATCCAGGTAGTAAGATTGTGAGGTGGAACAGGGCTTCATGCCATATATTCCGAGACTCGAGATGCTGTGACCGACTATGTTCGAGGCGGCCTCTATGAGCTTCGACGACCCTGAGGCTCAAAGGGAAACGCGGCAGAGACCAAGGCGAGGACGAGAAAGAGGGCAGCGCAGACGTAGAGCGGGACGGGCGTGTCGGTGCCTCCCTCGGCAGCGATGACGGCAGAGATCATACCCATGATGCGATTCAGGGCGACGGCAATGCCGCTCCCCGTGGCGCGGTGGGCCGACGGGAAGATCTCGGCGGTGTAGGCGTAGAGGGTGCCGTAGTAGATGTTGATGCAGCAGGCTTTGCCGAGGAGGCGTCAGGTCAGCATGGACACGAAATGATTCATGAAAAGGGGAAAGACATTTGATGAAAACAGCACAAGGACAACCTACCAAGAACGCAGCTAAAAGCGACATTTTGCGTCGTGGTGGTGACAGCCGTATAGCCGAAGAAAAAGACCATGGTCAAAAGGGCACCGATGACCATGGTGTATTTGCGACCGATAAAGTTGATGTTGGAGAGGAAGCCGGCGATGATGGGACCAACGATGCCCGAGACGTTGGTCAGGGTGTAATTACGCCAAGTGATGTAGGACGACTCCTCGACGGGAATACGGTTAGAAATGATGGACGGGAGGAAGACGTAGAAGAGCGGATAAGCCAGGCCAATGAGGGTCCACGAGAACCAGACCATGAGGGTGGAGAGGGCGAGCCTCCTGCTCGCAAACAGACCCTTGATGTGGAGGACGAGCACACGGGGGGCGTGCCTCTTCTTCGTTTGGCCGGTGTGATGTCGCCGTGGGACGCGAGCTGCTCGAGCGTGAGATCGCAGGGGCGATCGTAGCGTTTCGCGATAGCCTGGAGGTTGTCGACGACCTCGGCGTCGCGACCTTGGCCGAGCAGGTACTTGGGGGTCTCCTTAAGACGGACGACGAGGACGCGAGACATGGACATGACGAAGACGATGGCGCCGGCGGTGAAGAAGACCAGCCTCCAGGCCTTGTTGTTGTGCCAGGTGCATTCCTCGGGGACGCTGCAGTTCCATCGCGACTGGGCTGTAAGGGGCGTTAACGACGGAGAGGACTGCTAGTTGTTGCGGGCAGAAAAAAAAAAAGAGCGGAATAGAAGAGCCTACGCAAAAACCCCCAAGCGATAAAGCCGGTGAACGCTTGACCGACACCCCACCAACAAGCCATGGTGGTGATGGACCACTGCTGAGACGAAGGGACATATTCCAGAAAGACGGTCGGGTCCAGGACGAGATTACCACCGGCACCAAAGCCGATAAGCGCCACAAAAAAGCCGAGGCTCTCCCAACTAGGTGCAGCCCCGGCGACGATAGTGGCAGCGGCAGCGATGAACAGAGTCGAGTTGAAGGCGGTGCGACGGCCGATGACGTCAGCGGTGATGCCCCAGAAGAGGGCGCCGACGAGCAGCCCGGCGTAGGAGGCGATGCTCAGACCGGTCTCGTAACCTCCCCCGTTTCGTGCGACCTCGAGGTAGGCCTGGGCGGCGATGACGCTCTGCAGGAGGGCGACCATGGAGTCGACGGCGTAGCCGAAGCCGCTGAGGCAGAAGAGTTTCCAGTGGAAGTTTGTCCAGCCGATCTGGTCGATTGCCTAGACGTGTAATGGGTGATTAGACTTGCCTTCTGAGTGCAAGGAGACCAGCAAGACAAGATGACAAGATCAAACCCCCGGGGAGGGCTCGGGACTCAGGAGTCGCGGGACCGAGCCGAATAATCCGGAATCCGTACATTGTTTAGTAGATGCATCTTGCGGACGAGAGCGACATTCTCGTCTTCGCCCGCCAGTAGGTCTGCCCCGGCACCTATCGAGGATGAATCCGAGGGGTGACCGGGGCCCTGTGCGACGGATTCGGGCCCATCGCCCTTCTCCGGGTCGGAGGCCATCGGTCGATTGGGGGTACCGCCGGAGGTTGTCATGATAAGGTGTGGCCCTAGGTGTGGCCAAGCGTTTCGGTACCTAACTTGGAGAGAGTGAGGTCATGTGAGGTACGGACCGTACGGTACCTTGATCTCGTGAAGTCGTGAGTACTTGGTACGAAGTCGCGACTCTGTATCCAGGGCGTCTTAACGAATTCGAACTCAGACTCGTTCAGAAGTATGGAATAGAGAATGGGAGGAGTTTTGCCACTTTCAGTACAAAGTGCAAACACAAACGAACATTTCCCCCAGATTTTATAAAATAACAAGTTTGCCTAGGTAGGTAAGGGCTACAGATATGCCTTGATTCTTGTTTGTTCCCACTCCTCCGACTTTATTAACAGATACTCGGGACTCGGCGTTTACGGCGTTTACACCGAGGCGCTAAACCTAAACCATCATAGTATCGGTGTATATCCTCCCGGGCTCGGCAATAAAGTTAATCCGTACCATCTCACAATAAGGGGCAGGTATTCAGGGGGAGGATTCAGGGGTAGGTATTTCGTATTCTCCAACTCCTTTCAATGTTATTAATTATTAATTACATTAATTAATTACCCGCCACATTTATTCCTTCAGCCCTCAACTATGTCGAACAGACCACAGTCTTTTGTTTCCCTGACAGTCTGAGACAGTGAAAATTATATATAATTGCCTTAATTAATTTTTGACCTATTTTATGACGATTTTGACTACGCTTTATTTAATAATTAAGAGTCTTACTTACTAAGTGAAGATATACCTATTTTACCTACTTTTTACCTTTACTACTATCGATTTAAGAAGCTATATAGCAGCGCCGATATAGCGTGTTAATCTATAAAATAACTATTAAGATAGCGTATCTTAGCCCTATTACGTATAAAACCTATAAGGATTAGGAGCTCTGGCGACGCCTATACGAATCGGTTACCACCTATAATAACGTATAGAGGTTTCTCCGCCTAGTTAATCCGACTTAGTCCCCCGAAGAGCCTATAATACCGAATTACGACTCTTTCCCCTCTATAACGCCTAAGCGTACCCCTACGTAATATCTCGACCTTACGGACGCTAGCTAGAAAGCGTACGACGTCGAAATCGCGCGCTAGAAGATCCTATAAACGTAATACGATAGCTACCTAAAGGAGATTAATGCTATACTAGCCTAGCAGGTTAATACTATCGACTAAAGCCGTAGATAACTACTATAAGGAGGTATACCTCGCGAGGTGTATAAAGCCGTTAAACGCGATACGGATTAGTAACTGGCTACCCGCTAAACCGATACCTATACAGAGTATATCGAGTATACTCGTTATCCTACTAATAGTCTTAAGAAGCTCGGGGAGTAGTTAGATAAGTGGTAGCTACCACTATAAAGCTATAAAGATACCGGTTCGAAGCCCGCCACGTATATATAGGTTATAGATTTTTTTAGAGGTATACGCCCCTATACCGGCCGCGATTAGACTAAGGCTAAGGGTCGCCTTATAGATAACCAGGTAGTTATACCCGAGACCTTTATACCCTCAGTTAGAAGTATATTAATACTAGACTTAAAGACTAAGGAAAACGCGGTAGCCACCACGCTATAGTATTCCCTACACTATACACCGGAAGCAAAGAGGGTAAAGATACCTTAAAGGCCACGGCTAAGCCCCATAAGAAGGGCGGCCGTGGGAAGAATAAAGCTAAGAATCCTATTACCGCGGTATCTTTAGCCATACCTTTAGCTACTTTAACTAACCGTTCCTCTTCTAAGCGCCGCTAATCTACTCTATAGAGAGGGCAGATCTACCGCGTATACGCTATACCTAGTCACGATATTAACACCTACTTTTATCTATTCCCGGATACGGTATATAACGATTAAACACCCTTCGAGAGCACTAAAATAACCGTCTAACGGATCCTTAAATATAACCCCTCGCTACGCGCGGAAGTGGAAGAACTGCGCGCCGTAAAGAAGGTGAAGAAGGATATAAGCCGGGATTCTATATAGCTTAAAAAGGCGTGACTTAACTATAGTAGCGTCCGTAGTGGCGTCTCCCACGCCGCTACCTTTACGGCTAGCACTGCTACTAGCTACCCTTTTCGAACCTCTACTATCCTTAATTCCGGTGCCACTATTTATATTTTTAACGATTTTCCCCGCTTTTCTGATTTTACACCCGCTACGCCGGGAGACTACGTAGTCGCAGGCAGTTTATCCCTGCCTATTAAAGGTTACGGTAACGTGACCGTAAGGTTAAACGGACTAATAGGAGGCCTTGATTTTAGGCTATTAAACATCGTATACTACGAGGATTTTGCCTATAATTTAATCTCTAATTAACGCCTACGTCTTTAAGAATACTAGTAGGATTAAAAGCCACTAAATAACTATATTCGGCGTTCCGATAGATCTATACTATGCCAGCTAAGTCACCGTTTCGATTAAATCGTTATTAAATATATACCCTCTAACTAATCTACGGCTACTTTTCTAGGCTCTTCTTCTACCCGAAAAGCTATCTATAAATCGACGATGCGCTATCTAAGCACTATGGAGGGTATCTCATAGTATCTACGACTAGGGCACGCTAGCCCGAAACCGCTTAGGCATCTAGAAGAGCAGACGTAGGGGGTTAAAATAAAGGGGCTAATAACTATCGACTATAAGGCCTATAAGCTTATAAAGATTCAACGGTATATTAGTAAGCGCCCTTACACTATACCTGCTTATATAGGGGAGCGGTGGGCGATTAATTTCACGGATTTTAATAGAATATCCGACGGGGACTCGCGGTTTATATTTTTCACCGACCGTTATAGTGGTTTTACGGCCACCTACGTTATAAAGAGTAAGCTAGTAGTGGATATCCTCGTAATAATTAAGGAATTCCTCGCCTAGGTAGACCGTTAATTAGGCTTTAAGGTGCGCGTTT